ATGTATACCATTCAGATGAGTTTGAAAAGATACTAAAGCATCCCTGCCATGGGGCCAAATGACGAATGTATCGTCAACATATCGTAGCCAACATGTGGGTTTGAGCATTGATGTGGATAGTGCTCGGGTCTCGAAGTCTTCCATAAAGATATTGGCAATTACTGGAGATAGAGGGGAGCCCATTGGTGCATCATTTATTTGTCTGTAGAATTTGTTTTGTATATATATATATATATATATATATATATATATATATATATATATATATTCTTTTAATTAACCGAATTATCAGCTACCATAAAAAGTTGCTAAAACTATATTTTGATTTGATATAACATTTTAGCTCTACAAAAACGTTCAAAAATTATAGAAAACATTGTCATCAAATATTATATCTGATAGTATGTTAATATCGTTCGAGCTGATACTACTTAAGATCAGACAAAATTATTGTTTCCTCTAATAAATACTTATAAAATTTAAGTGCAATGTATCAATTTTTTAATTAAGATAATATTATCACAATATTATAGAAAATCACGTTCAAGATCAAGAAGGTCTACAGGTGTTATGTTTACAAGTGCCTAATTAATATAAACAATGACAGCGAGTACGTAAAGAGCAAAATTATTGAATTGACTGGTTTTGTAGAAAATGTGTTAATAATAATACTGCTTATTAGAAAAACAGAAACAACGAAACAAATAAAATTCTGCTATGTTCATTAGTGATCGCAGCTCTTTTCTATATATTTATTTGCCCGTATTTTAAGTATTAGAAGCCAGTTCATGAAAGGTTTATTGTTTAGATGATGAATTAAGGGCGAATCCAGGATCGATTTTCTAAGGCGAGGGGAGGGGAGGGGGTTGGGGGTCCTTTTGAGGGGTCTGGAGGAAAGTTTTTAAAAATTAGATTTAAAATGGTGAGTTTTAAGGCACTTTTCACACACTTTTGAGTGCCATAAAGACATTAAAAAGTTATCGTTAATAAAGTATTTTTATTTGTCTAGCAACGAAAAATCAGCTACTTTTAACCTTAACCTATCCAACAAGTAGGTACAAAGAAAGAAATGTAGTTTAGTTTATGAAATTAAAATAACATAAACAAAAGGCGAATATATTGGTCGTTAATTGATGCACGCATGACGTCCCTGCCCGCTCTTTGTCCAGCATTTTGTCCCGTGGGAGAGGTCGGGACGCGGGACAGGATAGTGATTTTTTGCTGCGGGATAGGAGAACAATTTTTCTGCGGGTAAATAAATTTATTATTCAACTATGTGTTTATGATAGATTATACGTTAATAGAAGTTATTTAAAATATGATTTAGGCAATGCCATCTAACCAGTGCCGGTTTAACCTGCAGCAGCAATTTAATAACACCCAGCCTGTGAAACATGTTCACCCCTAGGAATAATTACGTTTGGGTGTAACAAGTCATTGGAGCGAGGTCTATTAACTCGAGTAAAACAGGAGTCACCGCACCCTGCTCCAAACCATCCCTTTCCACCCTATAGCACTCTAATCCGCGATAGGGCACAACTATCTGTCAAATTCTCTTCATGTGGAAGTCCTGGACAAAGGACAAAAATTTAGGATAGTGTTACACGCTTTATTCCTGTAATTTTTTAGTGACCTGTGTTAAAAATTACTTGCTTGGGCCTTAAGCCTCTGCTCCGAACTACGTCAGGTTCGGAAATTTGGTGCTCAAGTGTTTGGGTTCTACGTGCCCATGATTTTTTTTTGTTTATTATTTTTTTGTTAGATTTCGTCGGGTTTTTATTAGTGTTTTGTTAATTTTTTTTTGTTTTTTTTTTTTGTAGAATGTCTATATATAAGGTCCTTCTGTTGTTCCGCTGGTCCTTACCCCTTGGGGCCCACACAGTTTGGCGATGTGCAGTGTTTCTCAATTAATTATATCTATAAACTATCTTCTGTTGGTTTATTTATTTTTCTCTCTGGAGTTTTTGTTTTCTCTCTGTTGATTTTGTTTATTTCCTTGTTTCATTTTCTCTCTCGTATTTATTTTATTTTCGCTCACTACTTCTTTTTTTATTTGACTTTGTTTCTATATTGATTCCGCCATTTGTTGTTTCCTTTTGAGCTTACATCGGTGGAAAGCGTCGTATCTCATGATCTCTAGCAGTATGGGACTACGGTGGTTTTCCAGTTCTGCAAATTTTGTCCTGGCTCTATCCTTCATTATTTCCGTATTTTCCTGAATATAAAGCGTTCTGCTACATATCGGGATGTTGACAGCTTTTCTTAGGCAGCTGTTGTGAATTGCTTGAATCCATTTCTTTGTGGTGTTACAGGTGTGTTCAAATGCGAGCGATGTATATGTAAGTATCGGTAGAATTATACTGTTTATTAATCTTATTTTAGTTTTAGTCCTCACTTTGCTTTTTTTGAATGTAAGTCCTTTATCAATGATGACTTCCAGGTATTTTGTCTCGCTTTTCCACAATGAGATTGTTCTGTACAGTAAGTTTTTCCCTTGGTTACTGAAATCTATTTTTGATTAGCACCGCTTGCGTTTTGTCTAAGTTTAGGGCGATTTTATATCTGATACCCCATTCCGTTCGATTTCGTTAAACGCTGTTTGCAGGTTGTTAACTGCTATCTCTACATTTCGGCGCTTAGCCGCTATTGCAGTGTCGTCGGCATAAAGGCTTAATAGGGTTACGTGACAAACCTTAGTGAACGTTAGTGCACTGCTGCATGACGCACGTACAGTGTGAATAAGCGACAGTTTAAGTGTACATTCACACAGGCCGCTTTGGCGCGATCAGCGATGCGGTGCTTTGCGTTACATAGCGAGTTATTATCTGTGGGTGTTTCAATACAACAATATGCTTCTGAGCTAATCGCCACCGTAGACTTTTCTGTGTTGGACGTGACGATGTAAAGAAAACTGAAATATAGATTTGCGAAAAATTCATTGTTAAAGTACAATATTTTCAAAAAGTGTTTAAATAGAAAACGTAAATGGGTTTATAAAATTAACATAGCAAGCACAACATTTGGATAGTTTCATTACTTATTTGCTAAACCAATTACGCATCCTGATAAATTTCGAGAATATTTTCGGATATCTTTAAAAACATTCGACTATATTCAGAGAGATATAACTCCTTAAGTAGACAAAATACACACAAACTAGAAGAAACCAATAGGCGTTAAAGACCGGCTTACAATAACTTTAAGGTACGTTTATATATTAAAATAATACATCTTACAATTTCATAAATCTTAAAAAAATACAGGGAGACCTGTTCGCGCACGATCACACTTCAGGGTTAGAAACTTACTTGGAACTAATTACAAGTAGATTAACATAATTACTTGTAGATTTAATGGGGAAATATAAAAAGTGGGTTGTCTATCCAATATAGCCTCTCAATGGTACAACTGTTTTAATGAGTATAAAAAATACACAAGAATAATAAAGAAATGTTTTATTAATATACGTACACATTTTTATAATTTTAAATCAGATAGGGTGGAATCTGACGTACGTGTACCAAACGGAATCTCTGCAACTGTACTCGTATTGGATTGTTCGTGTTGTTAGTTGTGAACAGTACAATTATATCAAAACTCTAGCATCTTCCAACGGAACCACATTTTAGTGTCCTCACGCATTTTTTTAAAGGTGAGTAGGAACTCAATAAAAAATGATAATCTTCATCATCATTATGTTTTGAGTTAGTTGCAGAGTCTAGTAACTCTTTTTTTTCTTCCAAAGATATTAATCGCTTGATATCCAAATCATCTTGTTTACGTTTACGCCCTTGGTTAGTATTTTTGAAGCGTTTACTAGAGCATGACGTATTAGGTTAGAGTTCTTCGTATTAATTTCAGCCTGTGATATATTATCATCTGCAGTATATTCTTTAGTTATAACTCCTTTATTTTGTGTTAACAGGTCATGCTTATCATAAAGTGAATCGCTGTGAATATTCTCAGACATCATATCACTTTCTTCAGTTGATGGTAGATTGCTTGTCATGTTACGACATGCCATTAAATATTTTAAGAAAATTAAACTTTTAAAATGTGCCCAAGTGAGTATACAATATATTGTATACGTAGGTGTTTTTGGGAAATTATTTATTAATAGAATTAGCAGCATTTAACTTTTACTTTCTTGATTATTTGGGTATTTTGGTACTGGAAAAATAATAATTATTTATTAACAACATTCTTTAACATTTACATATATTGTTATAAGGTAGAATGCTCGAATAAATGAACTTTGATAAAATGAAAGGCAAATATCTAGCATAATTGTATTAATCAAATTTTGACCAAGTACTTTCGCTCTCTAAAGAATCATCAGGGACATTTCGTCAAATTTGGGCTATCCAACAAGCGCAGAATGTAATAAATATGAAATTAAACATAAATTGTATATAACACTACACTAAACAAGGACAAACAGTTTAAAATTATTTAAAATTAGTCGAAGCTACATTCTTGTCGGCAACAGGGAGAGAAGTAATAATATATTATTCAGAGTTCTGTTTAAATACAGTTTTGATAACTCAAACTAAACTAATCTTTTTGGCGAAGTCTTTATTTTCGGACAGAATGGTTTTACAATTAGAAACACCTCAAATAAGCAAGAGCATAATGTAGTAACGTAATTATTAATAAACAGTTATCAATATTTACTTGTCACTTGTAACCTCAACCCATAATGTATTTACCTTGTCCCTATCATGATAGTTTTTTATTGTTGATCGCATAGGGCCGGACGCATTCTAATATTGTTTATTAATTTTTTAACATCCATAACGTTCGCTAGATATGCGACTACTGGCGATGGAATCAAGATTCCATCAAGATTGCGCCATAGCACTCTGTGTGAACGTACACTTATTTTAAAGTAACGTTGCTGGTCAATAACGAGACGTTAACGTTTCTCGAATCGACTTTTTAATAGTCCAACTCGAAAGGCATAAAATGACATTTTACTTTAAATTAATAATCAATTTGTCAATGTCATTTATTTGTTAGATCAACATTAGAAATGAAAAATTATATTTAAAACTAAATTAGATAATGAGGTGTTAGAAGATATTGGGTCGATAACATTTACAAAAATATATTAATAATACATTTCTGCATGGTGTTATAAACCCAGAGTGAAAAGTTTGGATTAAGATGCCCTTCCCGTGTGTTGACGGATATTTCTAAGAATATTTTCTAGGATCTGAATATAAATAGGTGAATTATATATTTGTTAATTTAATTTTTTCAATTATGTTTTAAAGTACTTTGATCTATTTGGAAAAGATGAAACTTTTTATCCCTTGTTGGCGAATATAATGTTATTCGAATAATAAAATCTGCATTCAATTTAACTAATTCAATTCAATTCAATCTGGATTGTTTTAATTCGCATTCTTACTTTAACATTAGGACCAACATTTTATATAGTTATATTTGGTTGTATATAAACTAGAGTATAATAAACCAGCATTTCTGTGTCTGATTGACCTAAAGAAAGCGTTTGACAGAGTAAGACTCAAAGATTTAATCCATCTTCTGTATAATTGAGAAGTTCCCCTTAATATTATAAAAACTATCGAAAACATCTACCAAACCAACAAAATGGAAGTCAGAACAGATGGACAACTTACAGAACATATAGAAATAGACAGCGGAATAAGACAAGGGAACTTATTGATCCCCGTGCTCTTCAATTTAATCATGGATAATTAAATCATCAAAAGCGTTAACAAAGGAAGCGGATACAAAATGAGGAACAAAGAAATAAAAATACTCTGTTACGTAAACGACTCAATATTAATAGCCCATGATGAAGATAGTTTGCAAAAACTGGTCCACAGATTTAACATACGAGCAAAAGAATTTAATATGACAATATCATCTCAGAAAGCTAAAAGAATGGTAGTCAGCAAAGAATCAACTAGGTGTAAAATAGAAATTGATGGCATTAGTATCGAACAAGTAATGGAAATAAAATACCTAGTAATTACACTGTCTAGCTATGGAGACCTGGACAAAGAAGTGAAAGATCAAGTACAAAAAGCAAATAGACTGGCAGGATGCCTTAATAAAACTATATGACGAAACAGACACATTAACACTGAGATGAAGTCAAGAATTTATAAAGCCAGTGTAAGACCAATAACGACATATGTCTCAGAAACAAGATCCGACACAGCCTTAATGCAAAGGCTACTGGAAACGGCAGAGATGAGAGTACTGAGAAAAATTGTAGGAAATACGCTGAGTAATCGAAAGAGACGTTCCATCGTTATCGTGGTCTTTCTACTGATCGTCTTCCTATTGGGGAACCGTCTCTTGCCATCTTTACTACTCGATTTGTTGTCATTCGGCTTATATGATCGTTTTATTTAACTCTTCTATTTCTTACCCAGTTCTTGATGTTCTCTACCTTGCATCTACGTCGTATATCTGTACTTCTTGCTCTGTCCCATAGTGTCTTACCATCAATTTTTCTAAGGGTTTTCATCTCTTCTGTTTCTAACATAATTTTTGTTCTGTCTGTGCCAGGGCTTGTTTTGGCCGCGTATGTCATTATTGCTCTGATGACTGTGTTGAAAATTCTGCCTTTTGTTTCTTTCCCGATATTTTTATTTCTTCAAATTGCATAGGAAGCCTGCGGCTCTGTTTGCTCTATTCACTTGATCTTCCACTTTAGTTTCGAGCTTTCCGTAGCTAGATAATGTAATGCCTAGATATTTAAACTCTATCACTTGTTCTATTATCTGCCTTCCAACTCCAATTTACATCTTAGTAAATTTGCTGTTATAATCATGGATTTTGTCTTTTTTGGGGAAATTAACATGTTAAATTTTCTGGCGGTTATATTAAATTGGAGTAGTATTGGGTCGCCTGCATATCAGATTATTTTACGTTGTTTTTCTCCCATTTGGTATGCTTTTTTAGTTCTTACTTTTTTTATTATTTCATCCATAGTCAGGTTGAATAATAGAGGAATCTCTCTGTCTTATTCCATTGCCAGCGCCAATAGGATCGGTTAGCTTTCTTGGTATTTATTATTGTTGATATGTCGTACTGATAAATATAAAATATACGAAGGCTAAAACACCTGATCAAGTAAGTGGCAAGTAGCAAGTAGCACGCGTCTAGCATAATGTAACCAATCCTAACGAATGATTAGAATGAATGACGTTACTGTCATTTTGGTGTAAACTGAATCATTCGTTTTCATTGGTTACATTATGCTAGACGCGTGCTACTTGCTACTTGCCACCGCCACGCCACTTTGGTGGGCGCTCTCACTTATGCTGGCTTATGATGACAATGAAATTAATGTTTTAAAACAACGTGAATCGGCAATTAAAAATGAGGTAAAAATATTATAGCGTCATGACAATTGATTACTCATTAGTGGATATGAAGTATCAATTTTTTATGATTCTTAAAAAAAAAACAGTACACCTAAAAACTAAAAAGGAAATAACACTTATTATAAGGTTTATTGAATAAACCATACAAACAATTAACCTGTTATCTGACAAACGATTTTACGTTTAAAAGGATGTATTTCCTCAATTATCGCAGATAATTTAAGATAAAATCGGTAAAATAGAAACAAACATTTGTAAATTTTGCCAATATAGTATAGTATTTATTATCTATTCCTAGAGAAGTGTTTTTATATGCAAAGTCTTAGTTCTAATTCATACAAACTAAATGGAATTGAGAATTAGCTTATTCTTTCCATTATATTAGTTTCTGAAAATATGTTATATAGACCTAATTTCCTTAATAACTTTTTCATAATTTTCCTTCGATCACTGGACATGGTTTAAATATGTTTTGTAAAAGTTTGGATTCATTTCACATGTCCTTTATTAGTGTATTTTTGTTTTTAGTTCTCACGTTCATTCTCTAACATAACTTTATCAGTTTCTGCTGCTACACATCTATCTATATAAACGGGTGGAGCGACAAGTCACACTGTTTGTCCGGTACGATGACTCCTAGCGCCACTGGAACTGCGAAATCATGAATCATGAAAAATGGCTAAAATCGCGAAACGTTATTTATTTAACACCTTTATAAAAATTAACTTCATTTGCGGCAAAATACAAAAATTGCATACAAATTTGCACTCTTCACCTTTAAAAAGCATTTTCACTTTTGTCGATACGATACTCTTATCAAAAGATATCGAATTTTTACCGCCGACTTGATACAAATCTTTTTGAATATTGATTTCGCGCGCATCATTGACATTTTTAAAATCGCCGGACACATCTAGCGTTGTTTCTGAGAGAACGGTTTATTCTGTTTAAAAAATTTTAATTAACATTTTTGTTTAAAATTAGCTCAGCTACATGTTTTATTTGAAACTTTCTTTTATACGGCGTTCAGATTCTTAGTAAATTTATTTTTTCTGTTATTCCACTTCGAGAGGGGGTTTTCCCTCCTTAATAAAATATTAAAACCTTTGCCTCTGATTACTTGTCAAAAAATTGACGTTTTTTCATTCTTTAGTTGTTTTTACGTCAACGTCAACTTTTTTAACAATTAACTTTAGAAATACCTAAATTAAATAAATGCTAAAATAATAGTTTGGCATTTAATTAAAAAAAATTCTAACGTCCGCCTTTGGTCCGCCTATTAGTCAAAAAGGTTGATGTTTGTCAATTCTCTAGTTGTTTTTAGTTTACAAAAGTGTTTATAGCTCAATATCTAGTTTCTGTTTCTGGTTAGTTTAACTAAACTAATGATTTCGCGCAATTTTGCGCAATGATTTTTAGAATTAAAGAATTCTTTTTCGCTTGCAAATTCGTTTATACCTGAATATTTAGTTTCTATTTCTGCTTAGTTTAGTCAATTTGTTTTTAGTTAGTTATTCTTAGTTAATATTTAGTTTAATTATTGTTTAATGAGACGCTAAATTTTTACAAAGGCGGAATGGTACGTACTGTAGCCGACAAAGTAGCAGCTGTGTTAATAGTTGGTGAATGTGGAAATAATTTCCATGCAGCTGAACGTCTTTTTAATGAGAGGTACCCCGAAAGCCCTACATCGAAAGCTTATTTGAGGTAGCTTCTACAAACAGGTGTCCAAGATCATTTCAGAAATGGTAGTGAACCCTACTTCTTCTACAGTCCAAGTTGCATCTATCTATTGAATCAGTCAGTCAAAAGACTGTATACCGAGTGTTGGCTGAAAATTTCATCCATACAAATTAAAAATTGTGCTCCAACTTTCAGATGATGACACCGACCGAAGACTAGAATTCTGTGAAAATATGTCCAATAAAACTAACCAATAGCCCGATTATATAAAAACAATTTGTTTTAGTGACGAAAGTACTTTTTCACTCAATGAAAATGTTAACACACACAATATGAGGTATTGGAGTGACAAAAATCCTCACGTCTTTCGTGAAACTTAATCGGTGAAGTGTATCTGGAGATAATACAAAATGCAATTGAACTGGTAATACTTGATTTTCTGGAGGATAATCCAGATGAATTCGGTAACTTAGAAATAACGTTTTAACAAGATGGTGCTCCTGCACATCATTATGGTGCAGTAAGACGTTACCTAGATGAGGAATATCGTGGTAGATCGATTGGACGAAGAGATACGATAGAATGGCCAGCTGGGTCACCAGACCTCACACCATTAGATTTTTTTTCTGTGAGGATACTTGAAAACTAAATTTTACGCTACAACACCCCACAATATTTACATTTTGAAACAACGAATTGTTGAAGAATGTAGGGCAATTTCCCCCAACACATTTGAACGAGTATAGTAAGATGTTAGAAATAAGAAATAAAATGTGCTCCATGTGCTGACAGTAATGTCAGGAAGTAGATGGAACACATTTTAAACACTTACTCTAAGAAAGAAACGGGTTGTTAAATATTTATTAATTGCATGGGAAGCTACAATTTTAGTATTTATTTAATTTATTCATCAAAATGAGCAAACATACGAGATGGCCACAATACGACGGAAGCAGTGGAAATACGACGTAGAGTGAGGCAAGGATGTATTCCATCGCCAATACTTTTTAATATCTACTCCGAATTTATTTTCAAAGAAGCGTTAGTTGAAGATACAGGCATTAAAATCAACGGAAGTAATGTCAACAATCTCAGATATGCAGACGACACGGTACTTATTGCCTCCAATGAAGAAGACCTGCAACGACTTATAAATAGGGTAACCGAAGCATGTGATGAATGTGGGCTAAAACTTAATACTTCTAAGACAAAATTTATGGTTATCAGCAAAACGGAGTTACAACCAACGAACATCAGAGCGTATGGAATAGAGTTAGAAAGAGTCCACAATATTACCTACTTGGGTGCAAACGTTAACGATAACTGGGATATAAATAAAGAAATAAGAATACGCATTGAAAAAGCCAACGCCGCCTTCTATAAATTAAAGAAAATTCTAATTAAAAGAGATATTACGTTAAATCTTAAAATCAGATTAATACGCTGCTACATATTCTCCACATTGCTGTATGGTATGGAGAGCTGGACCTTTACAGAGACATTAATGAAAAGATTAGAGGCCTTTGAGATGTGGATTTATCGACGAGTATTGCGGATAAGTTGGGTTGATCGAATAAAAAATGAAATAGTTTTACATCGAATGAAAAAGAGCACAGAAATAACAAAAACGATAAAAATTCGGAAGTTACAATATTTCGGTCATATAATGAGACATCCAGAGAGGTATAACCTTCTACACCTCATAATACAGGGTAAGATCGACGGAAGGAGAGGCCCAGGCCGACGAAGAACATCCTCGCTACGAAATCTCCGAGAATGGTATCAAGAAACCACCTTTAATTTATTTAGAGCCGCCGTGAATAAGGTTATTATTGCCGATATGATCGCCAACGTTCGATAAGCGGACAGGGCACTGAAAGAAGAAGAAGATCAAAATGAGCTTATACTCAAACAAAATTATTATGACTAAATAGGTATTTTCAATACCTTTTAAACGAGGTATCACTATTATCTGTCACAGTGGCGCTGTAACGTCATCTGTCACTATTACGTTACCTCTTATGACTAGTTGAGAAGTCTACCTCTGCTTATTACCTCCCTTCAAATTTCACTTTAATAACAATAACCGTTTAAAAGATACAAGGGGGAACGGACTTTTGACTAGCACTGTAGAAAATTTTTCTAAATGTCCTACGGCCGTATCTATAATAAATGGAAGGAGTACCTAAATGACACATTTTGGTTTCCGTAATGGGTTTGGAACAATAGAGGATAGAGGCAATATTTGGAATGAACGTAGTTACTCAAAGATGTTCGTGTTAAGCACTCTATATTGACTGAAGCTGTAAGAGATATTGGTTTGATTGTCAGGGACGTCCGCATAATCGCAAATTTGTATTTGTATGAAATCACTATCATCAATGGAGTTCCTCGCGAGTCTATGTCGAATTTACTACTGCTTTTTATTTTTGTCTATCCTGTGCTATCCTTACTGACTGTATCTTCTCAGCTTTTTCTATGCTTTCATAGAGATTTTACCCTATCAGGTCTTTACCAAAACTTATTGTCTGTAATAGAACGAAGAAAGATTTCATGGTTAAACATGCGAGAATACGATGGTATTCATACAATCATGGTGTTTGGGGTGGCAGTAAGTAAGATAAAATATTTATGATGTAACCAAGCTTCTTAAAGGACGTGGTCATTATTAAGAGAAGCCGGGAATTAGTAGTATTTGTTATAATAGTGTGTATGTATGTATTACATTTAAGTTATGTATGTGTTGTATTCTTTTTAGATAAAAGTTACAGACCGATTGTTAAAACAAGCTTTTAAGAAGAAGGTTTTAGAACGCCTATTAAAATGGCGGACCGTACAAAAGGGCTTTTTTTTAAACAATTAAAGGCGATGCTTAAACGGAATATAATATTAAAGAAAAGACAAAAACGAAAAACCATTACTGTAAGTATATATTGCATTTTACACAGATTTTTTATTTTACACATATAACATAATTTTTATTAAGTTCAGGAAAAATGTAAAAAAAAAGTATGCAAAGAATATCATTCAGGTTTTCCTTTAAGTAGGGCCTTTTGTAGTTTGTACTTACCATCAAATATCATAGCTCATGCTCCATGTTTACCGCAAAATATAGCAATAGTGACCCCATCAGCAGATTTTGTACTTGTGATGATATTTTCAAAGATAAAAAGGTTAATTTCAATTTAATGTAAAGCTAATAAAACGTATAATAAATTTATTTTATTACTGAAAATCAACATCCACCTAAATAAAATCAAAAAATTATTAAAGGAAGTAGTGGCAAGTAATACTCGCAGTTCGTGGGTTAATTTTGCGACCAGCGGCAGCTATTATCCAAAATAAGAGTACATTTAATTCACATTTAGGTAGGTAAAGTTTAATTAGTCAAATTACCAAAAAATGTTTTTTCCTTTCTTCATTCATTGGTCTAATATTTAGTTGCCCATCTGATACCAATTACAAATCTTAAACATTTCCAAATTCTCTGCAACGTATACAGATATCTTCCGTTTATTTGTCGATCCTTTGCAGTTTCTTATTATAATCTTTCATATAAGTTATCGACCTTTTATGCCACTAGTATAGTATGTATCTTAAATATGTTGACCTGTAGTTAATTTTCTGTCTCTATTGGTTTAGATGTCAACACCACCAAATGTTACCTTTCACACAAATTAATTTAATAAATTTCACTAGAATCTAAGCTAATAAACTATTGTGTATATCCACAAGGAATCTACGTTACTCTAGTTGGCTGTGTACCATATATTAAAAAAATTTATTAAAATCCTTTGTAAAAGGTATATATTTAAAAACCCAAACAGGCTATGGTAGACAAAACGTTTTCGGAATCCATATTCCATCATCAGTGTCTATGTGTACATAAATGTAGCCACTAAATATGTGGGTAAAAACCCGTAAAAAATTATTTAGTTAAATTTAGTTTACAATATTTCTTATAAAATATTAAGATGTTAAAGTTACCGTTAGATTTGGTAACATGGCAACACACGTCTCAGGACAAGAAACTTCACGTGGAGTCATATGTCGCGATGTTACCAAATCTATCGGTAACTTTAATATCTTAATATTTTATAAGAAATAGTGAAACTAGATTTAACTAAATAATTTTTAACGGGTTTTGACCCACATATTTAGTAGCTACATTAATTTACACCTAGACACTGATGATGGAATATGGATTCCTAACTAAGATTAGGACTAGTCCATGGAATAAATGATTGGTAATTGGTCATGAATATACGTTTCCGGGGCATGAGCATAACTCTTTGTGTGTCATTATTTCGAATAATGCAAATAGTATATCGTAAGGTCTCTAACTTTACATTTTTCATTTCCTATCCATCGGTTTTTCACTTATTCCTAAAATATTGATGTTAATTCTTTTCATTTCTGGGATTACATTGTGTGTTTTTCGAGATTTGAACATGCTGGTAACATTCTACATTCCAATTTTAAATTGACTGCCTACTTTTTTCTTTTTCTATTGATTTCGCTGGTTGACGACCTGAAAAGTCCTGACTCTTTTTCTGTCGGATTTTGGTCTCCGATATCCGTGATCAGTACACGTCTGCTTACTCTGTCATCTCATTTCATGATGATTAGACTAGAGATATCTTACGGTCTTTAATACAGTGGTTTCTCGTTGCCTTCTCTACTCTTACGCCGTTGGCTAATGTCTTAGCTTATCCGCCTTTAGGGCCAGCTTTCCCAACCCTAGGACAAAGGAGTGTCCTGCCACTTACTAGCTCATCCGTCTGAAGCTGTTGGCCAGTAAGTGGAAAGATTGCTTATACAGACAGACTTTAGTTAAGTATTGAGTTAATTGTATAATAATTAGTAAGTGTTTTAATAAATTTCTATATTAAAAAAATCCGATCAACATTTTGTACCAAAACTTTTAAGATGTACGTTACACTACACTACCCTTAGTAACACACTAAACTTGTGTTTAATTTTTAATAATAACCGAAATTACCAAAATATTATTTTTTTTTTACAGGAAATATTGATGCCCATTTTCTATCTACTTATTTCATTGTAATCAAACTAGCTTTGCCAGATCCAAATATGAAGGCAATAAAGACTCCAAAAGGAGAGGAAAATCTATTTAGATTTTTTAACGGGTCCGAAACAGCTCATAAAATAGCGTATGCACCAAATAAATCAAGTGTTGTAGTAAGTATCTACGTTTCTACGTATTGGAATATAGCCTACAAGCCTACTGGACATTTTTAAGGGGTCATTTGATCCAGTATGGATTACATGTAAATCAATACTACAATATGTAACTTTAGAAACTATGCCGCCGATTTTTATCGGTTCAGGGGCTACATAGGGAAGGTAAACTTACCACTCAAAGAAGGGGAGGGGTAATTTGGTCAAATAATTTTGTACGGCATTAATAACTTAGATAGATAATACAAAAATAATTTTTGTGCCTTGTCTTAAGTATTTGTTCTTCCAGATTGTGTCATTAAGAGATCCCCAGGCTTTACTTGCTTTTAATCTATGTTGTCGTACTTCTTCTTCAACATCTCCGTAACTAGTTATATCTATTCTCAGTTAGATAAACCTCGCTTCTTGCTTTATCCTCTCATCAATCGATTTTACATCGTAGTGGGTATTTAGATGTTATCATACATTTGATTTGTTCTGCTGATATTATCATATTGTATTTCTTGGCTGTTGTACTGAAGATTTGTGTTAATTTTTGGAGCTCGTCTTCTGTCTAGGCGATTAATGCGGCGTCGTCTGCATAACATAAAATTTGGATTTCCTTGTTCCTTTTATTGTACCCATGACCCATGTCCTGTTGTTCTAAAAGTATTTATATATTTATTTTTATCTCCATTATTAGCCGATATATTTATGGAAAATTTTTGAAACAAATATCATTTCTAAACAAAATTTAAAACCCACAGTATGGTGGAGGTATTTGTAGATGATGTATTCTCAATATGACCTCATGGATCAGAGTTGTTGGACACATTGCTAAATGATATAACGATAAAGAAGAGACAATAACATTTACCATGGAAAAGGAATATAATAACACGTTACCTTTCCTGGATGTTTCAATCTCTAAGAACGATACTGGATATGAGACTCAGGTGTATAGAAAACCAACACACACCAATAGATATTTAAATTTCAAATCAAATCACAATATTAATATTCAAAAGGGAATTATTAAATCCTTATACGATAGAGCCAAAATTACTTGTTTTAACGAAAATTCGTTCTTGGAGGAGAAACATTTGTTAACATCTGTTTTATTAAAAAATGATTATCCTTTATCGTTTATAAATAAGGAACTTTCAACAATCGATTGAATAGAACAGAACAACTTAAAACGAGATCCTACAGCATGCACAAGGCATAATACGAGGAAAATAAAAATACCGCACATAAAAGGATTATCAGAAAAACTTAAAAGGATAGGAAATAAATTCAACATTTCAACAACATTCAAAACAACAAACACGTTGAGATCTATTTTGTCCAAAACCAAACCTAACAATGAACAAGAAAGGACAAAGAATTGCATTTATAAAATACCTTGTGAATGCGATCAGTTTTATTTAGGCGAAACATCAAGGCCATTAAATGTTAGAATAAGTGAACATCAATCTTATATTAAAAATACAGAATTTGATAGATCTCCAAATATGTAAACATGCATGGGATAATGAACATATGGTTCAACGGAATAATACAAATGTAGTCCTAAAAGAAACGGATGGTAAAAAGAGAAAAATCAAAAAAACGGCTTTAATTATGCTAAATGAGACCAATTGTGTCGCAAATTCCTCGACAGAATGTAGTAGGATCTGGTTACCCATATTGAAAGAGGAAGTTATTAATAAGAAAATACCAGTATTAGTAAGTCAGTAACATAAAGAGTATACATCATTTATGTTTTTTAAATAACAAACGTATAAAATCAGAGTTTGGTGTTTATTGAAGGTAAACTAAATGCACGACCAAAAACTTACCATGTCGGGATAGTATTATGAGGTTTTTTCCTGGTTTTTCCTGGATATTCTCAAGTTAAAGTTGATTTCATGTAATCGAATGAACTATTTTATAAGTAAAGTCGTCCCAGGAGCGCAACTCAATTATATTGGCAATATCATTTTAAAGTCGTCTACTTTAAAATGCATAATGTATGTCTGAATTGTCAATATAAATGAGTCAGATAAAATTAAATTATTAGAAGAATTGTTCATTAAGTAACAAAAAACAAAATTTGTTTAATTTACTGTTTGTATTTTGAGAACGATTTCCGAAGTGGAAATTGAAACGTCGATAAACGTATTTTAACCTTTAATTGTAGATTATTCCCAGTTAAATAGTAATTACTTTACGTACTGCTTGTATTATTTCGTCCATTATTACATTAAAGAGAAGTGGGCTTAACGAGTCACCCTGTCTGACTCCGCTTTGTACTGGTATACACTGTGTTTTATAGTTTTCCATTTATTATGTATATTATTATATTTATCATATATTAAAATCAAAATTTAAAAATATATAATGTGCAAAATTATTTTTTTTTTAGAATTTTGTCCGTGAAATTCAGGAAACTTGGAAGTCTGTTAATTCGAAATCCAACTTAGACTGGATCGAGTTTAAAACAGAGAAAGATGTCCAGACTGCTTATAATCGAGATCCCAAATTTGTACCCTTAGCAGTTATTTTTGATAGCGCGTCTGATCCTAATCAAGGACAACAATTAAAGTAAACAATTTTTGCATTAAAATTATCATTCGAGTTGTTTTAAAGCAGCATATTATTTATGGTGAAATCTTTCTTTTAGATGATTTCTTTTCACCTTCCACGTCAATCTTCTTTCTAATTTTTGTTTGTTTATAATTTTTTTTAAGAATATCTTGTTGGTATTTTATCCAAAGAATTAGTAAATGACTGATTGTAAAAGATGGATTCATTTTTTGTTCTCGAGTGTGTAATTTGGCGTTCCGAAGCGTAGGTGAATTAAAACTGTTTGCGCAAAATGAGTAGGTGAAAGGTAGGTAAAGTGGAATAATTACCGATTCAAGCTTGTATCCCGGTAGAAATATTGGTCTTAAAAGTTTGAGTTTATGGAAGAAGCCACTTACGTTATAGCCCTACGTAGTACTGTTAAGAAATTAAACTAATATATCACCACTTCGGAGAAAAACGTCAAAAGTAAAAGTGGTGTAATATTCCACTTTACCCGCCATATTGGAGGTAAAGCGGAATACAAAAACTTAAAATGGATTAATATTATTTATTCAACTAAGCATATAAACAGAGCTCAGGAACATTGAAAAACCCTCGTCTTAACTGTTTTGGTTCATTAATAATCATTTTAATGTCCTTAATGTTGTAATCTAATACATCATCTTTATTAGGCCATTTGAAATATTTTTGCGTCCTTTCCATACACTTTACAGACGCTGATTCACCTGATTTTGAAATTACTAAACCGGGAAATGTTTGTCCGTTGTACTCTACAGCTACATATATCCCTTCCTTAATATCTTCTGTTTTTATGGTAGGAATTTGAACTGGTAGGTCCAACTCTGAACCGCTGTCGGTGTCACTATAAATGCTGATGTTTGCATCATCTTCTTCTTCGCTGTCGCTTTGAAATAGTTGCTTCGTAACTTTCTTGGTTGGATTTTTTGGGGTCGGAGCCTTCAAATTCTTTAACTCTTCAATAAAAGGGGTAGAAGTTGCTACTACAGTTTTTCCTGATCGAGCCCTTTTCTTCGTTGGATTTTCGATATTTGAAGCGACCCGTGGGATAGGTAAAATATCCGCAGGACTAACAATAGTCTTATGGAGGAGAATGTCATTTGACACTGGAGTGGACGCTGATGGCAGGTTAGATGTAGCGAGTAGAGGCCCAGGACGATCAGTTGTATCTGCAGCCACGAAAATGTTTGGATCAGGTCTCTCAAACGGCCAAATACCCGTCTTCTTAAATCCTGAGATAGCTGTTGCCATACTAGCTGCCTTCAAGTAAGCTTCTCCGAAGAGAGGACCGACATCATGAATCGTCACAACTTTCCCCGGGTGGGTTCGCAGCCAAACTCGCACTGCCTGTTCATAGAAGGTCGACATGGGATACATAAATGATACGTCCAGTGGCTGAAGTCGATGTGTGCAATGTGGTGGTAGCACCAGGATGTCTACAAAGTTTTTCTTAGCAAGCTCTAAGACTTCAATGTTTTTTATGTGGGTTGAATGGCCATCTAAAATTAGTAAAACCCTGTCCTCGGAGGTAGGCTTCGCAAATTTAATAAAATGGTGAAACCAAGCCGTAAAGATTTCGGTCTGCATCCATCCAGAAGCATGCGTGAAAATTTTGGTATTCAGAGGAACTCCAATGTCGAATGTCAAGTGATGTCTCACCCGTGGAAAAATAAGAGCAGGAGGGATGTATTCCCCTGCAGCGTTGAAGCAAATTTCTGCAGTTGTAAGCGTACCTCTTTCAGCTGATGATAAAACCTACTTGCTTTTTCCCCTTTTTAAAAATAATCTTTGAAGGTTATTTGGCACGGTAGAGATTCCGGTTTCGTTACAATTATAGATGCGGTTAGGTTTGTATGTTGTGTTTTTGGTATAAGTCTTCCAATAAATCAAAGAACTTTCCGACACTAACTGCGTTAAATGCTGACGCTCGCGCTGCTGACGTTTTTTCTGGAAGTCGAAGTGAAAGAACTGGGTGCCGTTTCATGAAACCAAGCAACCATACTTTACCAGCTTCTTTCTTCTCATTATTGAATCTATGTTCAATGTTATTTCGTATGGCAAACTCGTAGGTAAGATATTTTAAGTCAGAAATAGTTAGCCCAAACAGGCGTTCTTCCATTTTAAGAATATAGTCTACCAACATCCTCTCTTGATCTACCGTGAACACGCAACGGAATCGTCCAAGTTGCTTCACTAAACGTTCTTCTGGTGGTCGCTTTAATCTTCTAAAAAGAGTTGTCGATGGAATGTTATATTGTTTTGCAGAAGAATGAATTGATAAACCACCTTGACATGCAGTTAGAGCCTCAGCCATTGCCTTCTCGTCCCAACTCTGCTGCGAAGTCTTTCGTTTGTAAAAATTAGGCATGCTAAAAAAATGTTGTCACTTAATAACATTGTTAAACTTTTAGGAGGTAAAGTGGAACGTCATTCCGCTTTACCCGCATCAACATTTTTTCTGTACAAACACGATAGCTACTAACCAAACGTGCTAATAAGTTAAAGAAAGAGTATTTATGTCCACAAATAACCATTTTATACAATAGATAATAAATACGGTTAGAAAAACTTACCTGTTGCTGATAAGAAATTTCGTCTTAGTCACCAAATATTACAACTTTTTGTTAAAAAACAATGATCTTGTTTAACTCACATGAACATATCAATGAAAGTGCGCCATATTGAAGTAAATATTGCCAAATGTCAAAAGGTATATTGTGGTAGAAGTTACAACAAAAACCGCCAATTTTGAAATTAAATTTTAAGCTTATTCCGCTTTACCCACCCATTCCACTTTACCTACCTTTCCCCTACTAACGTAAAGGTACGTTCTCACGCTCATGAAATGTGTGCAAATTGATTTGTGCTTTCCAATTTGTGTAAATTAAACTGAACGATTGCATTCATTTTCACTGTCTAGCCTTATGCAGAAATTTTTCTACACCACAAGGAGTGCAGTTCAGATTATCATTGAGCAACGATGGACAACGAAGTCGAATTTTTATCAGCATTAGCTATTGTTTGTTTGAATAAAAAGTTAAAAGTAATAAAAGACAAAAGAACAAGAAGATCGCAGAAGAGTCGGATTGAAACAAGAGTCACTTACTCTCCTATTAATTTAATAAAAGAAATAACAGATGCACCAGACGATTTTCGTAATTACCTGCGCATGGATGAGGCAACGATTATCTGCAACTATGAGGTTTTTAGCGACGGGGAGAACATATATGAAGATCTCAAGTTTTCTACGTGTATTTCCAAATCTGCTCTCTTTTGTATGATTTCTTAAACGTTTGCTGTCATTTACAGTGTATTAAGGAAATAATATTTAAGAGTAGGGGAGGGTGGGGTAGATTTGGACATTCTTTTCAGTAGTGAATATTTTCAAGATATTTTAATAATTTATGATAGATAATATACAAGTCAATAGTTGTATCTGTTGTATTTGAATATTTATCGACGAAACTACGAGTAAACCAGTCAAACAGAAAAAATATAAATTTCCTTTAACAGCGGATAAACACCGGCGGAGATTTGTACAGCTGTGAGGCACATTTGGACCATTCAGATAAAAATTTGTCTAAGCCTTATAAACAAAAAATAATATAATACACAAAGTAATTACGAATGATATTTATTGGTTACAACATGAACATATTTGACAAAGAAGTTATTTAATATTTTAAGGGAAAAATGAGGTATTGAACTTTATGTAAGACGATTGAAGAGATGTTCCCTTGGTTTCTAAAGGTATAGGAAGTTTTGCCACAATATCGGCTCTGGATATAGTGCTAATATCATTTTCAGTAGGATAAAAGTCAATGTTCAGTTTGTATCGTAAACATTTGATTGTTAGTTCCTCATCCACTAGTTCTTCTACACGGCCCACAAAGTGAACAACCGTTTTCTTTGTCGCAAATTTTACCAAAACACAGTCATCTACAAGACCCTCTTCATAATCTAAACAACCATTTAATGCCTCCTGATCACTGTAAATAAAGTGAAAAAGACAGCAAATATTTGATTTCACGCAAACAGCGCCTTTGTATCTGTTGATACGTATTTCGACCTAATAGGTCTTTATTCGGATCTACTCTGTACGAGTACAAGAAACCAATTCGCTAAGGATTTCTGCTTAATTGAAAAGACGTGTCGTGGAACGCAAATTTTAGATTCCCCACGTCTCTGTTTTGCTTTGCAATTTTTAGAAAGCACAGATAAAAGCGGAAATCTGAATAGTGTTTCGAAACTATTTTACGGTTTTATTGTCAGATGTCGCTATTGCGCCCGTATCGAAGCCATTTTAGTGTTGCTTTTTAAAAGACAGAAAATATTTATCTTTCACGTTGAGAAACACCTTTGAATAACTGTTCTGATGAGACCCATTAGGTCGAAATACGTATCAACAGATACAAAGGCGCTGTTTGCGTGAAATCAAATATTTGCTGTCTCTTTCACTTTATTCGGATCTACGCTGTACGAGTGCAAGAAACCAATTTGCTGAGGATTTCTGCTTAGTTGAAAAGACGTGTCGTGGAATGCAAACTTTAGATTCCCCACGTTTTTTTTAACACCTTTATCAACGTCTGTTTTGCTTTGCAATTTTTAGAAAGCACAGATAAAAGCGGAAATCTGAATTGTGTTTCGAAACTATTTTACGGTTTTATTAGAATAATACTTTTACTAATACTAACAATCACTTTATTGTAGATACCAGATTCGTACAAATCCCGATTATGTTCTTACTCCTTCCTCTTCAGATCATACCTTGGGCTTGGTGAGTTGTAGAGGTGACCCAAAAGAAAATTCAAAATTGGAAGATGGAAGTACTTGCATAAGTAATACATACTACTTCTCTGGATTTTTGGCTCTTCAAACTTTAATAGATTATACCAAATTACGCGTGAGTGGTTTTCTTTCTCTCTTTTATATAGAATGTTACTATACATAACTAATAATATTACAAGGTTATTAGTTATGAGACATTATTTACATACGAGGGGTGCCATCTTTTAACATTTTCTCCTACAGGAGCTCTCTACGATTTTCGAGAAAACATTTTATTCTTCTGGAGCCCACTGGTATATATTTTTTCTTGTATTTGGATGTTTTTTCAACTATACGTTGAAATATAATTTTTTGCAAATTAATTTTTTTTAATCTATTGTTGAAAGGTATCCCCCATGGGGGATTTCCAGACAAACTGGAAAGAAAATCCTTCTTAATTGAAAGTAAAAGACAAAGCTCTTAGTCCATTTTGCAATATAGCGTTTCTTAAATAGTTTTTAATTCTTATTAAAAAAGAAAAATTGAACTTTACATCGAGCTAATGACCGAGTTGTAGGTTTTTAAAATATGCTCCGCATAAAACTAGTTTTTAGGTGTTAAAAATCAACAAAATTGTTATATATATATATATATATATATATATATATATATATATATAAATAAATTCTTTAACTTTGTTTAGAATAAGTGTTACAGTTATGATTACAACAAGACTTTTCGAAACTCATTGAAGGTGGCTGATCGGGTCGCCTATCCAAATCAAATTTTCACATTTCATAGCCTGTAGATGTGTTGCTCGTGCCTAAGCGTAAGACGGTACAGGGTGTTCCAGACATTTTATAATAAGAATGGACACATTACTATATTGTTCTGAAAACATTTTTCATAAAAAAAGACACAACAAAATCTAAGCGCACAGAAAAATTTTAAAAGGGCTGTGCAGCTCTAAATCCTCCCCAACTTTTGAGTACGTTCAAATCAATTGAATTTTGTAGCATCATTAGTTTGGCATCATTTTATGTAACAATAAAACACTGAAAATTTTGTTTTCAAACTTCCACAAAAATTTTTGTGGATTTTGATACCTTAAACCGAATTTAAAACAGTCGTATATTCGTGGAATGGAGTATACGCACGTTAACGCGCGATCATCTGAACGTAGCCTTAGGCACATGCTACCGGGTAGTTTTTCGCTTGTTGTTTTATAGTTAATTTTAATCTTTTACATTCCTACCACTTAGTCCGTAGTAAACTACTATTTTTATGTCACGATTGTCAAATATTACGTGCTTTCACTGATGTTAGGATATTTTAAGAACAATCATTTATTTTTCATATATAGTTTACTATGCGTTGTTATTTTATTGTTTTATGCTGAAACGTATTTTATTTTTATTTTAGCTTGAGAAGGTAAAAACTAACATACCAGACATAGCTTTGGAAATATTTCCAAAAGCGGCGGAAGTAGGTAGTTGGTCAATACTCCTTCGTATTTTAATTCCATTCTATATGATAATAGCTCTTTCGCAATTCATTACTTATCTTATGATATTAATAGTTGGAGAAAAGGAGAAAAAAATAAGGGAAGGAATGAAACTAATGGGACTTATGGACTCAGTGTACTGGTAAGATTTAGTAATAGCAGAAGTTAGAACCATTTGAAATAATTTATTACCACCCTAATAATTTTTCACCACCAAACCAATCTTAAGGGGAGCGATTCTGCTGGCTTAAGATTCAAGCTAGCAGAATTCGGAAAAAAAAACTTTTTGCCTATGGCATATTTCTTCACCAATGTTTCACTAATTTATTACCATCCTAATAATTTTTTCACCACTAAACCACCCTTAAGGAAGCGATTTTGCTGGCTTTCGGTTAAAACTAGTAAAATTCCAAAAAAATATTTATGATACACCACAGTGCTCTGCTAGGTTTTATGAATTTATTACCTCCTTAGTAATTGTTCACCCGTTAACTACCCCTAATGAAAAGTCAATAATTCTGTTAGATTAAAATTTGAGAGAAAATATTCTTTTTTTCAAATTCACTCTTCTCTACTTACAACTGAAATAAAAAAGTGTTCTGTTAAGTTTAGACTAAACTTTGATCACCATGATAATTGTTTACCCCTAAACCAATTTTATTTGGAAATGTTCTTGTTAGGAGCCAGCGGAATTATTAAAAATTATTTTTGAAATACCACAGTGTTCTGCTTACACAGGTTTTTACGAATTTATTACCACCCTAGTAATTTTTCACCCTCAACTAACCCATGTGGAAAGTCAACAATTCTTAGGTTAAAATTTAAGGTGATGAAAAATCTATTTTTACAATTTTACTGTATAAATGTATAATACTATTTATAATATTAACTAACAAAACTTCAGCTTTTTTTTTTTAAAGCTGGAACTTCTGTATGTTTTAAAAGTATATTTTGTTTTTAGGTTATCGTGGTTTATCATCTACGCAATTTTTGTAATATTTATATCTATAATATGCATTTTACTGCTATATTATTTGAAAGCATTTACTTACTCAAACCACATACTGATCTTCATCTTAATTGTACTTTATGGTTTTTCGCTTATCATGTTTGCATTTATGATAACACCATTTTTCGACAAAGCAAAGGTAAGTATATGAAACAATCTATTATACTTTTCTTTATATATATCTAATATAGACAATATAAATTTAGAACAACCGATCTTAAATTTGAAAATTCTTACAATAATTAAATTATATTAAAAAAATTTGGTACCTTTCTATCACTGAATGCCTAAATGAAACTGTTATCCAAAATAAAGGTTATAATCACCTCCCAATATCTTCTTTATCAGCCTCGGTTATCCTTGTTTTAGTCAAATTACTTTATAGCCCAATTCGAGACTTCGCCTTCCTCAGCAAACCTCTACATTCATTAAATTCTTTAGCCATTCTCCTTCACGATCGACTGCCAAGGAGATTTCTTGCATCCTCATCCATACTATCCATATCATATATACCGAAAGATATATCATCCCATAAAAGGAATATATCACTTAGACCTACTTGTAGTTCCATGAATTCTCCTTGTAGTGATCTGTCAAAATTTTTAATAAATATTATACAACCTTTTGCAAATACAAATGAAACATTTATAAAAATACACAATATTTTTTAAATAAATTATGAAATATTAAATTTAATTCAAATAATATTTTAGTAAGTTCTGACATAAATATAAATTCGCATATAGGGGGTTAAAAGGGGGACTGAACAATTAGGCTTAGAAATAGGGTATATATAGTTCAGCTCAACAGGACTCAAAGGCCCAAGGCTTCAAAGGTTCTCTTCAATTTCTTTTTATCTTGTGCTTTTCCAGTTTTTCCAATCTTGTACCCGCAGCGACTTCAGATCTTCTTTTGCCGACTCCAGCCATTTTCTTCGGGGGCGGCCTCTTTTTCTTTTTGTACCAGCCTCCGTGTTTATTAATTTATTGAAAACTCTTCCTTCCTTCATTCTTGCTATATGTTCGAGCCATCTTAATCTTTAAATTTTAGCGAGCCTTGTTATTTTTTGGTTGCCCATATATTTGCATTATTTCTTCATTCGTTCTTCTTCGCCAGATGTTTCCCTCTATTACACCTCCGTATATCCTTCTAAGAATTTTCCGTTCCCATCTATTTAATTTTACTTCCATAATTTTATTTAGTGTCCAGGTATCGCTAGCATAGAGTACTGTAGGTCGGATAACTGTTGTATATATTCATTTTTTGCTGTTCTGGATATTATCTTCGACCTCAGTATCTTAGTCAGGCTCCCAGCATTCTTACTACCTTTGCCCATTCTTTTTATGATTTCTTGGTTCTCTTCGTTCCTATTTGTTAGTGTCACTCACAAGTAATCGAATTGGCTAACAACTTCAAAGTTATATTCTTTACTTGGGCTTTGTATCTTAAAGGACTGTCCTAGATAATTTTCGTTTCCCCTCATCACCATATATTTTGTTTTTTCTTTGTTTAATTCTAAACCATATTCCCTGGGTATTCTCTCTATTCTAGTAAAGATTTCTTTTAATTCTGCAGGTGTCTTTGTTATTAAGGTAACATCATCTGCATATGCTACGCATTGATGCCTGTGATGATATATTGTGCCTCTAGTGTAGATGTTACATTCTCGTAAAATCTTCTCTAAGATCAAATTGAAAAAATCTGTTGATAAAGGGTCACCTTGTCGCAGACCTCTATTGGTGATAAAGCTATCCGAAACCCGTCCTTCTAACATGACTTTACTTTTAGTATTATTGAGTATGCATTTAATCAGTCTTACTATTTTTGGTGGAAATTCAAAATATTCTAGTGCTTCATATACTTTATTTCTTTTTATAGTATCATATGCCTGTCTAAAATCAATAAACAGCATGTGTAATGTTAGGTTGAATTCATATGAGCTATCTAAAATTTGTTTCATTGTAAAAATTTGGTCTATTACCGATCTGTTTGCTCTGAAACCTGCTTGATATTCACCCAGACAATTTTCAACTTTTGTTTTAATTTTATTTCATTTTTCAATTTTATTTATAGAGCTATTCCCCTGTAATTTAAACATTCTGTAACGTCTCATTTTTTATGCACTGGACATAATATTGCATCTTTCCTCTGATTGGGTATTTTTTCTTTGATCCACACTTCGCGTATTAACTCAGCGATTTCTTCTTGCACCATTTCGCCACCTTTTTTTAGAAACTCAGCAATGATACCATTTTTACCAGGTGCTTTGTTGTTTTTTAAGTTTTTTATGATCTCTATAATTTATTCCTGGGTAGGTTCATTTACATCTGGGTCCCTTACTTCTTCATGTTGTAGTTGCGTTTGTTCTCTTTCATCTTGGTCGCCGTACATAAAATGTTTCCGAAATAATTATCCCACCTTCTTAATTTTTCATCTGTTCATCTTTTCATCTGTAGAAATAGGGTAAGCAAAAAAAATTTAAACGTTTGCGAACGGCCAGTCGTGTTTTTGGTTGGAGAGCTGAGTCGTAGGAAATCGTTCTTGAGGTAGTTCCAATGATGAAAATTTTAGTCCAGGCTGTGAGGCCGCTCCCGTTGGGAAAATGTTTCTGATTCGGTTTCTTCGCGGATTCCGGTTCAAAAATGTCCCCTTTAAACAAATCTGAAGGTGCCGGGCGAAATTTTTGGGCAGAAATTGTTTAAACAATTTTTTTAAACGAGTTAAAAGCGATTTAAAGTCTGAAAAACGCGAAAATACGTATTTTTGAGGCTAGAAAACACATATGTAAATTATTATTTTTGAGGTTACCAAGTGTCTAAATTGAAGTTTAAACATTCAACTTCAAGATTGTGAAGAGTAATCGGGGCTTATTTTAATTTAGACCGTTGTTTTTTAATTGTTAAATATGCGCGTACACTCGATTTTTCAGCCGCCGCGGAGCGGCGCGCTAGAGTGCGCTTCTATTGTACTTATGCATAGTTTACATATACACTTACGCAAAAAAACCCGAACAAATCCTTGAAGTTTACTAACATAGTTTTTTTCCATAATTTATTTATGTAGGTATTAATTATTGTCATTGGGCTAATTAAATAAATCAATCATCGCAATGTAAAAACCGTATATAGTTTTTTTTTCTTCCAAATTTGAACAATATAATTATTATTTATTGAGTATATATTTATTTATATCAATTGTAAATAATATTTTTAATTATTATTTAAATAATACAATACAGTAAATATTAATATTAGTAAACTTAATTTTAAATTGCGCGGTGTTTAAAAACAATATACTATCGCAAAAATGCAAGTTTTTACCTGTTTAACAATCGCGCGGTCATACTTGATTTGTTATTACTTAAACGATCATTAGGAAGACTATTGTTTAATGCCCATTAAAAGGGTATTATATTATTAATGTGTTATTAAAAAAATTGTGAATGGATTTAAAATGTCTTTTTCCGTACCTCTTCTTAAATGAAAACTTACCGAAGAAAATTTAGTTTGTATTTTTTGTAATAACATCAACAATATTAAGTTAGTGCCAAAACCTAAAGTAGATTTTTAGATAACAATACAAAATGCTGCTCTTCGACGAAAAGACAGTGTGACTGAAAAATTTAATTTAATCTAGCCAATATACCTTGTACCTCTGACGCACTTTACCAACACTTGTTAAGAGCTTTCGCTAAAACATATATTTGGTGAAATGTCATATATTCCCGCTATCAAACTCTCGATTTTACACAATATGGATATTATATGTCTGATAGTGGTGGGTTGGGAAACCGTGCAAATGCAAAAAGACTTGCAAAACTAATGCTTGCAACTGCAAGAAAAATCATGTCAACTGTGTACCATTATGTGGATGTGATTTAGATTTTTGTGAAAACAAAGATACTTTTACTGAGTGATATTAGTGTGTTATTTAACAATCTTTTGTACAATTATTTTATGTAACTATTATTAGACTTTAGACGAAATTTATATTATAACTCAATTGATATAAATAAATATATACTCAATAAATAATAATTATTTGTAAGTATATGTAAACTATGCATAAGTACGATAGAGGCGCACGGTAGCGCGCGGCGCCGCGGCGGCTGAAAAATCGAGTGTACGCGCATACTTAACAATTAAAAAACAACGGTATAAATTAAAATAAGCCCCGATTACTCTTCACAATCTTAAAGATAAATGTTTAAACTTCAATTTAGACACTTGGTAGCCTCAAAAATAATAATTAACATATGTGTTTTCAAGCCTCAAAAATGCGTATTTTCGCGTTTTTTCGGACTTTAAATCGCTTATAACTCGAAAACTATCAACTTTAGAGAAAAATGACAAGAGACTTTTTTTGTTTAAAATAGCCCAAAAAACCTAAAAACACGTTTTCCAGATAAAAAAAAATTTCGCCCGGCACCCTTCAGATTTGTTTAAAGGGGACATTTTTTAACCGGAATCCGCGAAGAAACCGAATTAGAAACATTTTCCCAACGGGAGCGGCCTCACAGCCTGGATTAATTGCATATTGTTTTTATACGCGTCTTACAAATAATAAAACAGCAGTTTTTGTAAGTATAATAATAAAGTTATTGTTTGCATATACATTAAAACAGAACGAGTAATCTCAAATATTGCTTTTGAGTGGATTGTTTTGCTTGATAATTGATTTTAATGTCAACTAACGAATTAATTTTATGTTTTTTTTTAATTTTATATGGTAATAATATAAATCATATTATTTTTAGACCGCTGGAGCAGTAAGTGCTTTCATTGTCCCATTATCAGGTGTATTTTATTATCTTCAGATATTTGTCTCTAGTAAAAATCCTCAATATTTATGGGCAGTTTCTCTTAAAAGTCCGGCTGGATTTGGTATAGCTATTGACAAAGTAAGTAAACATATTTACAAGTTATAACGCAATATTAAATGTTATATCATATATACAGTATGAGGTAAATTTATTAACAGACGTCGTAAAAGAAAAATCTTAAAACACGTCAATTTTAATTTTTGAATATCCATTAATTGATATTATGTGTTAGACATTACATCGAGCAGGCTGTTCAATTTTTTCACATGCGAAAAATCATGTCATTTTTTCGCTGTATTATTAACTATTAAATAAATCATATTTGGATGCTTTGGAAAACCTGGCTGACGACAAAACTATTCTCGAAAGTGAAGAAGTTGATATTACTTATGAAAAATATATGGATGGTTACTCTTATATATAGGTTACCTCTTAACCACTAGTGGCGCTTTCAGTCAAATATGTATACAGATGCTCTAGACTTTAGTTTCTCTAGATTTTAAATAGTCTTAGTTATTTTAGTTTTTACAACAACTTCCCTAATGTATACCGGTTTATCCTCGTTCTCGAAGTAACTATTGGATACCCTATCCCAGTGGCGTAACACTTTTCGCCCGCCGCCAGTCTGTTCAATTTTTTCACATGTGAAAAATCATGTCATTTTTTCGCTGGGAACTATCCTTCTACCACAATTTTACAATTATTACCTTAGTCCAACCCTTGATAACCCTTCCTATTCCACTTCAACCTCCCCTCCTTTAAAAAAACAGACACTTTTAAAATAGCAAAGAAGAAAGATTCGTTCTTTACTGTCGTTGAGGACAGTCGCTCTCTTCCGTCTGCTGAGTCTCGCTAGATAGACGTACTTTTTTCTCTCTTTTACCCTTTTGCTTATCTAGAAGAACAGTTGCTCTCTTCGCTGTTATATATCGCTTAAGAAACACTCTCTACTGTTGACTGCCGCTATCTAATTATCTCTCTTCCGCTTTTAGTTACGCGAAAAATACCGCAAATACTATTTTAAATCACGTACATACAAAAATGTGCTCTATCTCGTGATCTCAGTATTTGTTAGTACCGGGAAACACGTGTTCAGAAACCGGTGTCAGGACAGATTCCGCGTATGAAGAACAACCGCGAGTAAAAGCCTGTTAATATCGCGAATGTGTGGGGCAGAAATATTGGTAAGACCTTGTATAAACTTAATGTTTTATGGTCTTTATAACCCTTTACTACATATCCAAATTTATTTGAACCAACACTATGCAATACAGTCCTCATATACTGAAATTATACTCATAATTTCACATATGCACACCCCTTTTGCACCTTTTACGGCAGGAAGATCATGCATAGAGCACATATACACACTAAAGCAACTGTTGAAAAAAAAGCAAAAAATAAAGATATACATTTGACATTTGTGGACCTGAGAAAGGCGTTTGACTGTACCAAGGTCAAAACTATAGGAGGCAATGTAGAAATTAGAAATACAGACGGAACTTATAGAAGGTATAAAAGCTCTGTATAAAGAAAATAAAGTGTCCATTAAAATGGGAATAAGAATCATAGGAGACTTAAACATAACAAAAGGGCTCCTGCAGGGTTGCTTAACATCTCCAACTCTATTAAAAATATACTTAAAGAAAGCCTTGACTACATTGAGAAGAAAATGGGACGACATGGGAGTACCGGTACGAAACAAATACCTATGCGTTTGTACCTATAAGTAGTGATTGCACAACACCAAGAAAATTTCAGTTACATAATGAAGAAACTACAAGAAGAATATACCAAGTCTGGCCTAGATATTAACCTTGTAAAAGCAGAGTACATATTTACAAGTGAAGAAGAGAGAAGATTTACAAATTGACAAAAACATAACAATCAAATAAAAGGATAAATTCAAATACTTTAGGTTTATAATCACGAAAAAAGCAACAACACAGAAAGAAATTAGGCAAAGATTAGGACAAACAAGAACAGCAATTCAACAAGTTAACTCAGTATAATGGGATAGGCACCTAAATATAAAGATAAAAACACAGATTTATAAAACATTAGTGCGAAGTATTATGACATATGGGGCTGAAAATTGGATTATAAACAAGAAAAACAGCAGTAATATAGTAGCAACAGGAACGAAATGCCTGCGAAGATACTGCAGAGTAACAATAATGGATAGTAGAAGTAATAACGAAATAAAGCAAAGAACACCAATAGAAACATACATACTAGCATATATAGAATAAAAAAGACTAGCGACTAGCTCAGTCTCCCGAGCCCCCAGACACTACTACACTGTTCACTATTCACGGCACGAACACTACTGTACACTACTGTACAGTACTGTACAGTAGTGTTCGTGCCGTGAATAGTGAACAGTGTAGTAGTGTCTGGGGCTCGGGAGACTGAGACCTCGGAATCCCTGAGGAAGGCATCAGAGAGGATGCCGAAAGCTTGGCAAAATGGACAACGACGCGGTTCAACCCGGAAGACTGGTGAGTTTGATATTAATTTTAGTAATAATATTAATCTTAGCTCTAGGTTTTATATATATATATATATATATATATATATATATATATATATATATATATATATATTCGACGTTCTGATTTCAGATGACCTAAAGGCTGCCAGTGATATGTTGAATGAACTCAGCGATGCAGCACGTAAAGTAGGTCTAAATATTAACTACAGAAACAAAAATAATAATGACCAATTTAGTTCCGAGCCATCCTTTAAGGGTAGAAGTCGACAAAATTAAAATTGTTGACACCTACATATACCTTGGGCATACGGTAAAAATTAACAGAGATAATCAAATTGCTGAGCTGCTAAGAAGAATAACACTGGGGTGAGCAGCATATGGAAGACTGCGTGATATTTTTAAAGATGATATACCTATCAGCTTTAAAAGAAGAGCCTTTAATCAGTGTGTCCTGCCTGTCCTTACATATGGCGCAGAGACACTTACCCTAACAAGAACATTTACACGAAAACTACAAGTGACGTAACGTAGAATGAAAAGATAATTGTTAGGCATAACGTTGCGAGATAGGGTAAGAGACGAAGAAATCCGTAGAAAAAGTGGTGTAGAAGGCATTATAAAACACATAGCCAAAGTTAAATGGAGGTGGGCAGTACACGTCGCTAGAATAAAGGATAATAGGTGGACCAAAAAAATCTTGGAGTGGAGATCGAGAGCGGATAGACATAACCCGGGAAAACCACCCACAAGAAGAACTGACGACATAAAGAGGATTTGTACCAACTGGATTGCAGCAGCGCAAGATAGATCCGAAGAGGCCTATGTTCAGCAGTGGACGACTATAAGCTAATGATGATGATGATATTCAAAGGTAAAGTGCAGGATAAACGATCAGTTGAAAGACGCCAGAACTCGTGGCTGAAAGACCAGAGCAGCAGTTTCCAAAGCTACATTGGATCGCCAACCTTCGAAAGGACACAGCGCGATATAAAGAAGAAGTAGACTGGAAGCTCTAAAATGGCCAAAAATACAGATTTTTCTAGGACTAAAAGACACACAAAAGATTCTTTAGGATACAGTGTATAAAATGTATGAGGTCAATACACAGCCTTACTTATCAGAAAACTGTATCAATCATATCAATGTAGTGTAACATTTTTTCATCAATACAAATGTAACGTAACATTTGGTACTATTATTAATTTATTTCTTTTAATATTGTAGGTAACAATGTTAGACATTCAAGGATTAGGTATAACCTGGAGTAACTTATGGGATGATTATGGTTCGGGACTGGCTTTTGGGATCAGTATTATAATCTTATTAGTCGATATAGTATTGTATGGGGTATTGGCTTATTATTTTGACAACGTATTTCCAAGTAAGTCGTAATTCTTATATATTCTATTATTTTATTAAGTATTATTAAAGTAATATTATTAGAAAACTCCCGCTACACTAGCCCAACTGAATTTTTATGCTGACTTCTTCTCAAAAGAAAAACGGATTGTACTTTATAATTTATTACATAACTTAGCACACTTATAATTATTCCAAACGCGTCTCAAACTACATCACGAACGGTATCAATTTAAATAGTACTACTATTTAATTGAATTGAATTGAACTGAACAGGTCTAGGGTAAGCTATACAGTGATTGTCTACCATTAGCTATTGGCACATTGTCGGTTTTTTACATTATTTTAAAAATATAAGGAAATTCACTGACAACTATTATTATTTTATGATAGAGGCAATCATGTACAAAATAGTATTTGACTTCATTTTATCGCACTACCTAACCTTAAAAACTTATCGACAGATCTATCAGATGGTAGCTGTGTATCAAAATTTTTTATCAAAAACACCAAAGAATCGTAAAAACCGCCAGTATTGGAAGAAAGGATATTTTATAAGGTATGTTTTGTTACATAAAATTTATGGTTTTAAGATAATTTATTATGTTTAAAATGACTAAATGTAAGTCAATAATTGCATGAATGTGCTTCGTTTTCATTAAATTATCTATGTCAATCACCGGTTCTATTTTTTTTATATTAGACAGTTATTGGCCACCTGGGTATTCATTGTAAAAATACATTTTATTAATAATATTTTAGGTTTAGTGATAGGCACATAGATACATAGAGATTTTTTTTGTAGATGCCCAAAGCAAAAGAGGGTGCAATTTTCAGTTAGGAAAGTAGATATTCAAGCTTCTGTTAAGGAATTTTTAGATTCAAATTCACGTGAAAATCTATAAGGACAATTTTCCTGGAGAAGGCTGGTATCGAGGCTTTCTCAAGCGACTTGAAATTTTAACTCACCGAACACCAGAAGCAGTTACTTCGGCTAGTTCAGTTGTTTCAGAAGGAGATGTTTCAGATGAAGTAAAAGTGTAGATTATATTCTGCAAGACCCCACTAGAATTTTTTTTGGAGATAAAACATGTTTTTATTTGTGACCAAAAACGGTAGATTCTGGTCAAGTAAAAAATGAATATCACCGGGATGTTTACCTTTTCTGCATCTGGTCAAATAACTGATTTGATGCTTATTTATCCGTACAAAAGACTTCTGACTTCTATAGTTAATTAAGTGCCTTCTTCTTGGGGAATTGGAAATATAAATAATGGTTGGATGAAAGTTGAGTTTCTACTAGTACATTGGTAATGTTTTATATCCATATCTAAAAAGATAATGGCTCTACTCTTCCACTAATTCTTTTTGAAGATGGCCATTCTACACATCAAACACTAAAGTGTAGACAACTGTGTACCGAACTACAAATAATTTTAATATCATTGTATCCCCATGAAACCAGCCGATGTTTCTGCATTCAAACCGTTAAAAACAAGTTGGAAAGAAGAAAAATTTGCACCAGTTCTGAAAGGTGTCATAGAAGACTATGCAAAAGCTGAAACTATGACCGCATCAGGTATAGACTTCAACAAATGTCTGGGAACAAAAATGGAAAATAAGATATATTTAGATACAAACATAAAGAAACAAGTTTTACCTAATATTTCGTTTATCTCTTTCAATCAATTCAAGGAAATAATTGGCGAAGAGAGAATAGACATATTTAAAATTGATCAGTTTGACTAAGCAAGTCATGATAAGTTTATCTTGTTTAAATTATAAAGAATGTGAAAAGAGCAGTAGCTATCTTAATACGAAAATTCGTGACGATTTAGAAAATCTAGAAATCACTAGAGTAGTGGACACAGAAATAGAAAATAAGGAAATTATTTTCGACGAAAATATACTTTTCGGACTAGATGTAAATGAAGAGGGAAAAAGCAACCAACATTTATCACGTGACAATAATTTCGAAGAAACTGTGGAGACAGGTAAAGGATTACAAAAAAATGTAGCACAGGAAGGACATGTAGAAGAATTACTTATACAGGAAAATAAAAAGAAACTCGGCCTTTACCAGAAGCTATGGGAACAAATGATATACTAGAAGAAAATATAACAGGAAAAATCTGTAGAAAAATTACCTAATAAGGAAAATAAAGAAGAAACCCAGTCTTTAAAAGAAACTGTGCCGAAAGTGATATATCACAAGAAATTTCAACCCAAGAGGTGCCTACACTTGAAGACTTATTTATAGAGGACAATAAAGAAAATACCCAAAATAAAAGAAGCTTTCGAGATTTCGTTATTTGGCCTAAAACACCAGAAAACAAAAACGAAAAAAGGATTGCCAACGATTACCGTTTGTTTTAACTAGTTTAGGATAGAAAAAAATTTAGATGGAGAAAGTGGCAATTAAAAACCAAGAACAGGAAAAAAAGAAACACGTAAAACAAAAAGATTATCTAAGCAAAAAAAGCTACAAAAAAATTTGGGAGAAAAAAACATCAAAACAAGAAAGCAAGAAAACGATACAGTAAAAGAAAACAAAAATTAAACTAAATCTAAAAGACCCAAACTGGACGTTGATCGCCTGAACAAATACGTAATGCAGCAGGGACAAGCGGATTCAGCAATAATACAAAAATACCTCAACGTCACGTACGAAAAGTATTGAGCAGTTCTGAAAGTGATGATGAACCCCAAAAGAATGAATTTGTTTATAATACAATAACTGTCGGAAAACTTTGTTTCATTTATGCGAAAAATATTACAAATTCAAACAAAAGTATCCGATGCTACAAGTGCAGCCGAACGTATCATAATTTGTGCATTATAAAAATTAGTCCTTCAGTAGATAAGGATAAAATTTTTTATTGTAAGACTTGTGTTGTTGTATAAATAAAATCTATGAAAAAATTTTTTTATTATCTTAATAATAATATATAATAATATACAAAAATAAATTAATCCTATTATACAGCTAGGTATCTACCTATCGTTTTAATAATATGATTTACCTATAGTCGGAATTCAACAGTCAGGTTATCACTTCGAAATGATAGACCCTCGAGGGGTCCGAGATGAGAAACGCTTGTAGTTCAATGGTGGCGTGTATATTTTTAAAATAAGGGAAATAATAGGCAACTTGCACATAAAAATATTTTTGCGTCAACGGTCAAATTGTTAATTTATGTTAAATATATTTTGTTAAAATGTTATGTAAAAATATTATATTCAAAGTATTACGTCTTAACAATTAATTGTCAGATGCCAGAAAGCCAGATGTACACACAATATTTTCATTCATTTATATTATTTTTAGTTTAAGAAATATGTAAGTACATGTTTATTTTATAACATCTCAAATGCTAAATTATACTTACTTAAGCCGTCCTCTTGTACCTTACGGTGTCGAGGTGCTAAATTATATTATATTTTCAATCCAAAACTTTCTTCCCTTATAATAATGAAATGTTACGAATATACTTATGGTTCGTAGTAATTTATAATAAACAAAACCTATCATTTATAAATATCTTAAATTCCTAACAAACAAGAAAGAAAATAACTTAAAAATATAAATGAAACTCTTATTAATAAACGCAAGAATAACTAATAATTATTGTATATCCTTGCATTTCCCCAACTCTATATCTTCCACTGCGTTTTATAAAATTTTCCACCATTAAGACATCAAACTGTAGATGAATAATTGTCAGATTAACCTTTTGAAAAACCCTCGTTAGTCATAATATGCGTTTTAAACTAAACACGACATAGCATTCAAATTAAGCAATTTCCAAGAACACAAATAGAATATCTGGGAATTTTTAATTAAATACGATTAAAATAGAAGTAATAGAATTGCCGAAACAACCTTGTTTTTCCTTTTAAACTTTTATTTACAATGTGAAAAATAAACTTGCCATAATAATAAAAATAAAGTTATTAGGTACATACCTACTTAGAAAATTATAACCAGGTAGGACGAAGGATCTCACAGGTAGTCTCCGAATATAGCAACAAAAAATCACTAGAACTGTACCACAGTATAAAGAGGTTCCAGTGGAACCTCTTTATACTGTGACTGTACCTATTAGCTATTATTTTAAAGAAATATTTTTATTCTGAATCACTTCCTGTTATTAATTCTTCTACTGTCTTCTCCTGGAGTAATGATAATGGGCTCGATAAGAACATCAACACGCGTATCTACGTCTCACATTTTATCTTATTCTTTCTTCGTATGTTTAATGCATGCCTGCCAGTTGGAAGCGGTTATATTTTGTATGGCTTTGTCTAATAATAATTTGACGTCTTTTAAATTAAAGGTTGTATTCTTTTGCGCTACCTCATTTTTTATTTGTGCCCATATCAGCTTGATGGATTTCAATTCACAATGATACGATGGAGTTCTTAATACGGTGATGCCATGCTTACGTGGCATTTCGTGTACTGCAAATCTGATGTATGAACTCTTATGTTCGCGTACTATATCAAGTAATTGAACCTTTATCATGGACTCATCAAAATATATATTTTTACTTCCTAACCAATCTTTTATATCTGCCTTTCGAGATGCAGAAGTCGGTATTTTTTTCATACGACGACTGTGATAAGGTGCATTGTCCATTATAATTACCGAACCAGGATCTACAAGAGTCAGTATAGACGAAAACCACTTTTCAAACATATCCGAATTCATATCCTCATGATAATCGCCCGTTTTGATTGAGGTAAACATATTTAAACCACCTTGTACAAAACCTAAATCACTTCCAATGTGCGTTATAATGAGACGTCTTCCTTTGCCCGAGGGTGCTTTTAAGCCGGTTGAAAGTCTCTCAATGAAAGCCTGTCGCGCACTTTTAATATTCAAGTCTTGCCATATTTTGGATTTCGTTTGACGTTTTCAAGTCGTTTAAAATCACAAATTTTTTGCAAATATTTTCTCCGCCATATCACTAATTCGTCTCTCTCGATCAAGAAACTTTTCCGATTTCTCTTCACATACCGAAAAACCATTTCATGTAAAGTTCTTTGTAATACTCTCATAGATATATTATTTAAATTATCATCTGCATCTGCATTAACTTCTCGTTGAATAGCCTTAAACGTGGGCAGTTCGTTCCTAAAATAAAATCCATGGACTTTTCTTCGGATTATACTTTTCGTACTATCGTCCAATACAATTTTTGCACGTCCTTAATGGATTGGTTTTTGGATAGGTTTGTTACCTTGAATTATTCGGAAAACCGTACGAGCCCACAATTTCGTTAGATCTCCACACCATGCTACGGCGTCCTCTATAAGCATATCTTAATATCTTCTACGCAATCCCTCATAAACTGATTTTATCATTTGCTTTTCTCTCACAGATAACCACCTTTTTTATTTTGAATATTAACAGATGTACTGCACCTTGGTTTTGATGCCATGATGTTACCCGACGGTACGCTCATGAAGACATACCAGCCACCTGATTTTAATGGTTGTTTGTGGTTGAGTTTTTACAATGGTGCCGTATTTCATTAAGAATATTACTCTCTGTTGGCACTCAGGGTATACCTCAATGGCACGGATAAGCTGTACTAAATAATAAATTTCGCAACAAGGCGAGTCTACCTTCTCTAGTTCGGATTCCAACAGATGTAACCTTTCGAAAATGGTAATTGAGAAGTGGATTTGTGTGCTAATCAAGAAATAAATATATAGCCGCTTACCTTCTTCTTCTTCTTCATGTACCATGTCCTTTCAGAACGTTGGTTACCATCATAGCTATTTTAATTTTATTCACTGCCACCCTAAATAGCATGCTTGTATCTACACCATACCAATCCCGCAAGTTCTTCAACCATGAGGTTCTTCTTCGTCCTGGACTGCGTTTGCCTGGTATTTTTCCTTGCATGATATTTTGTAGCAATCTATATTTGGGACCTCTCATTACATGTCCGAAATATTCCAGCTTTCTCTGCTTGATGCTTTTTATGATCTTAGTAGTCTTGCTGAGACGTTCTAGTAATGTGGAGTTACGAATCTTCTCCACCCAGCCGCTTACCACCGAGTGTTAACGAAGTACAAAATGTCTGCCCTGACAATCCAATTAAATTCAAGGTATAGTCAGAGAACTACTGGTATAGTTCGGATTCCAACAGATGTAAGCTGCGAAAATAATTGAGAAGTGGATTTGTGTGCTAATAAAGAAATAAATATATAGCCGCTTATCACCGAGTGTTAATGAACTACAAAATGTCTGCCCTGACAATACTATTGAATTCAGGGTATATGCCAATTACTGGTATTCAACTGGCTAAAAATTGAAAGTTAGTGGCCAATTTTTGAGTATTTTGCAAATAACAAAATATTTCAAAATTACAAATCATTAATTTAAATAACGAAAATATTTTATAAAATCATTTATCAATAAACTGAAGAAACCAAAATAGTATATTACATAACGAGAGTTGTAAGAAACATATTACATGCGAGTAAAAAAGTTGCGCGCGAGCCGCGTAGCGGCGAGCGCTTTAATTTTACAAGCATGTATTAAGCTTACAACTCAAGTTGTGTACTATACTTTTTCTACGATTATTTTCGTTTATAAAAATAAAAATTAAATTACCACTATATTTACGCTGACAGATTAATTATTTTTAATCTGTCAAAATAACGTCTGTTAATTCGTTTCCATGGTAACTAGACCAACTGACTTACGAGGCTTATGTGATATTACACATTTTTATAAAACTGAAGCGTAATTTTTTTTATTACGTGCTAGTCATTACGTGTTAGTATCTGTTATGATACATTTACTTAGCATCCAAATAGTAGGTAATATACAATTTACTAGTAAGAGAGTAGAAAAAATAATATTTTTCTACTCTCTTACTAGTAAATTGTCTAATACCTACTATTTGGATGCTAAGTAAATGCATCATAACAGATACTGACACGTAATGACTAGCACGTAATAAAAAAAATTACGCTTCAGTTTTATATAAAAATGTGTAATATCACATAAGCCTTGTAAGTCAGTTGGTCGAGTTACCATGGAAACGAATTAACAGACGTTATTTTGACAGATTAAAAATTATTAAACTGTCAGTGTAAATATAGTGGTAATTTAATTTTTATTTTTATAAACGAAAATAATGGTAGAAAAAGTATAGTACACAACTTGAGTTGTAAGCTTATTACATGCTTGTAAAATTACTGCGCTCGCCGCTACGCGGCTCGCGCGCAACTTTTTTACTCGCATGTAATAAGCTTCTTACAACTCTCGTTATGTAATATACTATACGGTGTCTGTAACTAAAATTTTATTAAAAAAAAAAAAAATTAAATTAACTGCATACCCTTCTTAACTGGCCAATCCCTGTATAGTTTACCTTATTTACTTCTCTTTTGAATATGCGACTGGCATTTCTTCTACAAGATCAAAAACAGTAAATATCTATTGTATCACGATAACATTTATATTTTCCTGTTGACTCAAATGTAAAACGAGTTTAAATTGAATTTTCAAGATTTCGGTATGTCCTTAATGCCACACCCTTTCGAAACAAAATAAATACCAAAGTTGTTTATTCAAAATATATGTATTAATTTTAGGTGAATACGGTGTACAAAGGTCACCACTATTCTGTTTAATGCCATCTTTTTGGATATCTAAACGTAGTCAGGTATGTATGATACACGTATTGGTATACATAAAATTTTATACATAAATCAGTGTTGCAACATTTACGATATTATATTTTATAATAATATTTGCTAAAAAGGTTTAATAAATGTATTAGTAAAGTTAGTACTATAACTTACCCCACCTTGGGCGCCATTTGAGTGCAATAAAGTCCCAAACTTTGGGCGGTATATAGTGCAAATTCCAAAAACGATGGATGTTAAAGACTGGAGTCATTCATCGCTATTTTGTGTAACCTCAAACCGTCGTTGGATGTTGACAGGTAGTTGAAACTAAGAACAAGACGTTGTAACTAGATATTGGCTTACCAAGACAAAGAACCCATGTTTTATTAGGCAGACACCAGCGACTTTTTAATTTCTAATTTAACTGAGCCACCGCCGTACTTTATAACTTATTCCGTACTTTATTTGGCAAATACATATATTTGACATTTTATCTATCGGTAAGTTTATTCGTGACTGAAAGGCTACCTTTTCTATCTGCCAGATAAATACTTAATCGGAGGTGAAGAAAATTCACTTGTTATAACGACGATCTTATTATATTTAATACAACATGATTGGTGACGTCACTCCATATTCATATCTGTCAAGTGTGATGTCACGGCACAATCTGCGAAGTCCTCCTTTTAGGCACTCCTAAAAACCTAAGCCAGAAGGTTAAACGAAAAGAGGATGTACAATACACTTGGCGAGTGCCGATAGAAAAGACTACTTCTTATTACGCGTTACTACACACTGGGCCAAAATATAACTGGCCACCTTAAAAATGGGTAATTTTTGATTTCTTATATCTCCTAAACTTGTTGTCAGATTTAAGTGATTTGTTTAATATGTTATATATAGCCTTATTCCTTGACAATAGCTTTATAATAATATTGTTGCTAAACAGGTAAATTTTCATTGTATACCTTGTGTACGAATCAAACCGTGTTTTTTTCTTAAAGTTTGCAGGGTGAAATATTCTAGAATTTGTAGAATACTGAAATTAAATGGTAACTATAGCCTCATGCTTTCTCAACATTTTGTTTTTTGATTGATTCGCTTATGTTGGGGAATACAAAAGTTAGGTGCTTTAACAACTAGACATGTTTTATATCAATTTTTATCTCCGCGGAAGAGAAAAAATAATATTTTTGAAAAAAAGTCATTTGTTAAAGTAAAAATCCAATGAATAAAATCTTCAAAGACAATTCAAATTAACAATATTTTGGAAATCAAAGTCTAATTGAAAAAAAAAAAATGAGCATCAATAATGGGTGTTGCCGCCTCTAGCCCTTAGGACTTCTTGGAGCCAGTTAGGCAATCCATTCATGATATCCTGGATATCAGATTGGGGGAAAATTGTGCCACTCCTTTACGTCAGCTATCTTCAGCCCTTTAAATGATGCTGTGGCTAGTACTCTTGCTCTTACCCGTCTTTGAGGTTATCCCAGATATGCTCAATTGTGATAAAATCGGGACTGTGTGCTGGCCATAGTAGAACTTGAATCCCGACCTCATTAAGGTACTCATGGGTAGATCTTGCTGTATAGCAACGTGCATTGTTATGCATTACTCTGAAGTTATCACCAATGAATGGTGTAAAAGCATGACATAATCTTGGAGAACTTCTTGCACGTACACTTGAGCATTCACACTACCGAACACAAAAAGATCAGTACGCGCTTCGTAAGAAATAGCTTCCCAATTATTATTGACCCTCCTCGGTAAGCCACTGTTTCGGTTATAGTGCATGCAGCAAACCTTTTTATTCTTTTATTCCGCCATAGTCCAGTTAGCATATTCTCGCGCAAAATGAAGTCTAACCCTACGGTGTTGTGGGAGCAGTTATGCTGCGCGAGCTGGACGAAAAACCCGAAGTTTATTTCTGACAGTCTTCTTCTAATCGTTTGTCTACTCATACTAACATTTCTCACCTCAAGAAGAGACCTACGATCTACAGGAGCGGTGCAAAAGCGATTTCTCTATACTTTAGTGACAATGAAGCGGTCATCTCGAACTGAAGTGCATCGTTTTCGGCCTTAACCTGGCCCGCGCTTGTACGATCCTGTCTCCTGAAATCGTCTGATGGCATCTTGTACCGTATTTCTGGGTACATCGAGTATACCAGCTATATGACGTTGACTGTAATCAGCATCAACTAAAGACACTGCCCTAGCAGGGTTAGTTGGATCAATTGGCATTTTTAAAATCACAAACAATAAATAAGTACTAAAATTTCAACTTAAACAATATTCTCTTACAATGATATAAAATTACAATTTTAATTGTTAATTTTAATACCAATTTTCATTTTAATTACAAATTGTTCAAGACTTGTTATTAATACGGAAACAGATTTGCAACAATGTCGTATAACGACTATATGTCAAAAATCCTTTGATGACACAAATTTAGGAAACAAACTGTCACAAGTAATCTAAACTAAACAATAATACAGTTGGTGGGTTAATTTTGCTGGTGAGTTAAATCCTCTGTATTGATGAAAAACATGGCTAGTTGATAAATTGCCTAACTTTTGTATTATCCATCATAAGCGAATGAATCCAAAAACAAAATGTTGAGAAAACATGAGGCTATAGTTAGGTTATAATTTCAATATTTTATAAATGGTAGAATATTCCACAGGGTAATGCAAACTTTAAGAGAAAACGCAGTTTAATTCGTACACCCGGTATACAATGAACATTTACCTATTTCGCAACCATATTATTATACCGATATTGTCAAGGAATAAGGCTAGAACATTATAAAAAAATCACTTAAATCGGACAACAGGTTTAGGAGATATGACATCAAAAATTACTTATTTTTAAGGTGGCCAGTTAATTTTGGCCCAGAGTGTATATGTGGTTTAATAAAATTTCATATCTGTTTATTACTGAATTGTTAATATTTCTTTATGATACACCACACATTTTAAGTTTTTTAAAATTTTAAAAATCCTCCTAAAGTTACAACTTAAAATTCAAGAATGTGTAACATAATTTACCAAATAAATTGCAGTGAATGAAAGTTGTTACATTGGTCAAAGTCGACGTCAACAGTGGCAACGTATCACTAAACACAAAAGCGATTGCAAATAAGAAGTGCTGTGCCTTCGTAGACCATCACTTAAAGACAGTGCATAAATTTGACTTTAATAACGTAAAAAGTTAATAATTATAAAATCCGACTTTTTCTTGAAATGGTACACATTAACAAAACTCCAGAATCTATCAATTATAAGACTGACACTAAAGTAATGTCTACTACAACATTTTAAGTAACATATGACATGATAGATATTTTTAAGCTTAAAAAAATAAATACTTAATCTTTAAGTTACTCTACCTACAATTTTATTCCACTTCTGAATATCAGAATTACAACAACTGACTAAGTACCGACAATTACATTTTATGGATCAATTTAACATGCTTTTTTCAGATTATAGATCAAAAGCCGTTGCTAATTTATGTTAATAAAATATGACTTTAGTTAAGTCGCATACCACTATCATTTTTTCCTTTGACAAAATATTAAACAGTTGTTTTGAATAATATTTTACCATGATTTCTCTTTTTTTATTTTCAGATGCCTTCAGAAACTCCTTCAGATAATGAAGACATAGAACCTGTACCAAGAAACATGCAAAATAAAGAAGCTATCAGAATTATTGACTTAAGTAAACGTTTTTGGGTAATATTTCTATAGTAAATTAAAATAAATTTTCTGTCATATCATTTGAACCATTTATGTTAAATCTGTCTTTGTGTGTATCAAATTAAAGACCGCTTAGATGCTGTATACGGTAATTCTTCTTTTTTGATGACAAGAATTAAAGAGTTTCACCGTGGTTACACGTCGGTTTTTAATGAGCCACGCTTCGGTATCTCGAAAATGGAGGATAATGTGATATCCATAATGGAGATAAATATGGATAAAATGGATAAATATGGATAAAATTCAGTTGGCAGTGGAGCACACTGCCAACTGAAGATGCGCAAGATATCTGCACGAAATTTTGGGCATGAGAAAGCTGTCAGCTCTATGATTACCGCGTTTGCTTACTCCGGACAACGCAACCGTGACCGCTTCAGAGCAGTGTTTAGCGCCATTTAAGCTTAACCCAAAGGAGTTTCTATGTCGTTTTGTAACTGTATATGTAACATGAATTCACTGGTATACACCGGAGACTAAGAAACAGTCGAAACAGTGGACGTCGCTCAATAAACGTACTGAGAAGGAGAAGACTGTCTTATCGACCAACAACATTTTTTGATATACACAAGGGGTGGTCTAAATCGACTACCTGAAGAAGGGCAAAACGTTCACAAGGCTCTACTAGGCCGCATTATTGGGCCGATTTGTTGCCTCATCCACAGTATTCTACAGATTTGGTCCCTTGCGACTTCTTCTGTTTCTAAACTTGAAAAAGATACTCGCCGGGCAGAAATTTAAGTCGAATGAGGAGTTTTTTGCCTTCACTAAAGCATACCATAATGTGATTAATACGTGACACATATACATAAACATCCACAAAACAATTAAAATAGGTTTATCTTATAATAAAAAAATGAAAATCTAGTGTATATAAGATATAAATTATTGTGATATTTCTTCTTCTTCTAATTGCGCTACAACCCTTTGTGAATCTTGGCTTGCTTAACAATGGTCTTCCATTCTGCCCTGTCGGATACTTTCCTCCGCCATTGCCTGATGTTCACGATTTTAAAATCCCTCTCTACGTCGTCTATCCATTTTTTACGGAGCCTTCATCTTGTTTTGTTTCCTTGGAGCTTCCATCTCTGGACTACTTTTACAGCTCGATTATCTGGCATGCTTTTTAAATAACCAAGCCAGTTTAGTCTTTGTGACTTTACAAATCCAACAATATCTGCACTCTGCATTAGTTCATCCAGCTCCAGTAGTTCATTTTAATTCTTCACGAACCATCGCTGCATTGGGTTGTTCCAAATATCTTCCTTAGCTTTTGCGCTCAAATATTCTCAGTTGATTTTTATCAGCGGTTGAGAGGGTCCACGTTTCACATCCATATGTAGCCACTGGTCTAATTACTCTTTTGTAGATTCTAAGCTTAGACTTACGATTCAGTTACTTACATTTCATTAAGTCTTTGTATGCATAAAAGCACTTATTACCACTAAGAATCCATGCTAGTATTTTCTGACTGATGTTATCTATTATTGAGCCTAGGTAGGGAAAAGTGGAGACATATTTTGTAGGTATGGTTGTCTACCTTCAGATTCTCATGTTGATTCGATTTTGTGCATTCCATATGTTTTGTTTATATATAGACCATTTTGTTTATATATTTTCATTTATATATATATATATATATATATATATATATATATATATATATATATATATATATATGGACCAAACGTAGCAGCATCTCGTTTCATTTTAACATAATTTAAATTTCGTATGATGTAAACCCATAGATGGATGTCACAGCCACAACTTTATTGTGAGCTTCAACTACATAAGGCACTGAGGATGATCTGATTAGATCGAAAACCTTATGCTACTATATAAATTTTGACGACGCTTTTTAAAAGTTTTAACTATCTGTTTTTTATACCAAAATACAATTGTGAAGTGTTTTAACTTCTGTATGTTTTTTAATTTCGTCTTTATTAAAGGGCATTTTGAAGATAATAATTTAGTCAAATGACAAATATTTGTTATAATTGTAAACACTTCTCTAGTTAATAGTTAAAATATTTGAATAAAGCATTATTATCAAACAACTTCTACTACAATCAATAACAGATAACTTTGGTTATGTACTTCCGCCGAATTTTTGTAATAATCTTTTTGAGAACGGTTTCGGGAGTGAAGTCGAAAAGTCAAACACTAGTTACAAATATGATTTTCATTTTTTACCTATGTGATTTTGTATTAAGTAAACGTATTACATTAATAAAATCCTATAATTTTTTTAAATACAACGGATACTGTAATAACCACTTTCGTTTTTTTTATATTTGTAGAAATTTCGAAAACCAACTGTAGTAGCACTAAATGGCATAAATTTGTCGATATATGAAGGCCAAATTACAGCAATTTTGGGCCACAACGGAGCTGGAAAAACTACATTGTTTAATATTTTGACAGGGTTGTCCTCACCATCTAGTGGAACAGCTTTTACTTTTGGACTGGATATTAGGTACGGAATTAGGTAGTAGGTTAAAGATGTTAAATAGTTTGATATAACAAATTATTGTTAGTTATCTGTAAGTATCAAAAAATACTTACCTATAGTGTATTTTTATGTATGAGAGAGTAATAAAACAATAAATTATGTATGCAAATCCCTAAACTGTTGATACGGGTGACTCAATGAAAAACAGATATTTGTCAACAAGTTTACAGAAGTATATAGGAAAAGAATTTTAAATTGAGTATGACCACCAGGTATAAAGGTTGGAGCAGAATAGAATACAATAGTTGTGAGGGTTACTAATCCCTAAATAAGGTTGCCAGTGTCGGAGTGATGGAGGTTAACAGGTACTAATGAATTTGCAAGAAATGTAAGATGTTTATTTTATTGGTTATATATAACCAATAAAAGTTTCATAAGTACCTACCTATTTGCAAAATAAAGTTTAATTCTTTAGATAAAATAAAACGTTTTATTTTATCTGAAATAAGTGCATTCCACGAAGTAAGGGTTTCAACAATCAAACATTCAATTCTTTAATTCCAGGAATCTACGACAGTAATTGACTAGATAATTACCTTCTAAACTTATTCCACAGAAAATGTGATAGTGGGTTTTTCCATTTTGTAGGAAGGTCCAATTGGCGTATTCAAAATTCTTAACAGTTCACTAAAAGTAGGTACTTCATTTGCAAGGTGCAGTTTATTGTGTATACTAGTGTTATGGAACATTTTAAGTGCCATGTAAACGCCGAAAAATTGGTCCTTTAACAGTTAATGAAAAAACATTAATATTTAATTGTTTTAAATCATTTACAGACAAACGTTTATGTGAAAGTGTTGATGAGACCGTTGAGCTAGTTATCAGTACACTTGGTGTTGGGAAATCTACGATTTACAGAGTTATTAAAGAAGAGAAATGTGGTAGTTTTCAAATGCCACGTAATGCTCCAGGGAAACCAAAATTTCAAATAGAATATCATTTTAAAGAAGGACTTCGACGGAAAGTGCATGAATTCTTCTTTAGACAAGAATTTCCAACATTGGATAAAGTTCTTGTCTCAGTTCGAGATGATAAGGATTACCCAGAAATGAGTCGAAGTACGTTATGGAAACTTTTAAAAGAAATAGGCTTCCGCGGGAAAAAGAATCCCAGAAAGTCTATTTTATTAGAAAGAAGCGATATTGTCATATGGAGAAGACATTTTCTAAGAACCATAAAGGAAATGAGAAACCAAAAAAGAAAAATATTTTATCTTGATGAAACATGGATCAACGAGGGTCATACACCAAATAAATTTTGGCACGATGAAACTGTTACAAGTCAAAGGCACGCTTTTGTAAATAACTTATCTACTGGTTTAAACCCACCATCAGGAAAGGGACGCAGGCTGATAATAGTACACATTGGCAGTTCAGACAGTTTTGTTGAAGATGGTTTATTAACTTTTGAATCAACTCGTACCAGTGACTACCATGAAGACATGAACGCTGATGTCTTTCAAGAATGGTTCGAACAAATGATAGATCTTCTTCCTAAGAACTGTGTAATAGTAATGGGTAATGCAAGTCACTCATTATCACTCCAGACTTATAGAAGGACTGCCCACAACCAAGTGGTTAAAAAAGACTTGCAGAATTGGCTGAGTTCAAAAAATATTACGTACCATCCCGGATCTATAAGAAAGGAACTTTATTCGTTGTGCGCCCTTCATAAAGAAAAATTTAAAAAATACGAAATTGATGAAATTGCCAAAAATCTTGGAATGACAGTACTTAGATCCCCACCATATCATTGCGAATTAAACCCGATTGAACTGGTATGGGCACAGATAAAGAGTGAAGTTTCAAAAAAAAATACCACTTTTAAAATTCATGATGTTAAACAGTTGTTTTTGGAGGCCGTAAATAATGTAAAACCTGAAAACTGGGAAAAGGCAGTAAATCACACTATTAAAGAAGAGGAAAAAATGTGGAAGCTGGACAATATTACTGATAAAATGATCGAGCCAGTTATTATAAATCTTGGTTCTGAAAGTTCATCTTCTGAATCTGATTTGGATTTGTAACAAGTAGCTGTAAGTTTTATATTAATATTTTTATTCATCTATTTAACATACCTTAGACGGTTTTAAAAACTCTTTTTCTCTTTTGTAATTTTTAAAAATAAAAAAAAAATGTGAATTTTTCAAAACCCCTTTTAATGTAGGCCAGTCAGTTCTAATATAGTGTGTGATAAAAGAGGTCACTTTTGTTTACAAACACATAACACTTTATAACACTGAAATAATTCATTTATTTTTTACAATTATTCAAAGTAATTTTTCAATTAATCTTGAGCACGCCCATGGAGTGATCGGAGATACCAGTTTAAATTATGCTAATTAATCTCTCGTTCATAAAAATAAACTATAGTAAAAAACAATATAATCGATATAGTGCAACTGGTCATACTTTGAATCTTATTTCATTGCAAGAACTCGATGATGACACCAAAAAATCACATTTTTATAAAACTGAAAAACGTCTGTTTTGATTACAGAATACATATCTCTCTTTCTAGTTGTTACTAATAAAAAATCAAAGCAGATATAACAAAAACTTATAGCTACCTAAATAAAACGCAAATGAATTGATGGATTCGATCGTTACTTAATGAAAATTCATTTGGTACAACAATTAAACACTGAAAACTTCAACAAAATTGATTATAAAATCTTATCACTACAGCTGATTCAGCAGAGTGAATTTCTCAAAGTGACCTATTTTTGTGATGCGTTTACACTTTATAGTTTTTACCGAAATAGGTTGAGAAGAAGAGAACTGTTCGTCTTAAGTTGGTCATTCAGAATTATGTCTGTGTTTTTTTATTTGTTAATTTTCATAGATTTTAACAAAAATAGCTTAAACCTTTATTTTGAATGTGAAGAATTTGAAATTCGTCATTAAAAAAATTTTATGATCTAGAAGGTGAAGTGCTTATGTAGCACCTATTTTTCTATTATTGAAAGCCCTTTTATGTTCTCCTATTCGTTTATTAAACTTTCTACCAGTTTGACCGATGTAAGTCTTTAAGCAGTCGCTACATTTAAGTTTGTATATTATTGTGTATGTGCTTTTTATTTTGGCTCTTGTTATTTTTAATAAATTTACCTAAGTTGTTCTTTGTTCTGAAATCTGGTGTTGTTCCTTTCTTTTTTATGTGTTTGGCTATTTTTGTTGATAGTTTGCCTGTATATGTAATCGAGCAGAAGGAACTTTGTTTTTTCTCTGGTGGTGGACATACTAATTTCAGGGCTTTCTTGCGTAGTTTTTGATTTAAAATTTTATTAATTGTTGGTTCGTTGTATCCATTGTTTACTGCTATTTGCTTAATGATATTCAATTCTGTCTCAAAATTCTATTTGTACATCGGAATTTCTGTTAATCTTTGTAACATACGATGATAGGCTGCCAGTTTATGTTGTCTGGGATGGGATGATAAATTATGTATAGTCGTGTCAGTATGGATAGGTTTATGAAATATAGAGAAGTCATGTTTGTTTTTAAGTCTGATTATTTTTATATCTCAAAAATTTATGGTTTGATCTTTTTGTTTCTATTGTAAATTCAATATGACTCTGAAGTGAATTAATATACGATATTAGTAAGTAACCATCAATTTCCATAGCAACCCACTAATACATCAGTAAATTAAGTTCGAAACTTCATAACAAATGGATTACAGGTCCGTCAAAGGAGCTCAAGCAGTAGCATTATTGAGAGAAGACCTGAGCCAGAGAGCCGTGGCAAATTGACCAAATTTAAGCCAATCTGCTGTGTCCCGAGTGTATCGTCGGTACCAGATAATGGTGATTATGTCCTCCGACAGGGAGGTCGTAAACGAATAACAACAGAGAGAGATGATCGATTTCTTGTATCTAAATCTCTGAGAAATCGACATTTGACTGGTGCTAATCTCAAAGAAAAGCTTAGAGAGGTCTAAGGTGTAGTTACCAGCATTTGGACAGTCAGAAGGAGATTGAAAGCAGCTAATCTGACACCAAAAAGGGCAGCTACTGGTCCCAAGCTAAGTGCAGCCCGGAAGCAAAGACGACTAGAATTTGTTTGCGAACATCTGGATTGGGGCGACTATCAATGGAGTCAGGTATTATTCTCCGACGAAAGTAGGATCTGCCTACATGGCAACGAGAAGAGGCGTCGAGTCTATAGAAAGCCAGGGGAACGATTTGCTTAATGTTGTATACGAGAAATTGTGTCATATGGAGGCGGTTCTTGTATGTTTTGGGCAGGCATTTCCATGGACGAGAAAACCGAGCTGGTTTTCGTGCCTGGTGGAGGACGTGGAGGAGGTTTAACGGCGGGTCGTTAAATCAGAGATATTTTGGAGGAACATGTGGTTCCATACGCGGGGTTTATTGGTAATGCCTTGATTTTACTGCACAATAACGCACGATATCATACCGCATGAGTCACCACCACCTATCTGACTTAGATCGGTATACCTACAATAAATTGGCCTGCGTTGAGTCCGGACATAAATCTGATAGAGCATGTTTGGGATGGGCTTAAACGAAGGGTCCGGAGCAGAAATCATGCACCAAGGAGCATAGTGAAATTGAGAGCTGCGCTTAATGATGAATGGGAAGCAATGCCTCAAGAATTTATTATAAAAGTCATTCGATCCATGCGAAATCGATTGGAAAGTGTTATTAGGGATAGGGGTGGTAATATCAGATACTGAAAAACAAAACATTCATTTTGTAATTGATGATTTCTCTGTTAATTACGTCTTTCTTGGGATAGTTCCAATGATGAATATTTAAGAAACTCTGTTCGTATTGCATATTGTTTTTATAATGCGTTTTCCAAATAATGAAATAGCAGTTTTTGTAAGTTCAATAATAAAGTTACTGTTTGCACATTACATCTTGTTATTTTCATATTTCTTACATTAAAACAGAAGGTGTAATCTCAAATATCGCTTTTGAGTCGATTGTTTTGAACTCAAGTGTAGATACTTACATCATGATATTTTCAATATTTTAAAAAACTGGACGGTTACTATTTCTACAAGAATATGTTTACTTTACCACATTAAACAGGGTGCTGCAAGCATCTGATATCCTTTTATTACGGTTAAACATTGACATACAAATAAATGTTTAATGTCGAGAATACTTTGGTTTTTGCTTAGTGAATATACGAGCAGTCGCAATATATCACCTAAATTTATAATGTATACATCTAAACAAATAAAGTATAAAGGAAATACTACCCTGAAAATTGCTCGCTCGATCCGAGCTCTACTTATAAGTTTGAACGTATATATCAAACAGTTTAGCCATAAGAAATTAACTACAGATTGATGCATAGCATCAATTCTGACGTACTTATAACAAATAAAAAAAGTTCGAAAATATTGTCGCCAATGAATATTCTATGTCTACCTGAAAAAAATGGCATTTGTACTTTAGTGAGGATTTCTGTACCTAAATATAGATTTATTACCAATTTCATTTTCATGAGAAACAACTTTTCACACCTTTTATTTATAACAACAGTAGATTGCTTATACTTACATTATTAAAATTTGTGGTGGCTCTAATTTCGATTTTCGAATCGTTTTAGCACGGTTTTTACTGGACCTTATTTTGGAAGGCGTGACTTTATTTTTCGCTTGAGGAATTTTTCTCATTTTAAAAAATATTTATATTTCTAGAATAAAAAATCCTTTTAAGAATATATACTCGCAATAGAATTTAAAATATTTTTACGTAAAATAGACAAAAGTTTATTTGAAGAAAGTGTATTTTTTTGTTTTTCTTAATGGCTCGTTATTGTAATATTGTATTTAATTATAAAGTAATTTCCACATACTAACATATTTTTTAAATTGAGCCGCCACACTTTACTGTATCACGTATATGTGTGCCAAATTCCGTCTTGATGACGCGCTGATGTAGCCTCTTAAGAAAAAAAGCCATTTTAAGCAAGAATTTGTAGTCAAAAGACGATGATATGTTCAACCCGTTAACATGTAGAGCTGACTTGTCCACATTTAAATGTTATTTTAACAAAAACTTTCATGCAATAAAGACACAGGTTACTTCAAACACAAATAAAAATTTTTTCTGGCTTACTTTAAATTCATGTTAATGGACATGTCGAGTTTTGCATTAAGAGGACTGATTTCTTTTATATTACCATACCACGACGTTCATAAATAACAACATATACTTGACACATGTTAACATGGATCTTATCAATATGTATCTTTCAACTTATTTTGTAGGAACTCAAAAAATATGAATAAAATTAGGAAAATGACAGGAATTTGTCCTCAGCATGATATTCTATTTGATAATCTAACTACAAGAGAACATCTAGAATTCTTTGCTAAAATAAAGGGAATATCGGATATAAAAGCTGCTGTTAATAGGACGATAAGACAAATAGATTTAGTTGATAAAATTGATACGAAAAGCAAGTTTTTAAGTGGAGGACAAAAACGAAAACTATCAGTTGGTATTGCTCTAATTGGTGACCCAAAGGTAAGATTATTGGACTTGAGTTGTTATTAAAACTTGCAGGTGTAGGTCTTCCTAAAATATGTCCATTGACAGTTGCTAAGGATTAATTTGTTTACTGCTTTTGTCTATATTTATATTAAATAAGTTGACAATTAAGCTTTAATTTCTGATTACTATTAATATTATTCATTTTTATTTACTATCTTTTCTTTATTTTATTTACCCAAATTTACACATCTTAGGACTATGTGCAGTTTATTAGTCAAGAGTCATAATTTTTTTTGCCCTTATTCCTATATGGGGTGAGCTTCCCTAATAACATTTCTCCATATGTCTTGGGTCATACTAATATCAATTCCCTTTACTTACATGCCCTGTCTAAGCATCTCCCCCCAGATCTTTTGTGGTCTGCCTCTGCTACTCCTCACAGAAACTTGCAAATCTGCGATTCCTCGTGCCTTACTTCCTAGCCTGTGCTCTGTTTTTAGCTTCAATTGATGTCATCTCTAAACTTTCGTTAACATAATCATTCTAAATTTTATCCCTTTTATCATTTTTGGCACGCCACTCATTTATCTTAGCATTCTCATTCTCTCTATATACATTATTTTTTTAATTTAACTAATAATTTAATTATTTAATACGTTAACGACGGCATCAGATGTGTCAGTAACATTTACTGACGTTACCAGATCCCCGTGTAAGTTCGTACTATTCGGACGATACTAGACCTATAGGTCTGGTAAACATCTCTATAAATAAACGGTTTCTGTGACTTGGTATTTGAAATTACCTTGAATCTAACACTGACATCTCGTAGTAAACATTTCAATACATTTCCGGCAGCCATAGCACCAGATTCCGATGTCTGGTAAGGTATTTACGGTATATAAAAATCTATACTGATACCGATGTGATAATTTGGAATATTTTACCTTTAAAAATTAAATAGAATTATTTATTTTTATTTCAAGTAATATTAAAGTGTAAAAAATATATAATAATTATAATAGTAATTAATAATTAGATATGTCTATCATTAAAACAAGTTAAAGACAAAGCCAGTTTATTTTCACAATGTTCACAAAAAGTGTTTTACTTTGGTCACCTTCTTGTCAGCTTCCTTACTTTTCATAGTCTGTCTCAACTTCTTGTAACAAACAACACAATTTCGTCTACGTTTTCTACCAGGACCTTCTTCTCATTAAAGACAATATTTTCGTTTTGATAAATTGGTTTCAGATTTTTTGTCAGATATTTGTTTATTCATCCTTCTCAGAACCTCTTTGTTTATGATATGTTCTGTCCACGATATTTTCAGAATTCTTCTATACACCCACAGCTCGAATAATTCCACTTTTTTCATTGATGTCGCATTCAAGGTCCAAGATTTCCATTCTATAAAATAAAGTCGAAAATACGTAGCACCTCGCCAACCTAACTCTTAGTTCCAATTTTAAATCCCTTGTACATAGCACTCTTTTCATTTTGTTGAAATTTGCTCTAGCCTTTTTCATTCTTATTTTGATCTCCTGAATGTAATCATTTGTGGAGTTAGTCATTGTTTTCAGATAGGTATGCATATTTGTCCACATGTTTCGACGTGTATTTGACGTTGGTTTCGTTTATTAAAAGGTTCTCGTTATTTTTCTGAGTTTTCGATATTGTCATAAATTTCGTCTTCTTGACGTTCGAGTTTTTGATATTCTCATATATTTCGTCTTCTTGACATTCATTGTTAGACCGCTTTTTTCCATACTCCGCTATTCTGGTAGATAATACATGGTCGTATCTACAATAAATGCGAGGAATACCTGGATGACACTAAGTTTTATTTCCGTAACGGGTTTGGAACGAGAGAGGCACTGTTTGGAATAAACGTATTTATTCAAAGATGTCGTGATATATCTGTAGTCATATACTGTTGTTTTATTGACTTCCAAAAGGCATTTGATCGTGTTAAGCACTCTATATTGATCAAAGCTCTAAAATACATTGGCTTAGACGGCAGGAATGTTCAAATAATTGAAAATTTACATTGGAATCAAACAACATCAGTTTTAGTAGATGGTGTGGAATCACAGCCTCTCAATATTAAAAGAGGAGTACGGCAGGGATGCCTCTTGGCACCCTTGCTTTTTAACGTTTCCTTCGAAAGAATTTTCAGAAAAGCTTTTTCGAAAAACAAAAAGGAATTTTTGTGAACGGCGAAGTCATCAATAATTGCCATATGCGGACGATACAGTACTCCTAGCTTCTAGTCAAGAAATTCTGCAAACACTACTTGATAGTGTCGTTGAGAGTTGTAGGGAGGCAGGTCTGGATCTTAACATACGGAAAACCAAAATACACGTAAGATACAACAGCATATAAAACCGTCTATATATGTAAATAATACCAAACTTGAGCAAGTTGATAAAATCGTTTAACTTGGACAGCAATTAAATTGTAACGCAGAAAGTAACGCCGAAATAAGATCTAGGATAGAGCAGGCTAGAGCTGCTTTTAGAAGGATATCCAAGGTGTTATGCAACAGAGATCTAAAATTGGCTTTGAGGATCCGCCTACTTCGCTGCTACGTATTCTCGGTCTTACTTTATGGTGTCGTGTCCTGGACTGTGAATAAAATCGATCTAAATCGCCTTGATGCTTTTGAAATGTGGTGCTATAGAAGAATTTGAAAAGTTTTCTGGGCAGAGAAGATTCGAAACTCCACAATACTATAACGCCAAAGAAAGACTACTGAGATCATAAAAAGTATCAAGCAGAGAAAGCTGGAATATTTTCATGGTTTTCATGGTTGAAAAACTTGCGAGATTGGTATGGTGCTGATACAAGCATGCTATTTAGGGTGGCAGTGAATAAAATTAGGATAGCTATGATGGTAACCAACGTTCTGAAAGGACGTGGTACATGAAGAAGAAGAAGCTATTCTGGTCACCAGTCTCTGAAGATCTTTAATATTTTCGGCTAAGATCACAGTGTCGCCCGCATATCTAATGATATTAATGAGAACTCGATTTATCTTAATTTCAGCTTTTTCACCCTCAAGAGGGTTTTTTAGGATCTCTTCGAAGGAGGCATTAAAAAGAATTGGCGACAATACACATCCCTGTCTCACTTCACATTTAATTTCAATTTCTTCAGCTGTTCGTTGACACGTACTTTTGTTCACTGTTTATGGTATAAACTTTAATCTTTTTTGGTTTCAGGGCATTCATTAATATGAGGAATATAAGGTTATAATCTATGGTAGTGTATAGGAATGAAGGGCCGCACATTTTTTATATTTAAGATTGGGTTTAAGTTGTTCTTACCTCATTCAGTTAATCATAATGCCGCTTTGTTCACTTGATACTATTGATTTCTTCTTCTTCTTCTTCAAGTGCCCTGTCCGTTGCGAACGTTGCCTATTAACATGGCAATTTTGATCTTGTTTGCGGCGCTTCTGAATAGTTCGACCGATGTGAGCCCAAACCACTTCCGCAGATTTTGGAGACACGAATGTCTTCTCCTGCCTGGCCCTCGCTTACTGTCTATTTTTCTCTGGACAATCAATTGTAGCAGACGGTACTTATCGTATCTCAATATGTGGCCTAGATATTCAAGCTTTCTTTGTTTAATTGTATTCACGATTTATTTCTCCTTTCCGATTCTTTGGAGTACCTCTATGTTGGTGACATGTTCGGTCCAGGATATACGAAGAATGCGTCGGTACACCCACATTTCGAATGCTTCTAGTTTTCTCGTTAGCGTCTCCGTCAGCGTCCAGGCCTCCACGCCATACAGCAAGATCGGAAAAATGTAGCTTTTGACTATACGTAGTTTTAGGGGAAGAGACAAATCCTTGCTTATGAGGAGTTTTTCATATTGCTAAATGCTGCTCTAGCTCGTTCTATTCTCGCCTTAATTTCTGTGGTCTGTTCCCATTTTGCATTTGCGTTGGTTTCAGGTACACATAGGATTCTAAATGGTCAATTAGTATGTTACTTATTCGTAATTGTCGAGCACGTTGTTGCTTTTTGCTTATCAGCATCCACTTTGTCTTCTTGAAGTTGAGGCTTAGGCCGTATTCCTCACTAACTGAATAAAGTCTTTCCATTACTTGTAATTCGTCTATGGTACTGCATGGATCACCGTGTCGTCGGCATATCTTATATTGTTCGTTACCTCGCTGTTTATTTTTATGCCCTCATTTGCATTTTCCATACATTTGTTAAATATTTCCTCGGAATACATATTGAATATGAGTGGGGATAATATACACCCCTGACGGACACCTCTTTTGATCTGCACGCTTTCAGTGAGTTCGTTGCCAAGTTTTTTGCTGTTTGACCCCAGTATAGGTTTGCCACAATTCGAATGTCCTTGTCGTCAATACCTGTCTTTCGCAGAATACTTATCAATTGTTCATGGTTGACATTGTCAAATGCTTTTCTAAAATCTACAAAGCACCAATACACGTCTTTATCAACGTCTCTATACCGCGAAAATTGCTTCTCTAGTTCCACGTGCTTTCCAAAAACCAAACTGCGATCTATCAATATTTGACTCACATTTATCATATATTCTTCTACGAATGATCTTAGTGAACGCTTTAGTGATATGATTGATCAAGCTTATAAGCCGTTAGTCATCACAAATCTGGGCATTTGGTTTCTTCAGGATTGTAATAAATGTTGACTGCAGCCAGTTCTCCGGGATTTTACCGCTATTATATATGTTGTTAAAAAGTACAACTAGATTATCAAGGAACTGTTTGTCTGATTTACATAGGATCTTTAATATTTCGCAGGGTACATTGTCCGGACCTGCTGACTTATTGTTTTTTAGTGCTGCAATGGCATCTTCTATCTCCGATTAAAGGATTGAAGGTCCTGTTTCTCCTTCTCCATATAGGTGATTATCAGTCCTGTCAGATGCAAATAATTTTTCTATGTATGATTTCCATGTTTTTGACATCGTTGATGGCTCCGAGGTAAGATTTATGCTGTTGGGTGACTTATTGAATTTCCTCTTGTCTGTCATCGATTTTATTTTTTTGTGCGTATTGTAACTGTCGTATTTTCCTTCGTATTGTTCTATTTCCCTGCATTCGTTGGAAAACCATTTTTCTTTGGCTTCTCGAATTTTCGTTCTTACGGTTTTGTGGATCTGCTGGTATTTTTCTGCATTTTTATTCTTGAATTTACGTCTTTCATCCATCATATCCATTATCTCATCAGAAATCCATTCTTACTTTTTTCGTCGCTCACGCTTTAATAGAGTCGCACATGTTGTTTGGATTGCTTCCCTCGATTTATCCCATCTCTCTATTATGTCCGACGTGTTCTTGTTAATGTCCTTTATTTTCTTTCCTTATTGTTCTCGTACTTTTATTTCGGTTTCTGGGTTAGTGAGTTTTTTAATATCGATTGTGTTTAAATTAGATCTTTTCTCGAGCCGTTTTACTCTTATGACCATTCTGCATACCAACAAATCGGCACCTGAGTACGTTTTTGATGATTTTATCATGTTTTTATATCTTGGTACTGCTATATAATCTATCTGATTTCTAATGATGTTGTCAGGTGAGTCAGCGGGGGATTTCCATGTGTAAAGTCGACGTTTGGGGAGCTTGAAGAGTGTATTACTTAACAGCAGGTTATATTCCTGGCAGAAGCATATAAGTCTATCACCTCTATCGTTTCTCTCCCCTAGGCCGAAGTTTCCCACGATCTCATTCACCTTGCCTCTGCCAACCTTTGCATTGAAATCTCCCATCACTATTGTTACTTCATGTTTTTTTGTCATTTTCATCAGTGTTCGTAGAATTCTTCGCTGATTGCCTCATCTTTATCTGCCGTTGGCGCGTATACTTGTAATATGTTAATATCCACCGGTGTTGCTCGAATTTGTAAAAGCATCATTCTATCTGAATGGGGAGTGAAAGATTTTACTGTCGAATTAATATGTGGAGCAACTACTATTGCAGTGCCGTTTCTGTGATGTTTTGTGTTGTTTCCAGCATAGTAAACTTTATATCCAAGTATATCGCATTGTCCAGAGTTTTGCCAGTGTGTTTCACTAATTCCCAATATATCAAACTATTGGTTTACTTTTTCATAAAATACACGCTTGTGGATATCCATATTTATATAGTAATAAACACTTCCAAAGAGATATGTGATAAAATCTTAATTCGACGACTGAATTGACTAAACCTACAACCGTCAGACGATGTAACGTCCTATCATTCGACCGGTATCACGGTTTGTCGTTTAAAAGAGACGGCAGTCCCTGAAATGGCACATAATTTCAGGCAAACAAAGTAATAATAAAAGTAATACAGCGTTTAATGGCAATACGTGTAATGACTAGGTTTTTCACAAAATGACGTGTTACGCCTATTGTCTGCGAGACATACATTATTATTGGTCTTACATTTTCTTTATAAATTCTTGTCTTCATCTCAGTGTTAATATGTTGGTTTCTCCATACAGTGTTATTTAGGTATCCTACCAGTTTATTTACTTTGTGTAGTTGATATCTTCCTTGTGTTAGTTTATTATTTATATTTATTATGTATATTTCTGTTACTTGCATTACTTGACCAATACTGATTTCTATTGATTTCTAGCTTCCACCTGATTGGTTCTCTGCTATTTACTATTGTTTTAGTGTAATCTGAGTTAATAGTTCTGTGGACTAGTCTTTGTAGATTATCTTCATCTTTGGCTATCAATATTTCGCCTTCTGCGTAACATACTTTTTTGTTGCCCATTTTGATGATTTAATTTATGATTAAATTAAAGATCATAAGGCTTAACAAATCTGTCTTATTCCATTGCCCATGCCTCTTTTTTGTAGTTTTTACCAAAAATTCTTGATTATTATACCGGATGGCAAATCGTCAAACGGGCCATAGGAAACTCAATGGGAAATTTTAAATTGTTGAATTCCTGCTTCCCTAATTATTTTAGATCAACATTCATAAAAAACTATTTGTAGAGGACTAAATTCTAAATTAAAAACAAATGTTAAAACTGTTCTACGAATCAAATGTACTTCAAAATTTTGCAAAAATATAATAGATTTTTCAGACCACTCCTAAAAGTTAGGCCATACGTAATACAAGAATATATTATAACGTGTGTGTTTTATCATATTGATGTCAGATGTTTGACAATTTGAATTGTCAATTTTTTTTATTTTATGATTAAATTATAAACAATGAATTTTACTAAATACTACTACTACTGAACAATATTACTTTGTGTACAATAAATTATATTGTTTACAAATCGATCAATATAATGAAATGTACTCAGTTGACGAAAAATCGCATAATGTTGTATTCAGGCAATAGCGCGAACCTATTACTGTCACTACCGGATCTTTATTTAACGTAAGATATTCTAATACACTAAAATTTAATTCCATGTTAAGTTAAGTTATACAACAATCCAATGAATTCCAATATACTGTTACTGTGATCATTATTCCTAATAATAATATACGATAATTTCTAAACATAAAACTATAACAAATGTTATAATAAAACATGAATAAAACATTTTTATTATTGCTCTTTTCTCCTTAACTGAGTACATTTTTTAATCAACTTAATTTTTCTTTTAAATAATAAATCACAAAATTTTGGCAATTTAAATCATAGATAAATATAATGTAGTTGATTTAAATATTGTCAAATATTAGAAACGTCAATATGACAAAACGCAACACGTAATACACATTATTTTCACGGCGTCTGGCCTGACTTTTTAGATGTGGCCTGAAAAATGTATTATATTTTAGCAAAATTTTGGTGTAAAGTAATTAGGGAAGAAGGAATTCAACAATTTAGAATTTCTTATTGAGTTTCCTATGGTCCGTTTAACGATTCACCACCCTGTATAATAGATCAATATTGTAACATGAATATCTTTTAATATTATAATAAGAAGGTAACAATATGGTTGCAGATTATAATACTTGATGAACCAACTTCCGGCGTCGATCCTTATTCAAGGAGACACTTGTGGAATGTTTTGCAGGGACTAAGAAGCAATAAAGTGATATTGCTAACTACACATTTTATGGACGAAGCTGATATATTAGGTACTATATTGTGCAATATTTTTATGAGATACTTATTTTTTATACGTATAAGGTGCTGTATATACTACTCTTTTCACTTTACCCCATAACACAAAAGTTTGTTAATGTAGAAAAAAACGGACTAAAGGTTACCCTCCGTTAGAGATAGGCAAAATGCCCCCACTACTAGAATTAAACTTTGAAATTTTTTTACATTCTACGTGCTTAGATTCGATGCAATTTTAACCCTCTTTTCTCCCCTCCCAATGCCCCAAAAACGTCATTTTTTGTTTTTATAACCTAAATATGCATTTGTCTTGAAAAAGCGTATTACTTTTTTTGTATGTAGTTAGTTTCTTTTTATTTTGTGTATTTAATCAAATATTTTTGATGTTTTCGAGATTTTTACCATAGGTGCGTATTTTTTTAATCAAAAACTGTATTTTTAGGCGATTTTCTCCATTTTGTAAACTTCAAAATGGATTAAATCGGCGGTTTCTTATAGGTTGTAATAATATATGTTGAGATCGATACAACCTCAATATATATATATATATATATATATATATATATATATATATATAATATATATATATATATATATATATATATATATATAGATATATATATATATATATATATATATATATTTATATATATATATATATATATATATAGATATATATATATATATATATATATATATATATATATATATATATATATATATATTTATTTATTTATTTATTTATTTTTTGCGTTTTATGTGAATACAAAATTAGACAGCGCAATTTAAGCACGCCATCCTCTCTCCTACCCCCCAAAACGTTATTTTTTCGTATTTGTTTTTTCGGTGAGTTGCAAATCAATTTTCGTCGTCAAGTTGCAATAAAAGTTTCAAAAATTTCACAAGCATGGTTGAGACTCTTGCAAAACTTGTTTATTTTTTTATAGACCCATAGGTTTATTGTACATCACCTAAAAATTAATTTTTTTTTTTTCATAAAAGCTTTTTATTTTTTTTTAATCAAAAACTATATTTCTATTTTTCCAGATTTTTTCATCATGTGCGCCAATTTTAAAAGCCCGGAAAACTGATTTTTAGAGATTTTTTCTATTTGGTAGACTTCAAAATAAATTAAATCAAGGTTTTTTATAGGTTGTATATAAATTAAAGTAACTGAGTCTTTTACGTTATTCAAAAATTGCGTTTTTGAATATTCTAAATTGGAATTTTATAAGACATGAAAAATTAGTACCACCAAGACGCTTGTATACCTGGGTCTCCCAGCAAGATCAACCAGGACACGTAATACGGAATCAAATTGATTACATAATGGTGAACAAGAGATTTCGTAATGGATGCCTATCAGTTAAGAGTTACCCAGGTGCTGACGTATAATCAGATCATGTTCCTGTTGCTGGTAAATTTAGGTTTAGATTCAAGAAGGTCACAAATAAGAATAGTAACAAAAAGTGCGATATGACAAGACTAAAAGATAACAAAACAAAAGAAACAGTCGCACAGATTCTTTCAGAAAAGCTAAGTAATATGGAGCAAACATATAATGCCGAAGAATCACTAAAAAATATATGTGAAACCTTTAACAAGATCAGAGAAGAACATCTAATAGAAAAGAAAGATAAGAAAAAAAGTTGGATGAATGACAATATACTGCAACTTATGGAAGAAAGAGGAAATCAAAGAACAACAAAATAATGTACAACAAGATTCAGAGACAAATAAGAACCGAAATACGAAAGGCCAAAGAAAACTTGTTAAAATCACAGTGTGAAGAGATAGAGTTATTAGAACAAAAACATGATACGTTTAACATGCATAAAAAGGTGAAACAAGCAGCTGGTCTTCAGAAATCCAACACAGCTAATAAACTACGAGACCAACAGGGAATGTCATCACAGATAAAAATCAAGAAATTTGCATATGGACAAAATAAATACAAGAACTCTTTGATGATACTAGATCCGAACAACCTCTATCCTACATATGTGATAACTACTTATCAATCACATCAGATGAAGTGCAAAAAGCCATATCACAACTAAAAGATGGCAAAGCTCCTGGACCTGACAACGCATATGCTGAGCTCATAAAACTATTTAACACCGACGGTATTCAACACCTAACAAAAGTATTTATTGACATATATTTAAGCGCAGTAATACCAAGAAAAATAATTTATGATGGGTAAAATCGAAGGACGCAGAGGAATCGGTAGAAAACAGGCCTCTTGATTGTAGAATATTAGGGAGTGGACAGGAATGAGGAAAGCTGAGCAACTCTTTAGAATAGCTCGAGACAGAGACAGTTTCGCCATGTCAATCGCCAACGTCAAGGGGACTTGATAGGGCACGTTAAGAAGAAGAATACCAAGAACATGGCTAAAGTCGACCTTAATAGCTTTACCAAAGAAAGCAAAATCTGTATCCTGCAGTGATTTCCGAACCATCAGCTTAATGAGTCATATTTTAAAATTATTTCTAAAAATCATACATCAAAGGATATATAGACTGTGCGAATAAAAAATCAGCCGTACACAGTTTGGTTTTCGGAATGCAGTGGGTACGAGAGAGGCTCTCTTTAGTATACAAGTGCTATTTCAACGATGTAGAGACGTGAACTGCGACATTTATGCGTGCTTCATTGACTACCATACAGCGTTCGATACAGTAAAACACGACAAGCTGATGGAGATATTAACCAATACTGGAATAAACACCTGTGATTTAAGAACTGTCAGCAATCTGTACTGGAATCAAACATCATCTATCCGGACAGAGGCAGGAGAATCCGACCATATCAAAATCAAACGTGGCGTCCGTCAGGGATGTATACTATCACCACTGCTGTTTAACATATACTCTGAGGAAATCTTTCAAGAAGCAGTGGGTGATGTTGAAGCCGGAATTCGAATCAACGGAGAATCTATCAATAACATTAGATACGCGAACGACACGGTAGTATTCGCTGATAGTTCTGAAACCCTCCAGGAGTTAATGAACAGAATGACAGAGGTCAGTCAGAGATACGGACTTTCACTATACACTCTAATGATGATCTCTAAAAAGGAACAGCAATTTGGACAAATCAGTGTAAACAGTCAACAAATAGAAAGAGTAAAAACATACTCCTACCTTGGTACGAACGTCAATGAAAATTGGGACCATTCCATAAAAATTAAATATAGAATAGAGAAAGCAAGATCTGCATTTCAAAAAACGGCTAAGTTATTCAAATGTCATGATTTATCAATGCCCATAAAAATCAGGTTACTACGATGTTACATCTTTCTTATACTATTGTACGGAGTTGAGTCATGGACTCTCACAGACGCCACCTGCAAGAAAATTGAGGCTTTTGAAATGTGGCTTTATTGTTGTATCCTGAACATATCGTATACCAACCACGTTACTAATGAGGGTGTTCTGTTAAGAATGAAAAAAGAAAAAGAGCTGTTAACCACAATAAAAACAGCCAAAATCGAATACCTCGGTCACATTATGAGGAACAATATTGAGGAAAATATTGCAGGGAAAAGTAGAAGGAAAACGGGGACCAGGAAGGCGAAGGATTTTCTGGCTGAAAAATCTACGAACGTGGTTCAACACAACAACCACAAATCTTTTTAGAGCAGCAGTGTGTAAAGTTCAGATTGCTATGATGGTCGCCAATATCCGAAACGGATAGGCACTACAAGAAGAAGAAGAAAAATTAGTCCAAATTCTAAATACAAAAAACATAGACCATAGGAACTTACGAATAATAACAAACCGCCACTGGAATCGAAGAGCACAAATCGTAATAGATAACGAACCCAGTCCAGAAATCAAAATCAGGAGAGAAGTTAGGCAGAGATGTATTATGTCCTCATTATTATTTAATGTATATAGTAAAGCCATTTTTGAAGAAGCAATACTATCGCACAGTGAAGGAATAATAATTACCGGAAGATCTATTAATAACATAAGATATATGCAGATGACACCGTGATTATGGCAAGCTCTGCTGAACAAGTCTAATTACTGCAAAACAAAACAAACAGTTTCTGAGAAAATATGGACTCTAAATGAATATACAAAAGACCAAATACATGATAATAATAAAGAAAACAAATATACCAACAAACATACATTTGGGAAATGTACCGATAGAAAGGGTTGATAAATACAAATACATAGGAACCTGGATTTCAGACAATAATGGTCAAACGACCAAAATAAGAGCCAGGATAAGAATAGCAATAAATGCCTTTGTAAAAAAAAACAATTCTCTGCAACAAAGACCTTAGACTAGAACTGAGAGTAAGATAACAGATATGCTACGTATTTTCGATACTGCAATATGGACTTGAAAGTTGGACATTGAAGCAAGAACACATAAATAAGTTACAGTTACTTTGAAATGTAGTGTTACAGGAGGATGCTCAGAATAGCATGGATACAGAAGAAAACTAACACGGAAGTATTGCGAAAACTGGGCAAAGAATGCGAAATAATAAACACAATAAAAATAAAAAAGTTACAATATCTGGGACACGTAATGAGGGGACAGCAATATGAACTACTAAGGCTGATAATACAGGAAAAGTTAATAGGAGGAAGGAGTATAGGAAGAAGGAGAGTGTCATGGTTGAAGAATTTAAGGGAGTGGTTTAAATGCAGTTCTATAGAACTCTTCAGAGTAGCGGTAGATAGAGTAAAGATAGTGATGATGATATCCAACCTCCGATTGGGAGACGGCACTTAAAGAAGGAGATATTTAACATCATGGATAAAAGACCATCGTCTACAACATATTTGTAGAACTGAAAGAGTGATTTGTTGTAGAAGTGTTCGTATAATTGTGTATGGAATTATGCAGAATTATAATCCTCAAATGTAAATTTCTGTAAAATTTCGCTGTTGACCGGCCCCCAGACAATAACTTATTGCATTGGGTACTATTGGTTCTTCTAAAATTTTCTGTTTGGAGACTTCAGAATGTTGGGCAATGGCAGATTCTATATTATAATCAACACGTTCTCCAAAATTCGTACATTCTTTTTCTTTACTGGGTGACGTCGATACGTCCTAAGGGAATATAATGAAGCTTGAGAGGGATTTGCTTTCACTGACCTTGCCAAGACATTTGGATAATATTTTTAAAATACGACCGTAAATCTGTATGTATCTGTTATTTTGCAAAAAGTTAAAAAAGGGGTTCCTACATAAGACATATTTCAGGTTATGTTTATGGCTACTCTCAGTGAGATTAAACTATCCAACGGATTTACCGTGAACATACTTTCAAGAGAATAGATAGACGCTTAAGAGTCGGCACATATTGCTACTTTTTATATCCTGGTGATAGTAAGTATAGCTTGGAGAAAAGAAAATAATTTAGCAGTATGTATGTAGTAAAAGAGCAGAAGATTAAAAGATATGATTAAATATGATTAAATCTGTATTTGAAGTTACATTACATCTAACAGCTATTGGGCTCTAAGAAGCATTTTTGTATACAATTTAGTTAAATATGATATTCGCAATTAATTATTTAAAGGTTTGCCTTAGAAATTGTGGATTTGTCTGATGCTTATCATAATTAGTTAACGAGAAATTAAAATCTGCTATCGATTTATTCCAGGAAGGTTTCCATGATATTAATATTGGAGTTGTGGCTGAAAGATCGTATTGTTCTAAAGCTATTTTCTTGTGGCATTGTAAATTAATTACTATTTATAACTGGGAATAAGCCACAATTAAAGATAAAAATACGTTTATTGACGTTTCAATTTCCACTTCGGATTATTACAAAGGGCTTGAAGTTACGTCCAGCATATTCAAGCAGAAGGTTGGAAAACATTCTACATAGAGCCAGTTTGTCCATGATCCGAGAAATATTACAATATCATAGATCGAATTTATTTTTTGTTGAACAAGATATTGTAAGTATTGAAGATTTGCTTTTCAATGTGATATCAAATTCTGATTTTGATCAAATTATTTTTAGTTTACATATAGTATATGAAAATTCATATAGAAAACAAAGAAATATACATTTAAATAAATTTAATATTCTTTTAGAACAAAACAGTATACACACTTTAGATAACCTCAATAGAAATGATGACATATTAGCGACAGTTGTCAATCTATCAAATAGACATTTAAATGCAACGGAGAGTTTAATACTGTCAAAAGGTCTAAACTTTGCTATTACTCAGCCATCCGTTTCAAAATTAGACATAATAAGCTCAGTGGAGAAAATATCTCAATGCTTAACAACCCACGAGGTATTTTGAGAACGATTTCCGAAGTGGAAATTGAAACGTCAATAAACGTATTTTTATCTTTAATTGTGGCTTATTAGCAGTTTAATAGTAATTAAGATCGTATTATTTAGATGTGGTGGGAGATACTGTGACATTTAAATGCTACTTAAATTCCAAAAGTTTTCTTAGATATACGTTGAACCACTATAAATGAAAATTAATTCAATAATCATTTACCTCTTTTATAGCTGATCGAAAAGCAGTAATCTCCAAAGGTAAAGTGAGATGTTGTGGAAGTTCATTATTTTGAAAAATAAATTTGGTGTCGGCTATCACTTGACTTTAGTCCTTGAAACTGTGGCCAGGGAAGATTCTATAACTCAGTTAGTTACGCGATACATCAGAACTGCAAAAAAGGACAGAAGACATGGAAGAGAATTAAGTTATATATTGCCACATAATACAGTAGACAACTTTTCCTCACTATTTACAGCCATAGAAAATGAGATTAGTAGTAGGTCCAATTTAGGTAAGTGAATATTTAATATAAAAGCTTTTCATGTTTAGTTCCCTTTAGAATATGAGTTGCTATTATAATAGCTACTCAAATCTTGTATTAAGCAAATATTCAAACAAAAGTGTTTTACGAAAAATTTCTGGATTTAAAGTTTCAATTATCTGCCAAGCAAGCGAGTCTTCTACAGCTGGCGCCGCTTCTCGCATCCTAACTTGCAGCGTTTTCTGTCGAAGAAATCCTCAGTTGTTAGATCTCTGGCGGTCGTCGACATCGTCTCTCCAGGATCGTCTTGGTCTACCTCGTTTTCTTCTAGTTGGCGGAGTCCATTCTTCTATTTTTTTTTGGCCATTTATTTTCCGGCATTCTCTGAATGTGTCCATACCAGTTAAGTCTTTTGGCTTCGATTGTGTCTATTATATCTAGATCGATTTCCATTTCTCTCAGAATATCTTCGTTTCTCACCCTGTCAAGTCTAGTGAGCTGGCAACATCGTCTCCAATAGTTCATTTCCATGGCCTTAATTTTTGATTTGTTTCTTCGGTTTAGTTCCCAGAGTTCGGCGCCGTACAGTCCAATACTTTCTATTATTGTTTTATAAATTCTTCTTTTATTTTCTTTTGTTATTTTTTTATTCCATAATAGTCCGTGTAGCTGTCTGGTGGCTGATCTTGCTTGGTCAATCCTGGAATGAATTTCTTCGCTACTTCCTGCTTTTGATGTTATTTGGACTCCCAAGTACTTAAAATTGTCTGTTGGTTTTATAGTTCCCATTTCGATTTGTAGGCTTTCTGGTTTTTCTCCTACAACTAAATACTCAGTTTTTTGTATATTAATTGTAAGGCCCCATTCGGTGTACTCATTTTCCAGTTTTCTAAGCATGTAGCTTATATCACTCTCGTCTTCAGCTAGAATGGCTTGGTCGTCAGCGAAGTGTATCGTGTACAATCTATCACCTCCGATTGGGATGCCCATATTGCAGCACTTTCTTCTCCACAGTGAGAGTGCCTCATTTAGATATATTTTGAAGACTGTAGGTGCTATGCAGCTGCCTTGCTTTAGATCCTTACTAATAGGAATTTCTCTAGTTAATCTATTTCCAGTTTTAATGTTAGCTGTCATATTTTTGTAGAGCTGTTGTACTGCTTGTATATATTTTTTTGCTTATTCCTTGTTTTTCCATTGCTAGCCAAAGCATTGAAAGTGGTACACTATCGTATGCCTTTGTCAGATCTATAAAGACTATATGAGTTGAAAGGTTGTGGGCTAATCTTTTCTCGATAACTCGCTTTAGAGAGAATATACTGTCCATGCAGGATCTGCCTGCACGAAAGCCATTCTGTTCTTCTACATCTGTCATCTCATTTTCAATTTTATTTTTTATTATTTTTCCATACAGTCTTGAGAGTGAATTTATGACACTTAGCCCCCTGTAGTTTGAACAATTTTTTCTATCTCCTTTTTTGTAGATGTTGTTAATATGTGCTTTTGTCCACTCCGGTGGTAAGTCGTGTCCATTATAGAATAAGGTGAAGACATACGTCAGTAATTCCCGTAATACTTGTGGGCTATGTTTTAATAATTCATTTGGTATACCTTGTGGTCCGCATGACTTCCGATTTTTTAGAGTTCGTATTGCATTCTCGACTTACTTTACTGTTATTTCATCGTCGTCACTGAATTTCAGTTCATATGTTGTTGTACTGATGTTGGTGAATCTTGTTTCAGTCAAAAGTTGTGAGTAGTGTTCGATCCAAGATTTTTCTTCTATTAAATCTATTCTACTCGTTTCTTTTCTGTTTGTTTTCAGATTTTTTGCCGTTTTCCATGCTTCTCTTGATCTTGTTGACCCTATATATTTGTTGAGTTCTTCGCATTTACTTTCCTAGGAAATATTTTTTGCTTTAGTTACTAAATTTGTTACTTCTCTGTTTGATCTTGCATATATTCGCCTATCATCTGGATCATTTCTTTGCAGCCACTTTTGATATGCTTGTTTCTTGTTGTGTACTGCATTATCGATGTCATTTGTCCACCACAATGGAGTATTCTTTTTGTTCTTTTGGATTGTACTGTAACACAGATAAACCGTTAAATTTACCCATTTCTCAATTAGAGTATACAGAATCATTATCAAATCTCAAAGAAACTAGCGCTGGCCCGGACGATATTCTTAGTATTTTTATCAAACACCTTCCAGATAGCGCTCAAAAACAACTTCTAAATCTGTTTAGTATTATTTGGCTACAGCACAAATTTCCAGAAAAATGGCATGAGTCCACTGTTATACATACCTATACTAAAACCTAATTATTAAAACAAGTTCTGAGTCATACCGACCGATATCTTTGACATGCGCCATGTGTAAGTTACTAGAAAAAATCATTAATAATAGACTAAGATGGCACCTGGAGAAACAAGATTTAATTATTCCAGAACAAAGTGGTTTTAGAGAACAAAGGTCAACCATAGATAATATCGTAGCCTAATGCCTAGCGGTTTTCTTTGACATATTAAGAGCTTTCGATACAGCCTGGCACGATTATATAATAAAAAAATTACATAGTTGGAACATCCAAGGTCACTGTTTCTTCTTTATTAAAACCTTTCTTCAAAATAGAGCTTTCAGAGTTAGGACAAACAACACAACATCAGTTATAATGTATCCAGGAAATGGCATTCCTCAAGGCTCGGTTATAAGTCCTACGCTCTTTATAGTGGTAATCAATGATATTCTCAAAAATCTAAAATCGCCTATAAAAGCACGCGTCTACGCGGATGATCTTGTAGTTTTTTGCAAAGGTAAAAATATACAAAATATATTTTGTCACACACAGAACTTTATACAACACTTTGAACTCTGGTCACAAAAAACAGGTTTCTGTTTTTCCACTGAAAATAATCGTTTCATCCTGTTTTCTAAGAAAAATATCACAAAAACCCCCAACCTAAGACTATGTGATGAAAACCTAAAACGTGTAACGTCAATAAAATTCTTGGGCATGACATTCGAAGAAACTCTAAGCTGGAAACTTCATATAACAAATTTGATCTTATCTTGTCACAAGCGATTAAATCTTCTAAAAACTCTGGCCAATGAAGAATGGGTGCGGATCGCCAAACACTTTTAATGTTATACAGAACATTAATCAGATCAAAATTAGGTTATGGATCTACTATGTTTTCTACAGCCACTAAGACATTGCTAAAAAACTTGACAGTCTTCACAACCTATCTTTACGTAAAATATCTGGAGCTTTTCGTACAACACCAATCGAAAGTATTTATTGTGAAGTTGGTGAACCGTCCTTAGAAGACAGAAGACTTTATCTAAGTGTAGCATACGCCGCAAAAATCAGGTCTAACCCAAAGAACCCTACTATTCACAATTGTTCTACAGAAAAATTCCGAAATCACTTTATAAATAAGACAAGAACAGCCAAACCTTTCTACGCAAGGATTAGAAGCTATTTAAATCAATTAAACTACACGTTCCCAGAATGCTTTTCCTCCCAATCGTCCTCAATTCCTCCATGGCAAATAAAGAACCCTCAGTACCCAACCCGCCTCATTTCTTTCGACAAACATTCAACAAACCCACAGTCAATCAAATCTGCCTTCAATGATATGCTTCACAACTATAAGGATTATATACATATATACACAGACGCATCTAAATCAAATGAAGGTAGTGGTGCTGCAGTCATAACCCCAACATCGACAAATAAATATAAACTCCCTTCAGAGTACTCCATTTACTCTGCTGAACTATATACTCTATACCAGGCCACCCTTGCTGTCAACGCATCCAATAATACCAATTATATTATACTCACTGACTCTCTAAGTTCCGTACAGTCAATTCAATATGTCTATCCAACTAATCCTTTAGTCATGAAGATAAAAGAAGAAATTCACACCGCTCAACTGAATGGAAAAAAAACATTATATTATTCTGAATATCATCCCATATTGGAATTCCAGGAAATGAACAGGCAGACAATGCTGCAGAAGAAGCTGCAAGTAGTGATAGTGCGGAGTGCACTCAAACATTTAGGAGTGCGGACGTGAAAGCGGCGGTTAAATATAAAGTGCGATATATGTGGGAAGAAAAGTGGAAAGTGTCATCGGCCAAGTTACGCGATGTTAAAAAATCGATAAAACCCTGGCCCACGTTACCAACAAGTCGGAGAGACCAGGTAATATTAACGCGACTCCGACTGGGTCATACGCGATTAACTAATAGCTACGTGTTCTCCAACAAACAAGAACCAAGATGTGACAACTGTGATGAAAAATTAATAACCAAACATATGTTAGAGAAATGTCCAGCACTAACGCCAAAGCGCATGTTGTACAATATACCAAACAAACTTAGTGATATTTTAGGTCTACAGTACAATATTTCAGACATAAAAAGTTTCTTAACCTCAATTAACGTTTTAAATGCTATCTAAACTAACATTATAAATGTAATACAAATTATTGTTCACTATCATTGTTTCGCTAATAGCCAATTTGGCTGATGCGATTTTGTTAATAAAAAAAAAGTTACAATGGTTTAAGTATTTTAGTCTTAATTTGTTCGATTTAAAATTATTTAAAAATAGAATTCTATTATCTTTGACACGCTGGTTTAAAAAGGGTTAAAATTAAGGTGATATTTGTTAATTTTTTATATTTTTGCTTATGTTTTGAACTAAAACATAGTTGTGTTCCATATTTGTTATATTAAAATAACAAATAAGGCAACACGTTTTACGTTTGTTCTTTTTCTCAAGTTTTAATATTTATAAAACTTTTAGGTATTGCTAGCTATGGTGTTTCAATGACAACTTTAGAAGAAGTTTTTCTTCGTTTACAAAAGGAAGAACAAGAAGCTGAAAATGTGCCAGACTCAGACGGTAGGACAGAATCTAGAAATATTGGTGCACAACCAGAAATAACAAGATCTAAGCAATTGCAAAGTAGCTCTGATGCACGCACTCCCGGTATATATTATTTTGGCACTTTCTTCCAAAGAGTACACAGTTTTTTTTACATTCTGTTTACATATTGTTTATTTAATGAAATCGTTAGTATTTAGTGACAATTTTTCAAGTGGAAATAACGGAATCACTTCGTGAAATAAATAACAAATCAGAAAAGAACGTACCGTTTAATTGCCATCTTCTAGGTAGAGCTTAAGGTACTCAATTCAGTAGAGGTCAATTCTAAGCTTGTATTATGTGGATGCCCTAAATAAACTAGGAGACCGTATCAAAGTAACGGTACCCTTGATACCGTGATACTGGGGCTAAAAGGGCAATCAAAAAGCAGATGATATGGCTATAAATACGGCATTATAGTGCAGAAGGCTAAGGGAAACCACTGCATTAGGAAAATCACCATAGGATTGACACTGCAATTGCAAGCCGTTACTAATCATGGAAAGCGGAGACCAAGATTCGTCAGGAGAGGAGAAACATGCGAAAATCTTGTGAAGAAATCCTAAAAATATAGAAATTTAATTTTAGAATGTGCACATGGAATGTTAGAAGTCTATTTGCGGCTGAGAAACTTGACAACGCAAATCGAGAAATAAAAAGAATGAAAATAAATCTACTGGATATCAGTGAAATGGGACGGCCAGAGTAAGAATCATGTAAAAAGGACTTAAGTGTATTATATTATTCCGGTAACAGCACAGAAGACCCGCATCACCAAAAAGGTGTATGTATATTAGTAACATTAGAACTGAGTATTAAATATAATAATATTACTCCAAATAAATACCCAACCATTTCAAACTAACATACTTCAAATCTATGCCCCGACGATAGAAAATATGACGATAAAGTCGAGAAGTTGTATGAGAAGATCCAAGTCATCTTACAGAAACTTAATAAACGTTATATATTATAGGCGACTTCAATGCCAAAATTGGAGAAGGTCGACGAGGTCAGACTGTAGGTCCTTATGGTCTAGGACAACCTAACGATCGAGGACACAGATTGTATGAATTTTGTAAAGGAAACGATATGATTATTGTAAACACCTAGTATAAACTACCCAAGCGACGACTATACACTTGAAAAGCACCATTTGATGATGGCAGTATCCAGGAGTCCTCAAGCAATCAAATAGACTATATAGTTGTAACTGAGCATTTCCGAAATGCCGTCAAAAAAGTAACTACATTTACTGGACAGATATTGGATCTAATCATTAACCACTTGTAGCAGATATTAATCTAAGACAAAAAACGAAAAAACCAAAAACCAATGTATTTAACTTTGAAGATATAAACATAAAACATAACATTAAAAAAGAATTTAACAATAGAATAAAAAAATCAGAAAACAACTAGAAGATCCAGAAGAACTATGGAGTGAATTTAAAAATCAAGTTAACGAAATCTCCACAAAAAATGATTATAGAAAACACTTAAAAAACAAGAAAAATAAATGCATGACAGACGACATCTTGAAATTAATGAAACAACGTCGACTGATAAAATCTAATGAAACAGAATATAGACACCTGTAGAGAAGAATAAAAAAGGAGATCAAATTAGCCAAAGAAAAATGGATGAGAGAAAGGTGCGACAAAATGGAGGATGTAATATCAAAACACGACTTGTTGATTTAATTGCACAATGTGCACAAAAAACTTAAAGAAATACGTAACGTATTTAAAAAACGAGTTCCCTCTGTACTCGTTGACAATAAGAACAAAATTATGGTAAATGAGCACGAAATAAGAAAATAATGGCAGCTGTATATATCAGAGTTGGTTGAAGATGACAGGAATAATATTGCCTAATTCTATCAAAAATGTACTGGTGGCGCAGAAATGATGAAATGTGAGGTAGAACACGCTATTAATAATGCTAAAATTCAAACAGCTTTTGGTTCAGATAATACACCAACTTAATTAACTATTAGCTGAATCTAATAGAGGACGATTTTTTAAAGTAGTAGTAGGAATTTTTAATTTAATATATAACACCGGAGTGATTCCCATAGATTGCCTTAAATCCATCTTTGTAGCAATACCAAAAAAACACAATGCGAGAAATTGCTAAGAATATCCATTAATTAACCACATTCTTAAAATTTTACTAAGAATACTTCACAACAGAAGTAGACGCAATTGCGAAGAAGATCTCGAAGATACCCAATTTGGTTTTAGAAATGCTATGTGAACCAGGGAGGCACTTTTCGCTCTTAACATACTATTACAAAAATGCAGTGACCAAAGAAAAGATGTATTTGCATGTTTCGTGGACTTCCAAAAGGCATTCGCTAAAATACAGCATGTAAAATGAATGCAAATACTGAAAAATATCGGAATAGATGACAAGGATATTCGTGTCATTAACAATTTGTACTGAAGTCAAACTACTATCGTAAAAATTTGAATAACTACACCTATGAAATCTCCAAACAACGAGGAGTCAGACAAGGTTGCATTTTGTCGCCAACATTGTTCAACGTTTACTCGGACCAGTTATTTAAAAAGGCACTTGGGAGACAACCATAGGGAATAAAAATCAATGGGGAACTACTTAATGTGATTTGATATGCAGACGATATAGTAATTCCAGATAATATTAAAAGTCTCCAAATTCTGCTTGATCGTATTCGCGAGGTAGGGGAGGAAATGGGCATTAAAATAAACTTTAAACAAAACCAAATTTTTATTGCTTAATTGTGGCCCACATCCAGATGCAAAGCTTCAATTAAACGGAGTCCAAGTTGAGAAAGTTCACAAAATGACATATTTGGGAACTGTGATAACGGACCAGCTAGATCTAGACATAGAAATAAAACGTAGAATAGTAATGACTAAAACTACTGTAATGAAAATAGAGTAATTTCTTTGTAATAATCATCTCAGTTAAGACAAACAATGGTCAAGTGCTGTGTTTGGTCCGTACTTTTGTAGAGTGCAGAAGTGTGGACGCTAAAAGTATCGATCATGAACAAAAACTAATGAAGAAGTACTAAGGAGCGTCAACAAAGATAGAGAACAGCTAAAGACTGTTAAATATCGAAAAATGTCTTATCCGGGACATATAGTAAGAAGAAGTCGATATAAAATATTGCAACTGATCCTTATAGACAAAATAGAGGGCCGTAGGGGTAGAAAGGAAACATGTTTATTAGTTGATAAACATTCGTGACTGGACTCGGATATCAAATGCGGGACAATTATTCTATATTGCAGAAGATTGAGAAGCCTTTGCAATGGTGATCGCCAACGTCAGATAATTCTGATATAGCACGCCAAAAAGAAGATGACCTGTATGGGGCCATCAATGACATTCGTTGGACCGAAACCCTTACACAACATTGCATACAGACTGTAAGCACAACGGCTACAAGAAAGTGAGTAACTCACAAATTTCTGAAATGGTAGAGAAATTCATCAGGTCAAAGATAGGCAAAACATTTCATTACACAACATACAACAACATTCACGGTAGACCTAATAAGCAAAGACAAGGAAACAAAGTCATAGTTTGACAAACAATGCCTAGAATAAGGGTTAAGCAGGATTTTTATAATAAGAGACTAGCGTGAGTGTTGTATGATTATCGAGGTGGATGTCAACTGCCAGGAAGTCTTCACCATTAAGGATAACATGAGGAGGGATGGTATGAGTGGCAAAAGGAATGCCATATTTAATTAGGAAGCCAATACCGCGAGATATTTGACTGCGAGGACGGAATAGTGTGCAGTATCCAGGAAAAATAGGGTCATTTTGGGAAAGGGTGTCGGAGAGGGCAAGGATTGGTATATTGTGGTGTTGTAGTATATGTTTGATGAAGAACCGTTTTCTCGCAACACGCTGGCAGTTTACAGCACCTAGCAAACAGACCATTACAAAGGCAGAAATGAGATGGATGCTCTGTTGTTATGGGCCACGACAGTACTCTTGTGTCCCAACATCAGAGTAGAAATGTGATTAGTGACGTCGAGGATAAGCTGGCGCCTATCCGGAAGGAGATTAATAAGGATAAGTGATGTTAATTATATGACTGCCTTCATGTCAGAAGCCAGTTCATAGGGTGGGACTCGTTTCTCAGTGGTTACTGGTTGTGTTTCTTGAGGCCTTTTAGGGATTTCCCTTCTGTGCGGACATTCGACCGAATAGACATCATGATCACCGCCACAGTTGGAACATTTAGATGACTGAGGGGTAGTGCAGGATGTGGATTTGTGGTCTTGGCCAAAAGTAGGGCACCTATATTGCTTTTGCGGGTACTCCACTATGATATGGCCGTTCTTGCTACACTGGCCACAATACTTTGGCACAGGAGGGACAGGATTGGAATTTAATGGGAGCTCTACGTTCATACGGAGCCAGTTCATGAATATGCCCCTGGTCAGCATCTCTGTGTACTTTAGTTCACTAGATGTGACCAGTTTGACAAATGTGGTAGGAAGATTGCTACTAGAAATTATCCGCCATGGTTTGACTACTACAATAACTATAGTAATCTCTTCCTATGCTTACTGAAGAAATCTTTTATAGATCAGTGAAAGCACTCAAACAAATTCAGTAGTAACAACCCTCAATTGGAAGCTGACAGCCCTGGCAACATCGTACGTAGGTGGCCCTTTCTTACTGAAACCATCCACTATGCCTACACCGTGACCGGCAGGATCTCCAAAAATAAACTGAATGCAACAACCTGTATGAGTATCCAACGCTATCCTATAAAAATCCACCTGTCTGCTTTTTCCTGAATAGTACTCTTCACCTACAGCACAATATATCAAGTCAGCGTCAGTATGTCCCGATGCTTAATTGGAACCTGGCTGCCTCGGCAACAGCGTACGTGGGTGGTCTTTCTTACTGTAACCACCCACTATGCATTCACCGTGACCGACAGAATCTCCAAAACATCAACAAGAGCACTAATCTGCACAAAATATCCCGCACTGAACTAACTAGTAACTCACTGGAAACTGGCACGTTGCTTTTTTCTTTGTTCTCGGCACGTGGTCGCCCAAGCGGTCATATAAAAGACAATGCCTATAGCTGTCGTCTGACCCTGCGCTGTAGGTACGTCGCACAACTTAAAACAAAAGCACTACCAACTGCTTTGAACGCTCGAGGTAAACTGAACTACTCGCTTCGCCGCGTTGTACTACAGAAGTGATATTTATATTTGCTACTCGCCTCCCTTCCACTGGTTTCATCGTGAGGGGGCGTGTCGTCGTTTGTAGTAGCTTTTCTGTCTTCCTGTTTTGCGGGAAGGGTATTTGTGGATTTTATATAAGTTTTGTTGATTTTTAGTCCTTCTTCTATCCGATTAAAAATTATTATGGGTTCTTATATATTTTGACCGCTATCCGATGTTCTCCGCTTCCCAAAGCGTATTCGGCAACGGCAGATTTGTCGATATGTCCCAAACGACAATGGCTTTTATGTTCGTTTATCCTCGTGTTTGTGTGTCTTTTCGTGATTCCAACATATACCATTCCACATGTACATGGTATTCGGTATAATCTGGCCATTGCTAATGGGTCGCGTTTGTTCTTCACCGGTCTTAAACAGTCTTTGACTTTTTTTCTAGGCGTGAAAATGATCTTCACATTGGCTTTTTTAAGTATTCGCCCAATTCTGTCCGTTACCTCCGATATATAGGGCAAGAACGCTTTGCTAATACATTCTGTTTTTTCGTGATTACTTCTAGAGACGTTGTTCATCGCTTTATATATTTTCTTCTGGTATAACCATTAGAGGTGAGCGCTTTTTCAACATGAAGAAGTTCACTTTGCAAATACTGTGGTTCACAAATTCTCTTCGCCCTCTCGGCCAGAGTTTTGATGATACCTTGTTTTTGGCCTGGATGATCATTTAAATTCCTGTTTAGGTATATTTCCGAGTGTGTAGGTTTTCGGTGCACTTTATGACCTTTCTTTCGATTTACTAACACATCTAGAAACGCAAGTTGTTGATTTTTTTCTGTTTCCATCCTAAATTGAATATTTGGGAGGAGTGTGTTTATATAAGATAGGAAATCGTTAAGTTTTTCCACTCCGTGACCCCAAATCACACAAGTGTCATCGACTTATCTAAACCATACCCTTGGCTTGTATGCTGAGTCCATTATACTCTTCTCTAGATGCTCCATGAAAAGGTTGGCCGGGCTTAGTGGGCTTCCCATTGCTACTCCATCTATCTGTTCATAAATCTGGTCTTCCCATGAAAAGTAGGTGGTAGTAAGGGAAATACGGTATAATTCCACCATATCCTTGGAAACTGGTCCCTTAATTAAATTCAAAAGGTCTTCTAGAGAAACTGTTTTAAATAGGAAAACAACATCAAAGCTAACAAGAATGTCAGATTCCTATAAAGTTATTCCTTTGATCTTCTCGATGAAATGGGCGGAGTTTTTTACAAAGACATCGTTTTTTGCTATAGGTGGTTGTAAAATATCGGCCACATCTTTAGCAAGACTGTAATACAGAGATCCTATGGAGCTCACAATAGGGCGTAGAGATACATCTTCTTTGTGTATTTTCGATAAGCCATACAAGCGTGGTGGGACTGCTTCGCTGATGCAGATTCTTGGCTTTATATCCTCTAGTATGGACGAAGATTTTATAAGTCTATTGATTTTCCGTAGCTTGACTGCTGTGGGATCTTTTTTAAGTTTTTTATATACCGAAGGTTCTAGAAGATTTTGTATTTTTGTTTTGTAGTCAGTTGTCTTCATTACATCGGTGGCGTTTTCCTTGTCTGCTGGTAAAATTACAATATCTTTGTCTGCGTTTAACGATTTTATGGCACGGATTTCGTGGTGGTTGAGGTTATTTTTCGGTGTCTTAGCTTTATACAAATTTCTCGCTGATTCTCTGTCCTCATTTCTTCAGCCTTTTTGATTGGTTTTGCAGCGACATTTGCGGAAAAATTCAGCGTTTTCATATGATTTTTAGAGGTTCAGTGGTATTTCCGCCTCTGACGACTGAAGTATATTGTTTTTTTTTTTATTTTCAGATAAAGTTTTACCCTATCGTTTAAATGTATTTAAAAAATTTAATTTATATTACTAACATTTTTTAGAAAATGAAGCACTTACTGAACGTATTAGTACATTGGAAACAGTTCGTTGTACTCCCAGTACCATGCAAAACATAAAAACATTGATAGTCCTACGAATATTAAGGCTACGCCGTGATTGGTCGAAGTTGATTATGGTACTCGTAGTCCCAAATTTCATTGCAGGCTTCGCAGTGAGCCTTATCAGGGATACTGATATACAAAATATAAATATTCCAAAATCTGAACCGATACAGTTAAACATCCATATGTACAATTTTCAGAATATTAGTGTCTATAATGAAGACAACTCGGAATACTTTACTAAATTCAAGGATCAGTTAGAGAAATTGGTAGTTTTAGATACATACAATGGAAAGTTTAGTTCATTGTTAGACATTGCTCCACATTTAGCAGCTTTTAATTTTAAAAGTTTTAGTTCCACTTCCCAAAGTATAGCTGTACTATATAATGATACCTATGTACATAACCTGCCAATTTTGGTTAATCTTATAAGTAATGCTTTTTATAGGTAAGTTTTAAAAAAAAAATTAACATTGCTTTAGATTCCTAGGTAAATTAGCACGAAAGATATTCCTGGATATGTCATACCCCAAACTAAACTAACGCAGAAATTTAAAATTTTTAAATTTAATCATTTAAGATGGTTAATCTTGGTTTTTTACTTATTTATGATTCAAATAAATTAATTATGTTAGTCAAAAAACACGGGTCAACAATAATACACTCAGATAATATGAAAAATGTTATTAATCACATAACTCTTAATAAACTTATAGCCTAAGATTCTACAAACTAAAGTAAAAAATGATCGCCAAAATATATTAAAAAATAAAAAAGTTACGACTCCTCAAAATTGAAGTATCACATCGCATGCATATGTAAAACATCTTGCTCTCTTTATTTCTTGAACAAACAGAACATCTACTGCTTGTCCTACGTCGCTAAGGTTCCAACTGATGTACCTCTGGTTGCTGATTATTACGTCGTGGTCGAGGCAAGGAAAGGTTTGGTCTTCATTGGTTTCGAAACTCAGAAATCTGCTGCACACCCAGTTCTTTCAAAAGGTTTGAGCATCCATTCCAGCTGTATTCAAAAACGAAAAAATTAGTCTCAAAGTTCAATGACGACTATTTCTTGATACGCTGTAATTAGCAGCATCTAATGTGTCTATACCACCTTTGGTTGAATTGTAAAAGTCGATAATTTTAGGTAATTTATTTTCACCAGTTTCTTAAATTATAGCATCATCATGATGCAATATAGAAAGAAGCATTACATTTTTTGACTTTTTTGGCACATATGAGACAGCCGCTATATCTTTAAGAGCAAATTTTGAACTGCGAATTTCTCTTCCTCGTGTGTTCAGAAGTGCTGTTGGAATTTGCCTTTTCTTTTTCCTAACTCTCCCACACAGGGACTTTTAAGAGCCACACTCTTAAAATTTTCCTCAGAATACTTCACAACAGAATTAGACGCAAATGCGAAGAAGATCTTGAAGATACCCAATTTGGTTTTAGAAATGCTACGGGAACCAGAGAGGCACTTTTTGCGCCTATTACACAAATCAATATAAGGTTGAATGTTCGAATAATTAAACTTTGAGGGTATACAAGGCAACTATCGAACACGGTGATTAATTTAATCTTGCCCAAGTACTTTCGATCAATAGATCATCTTCAGGGGCATCTGAAATAAGCCAAGAAACGTTTTTTATAAAAAGGAAAATTAATTCACTTGGATAAAAACTCCAAGTTTATGGTTGAAAAAAATTTTTATATGGGCAGCATTTGATCAGTGCGTTCTCCCAGTCTTGACGTACGGAGCAGAAACACTTACCTTAACAAAAACAGCAGCTACCAAACTGAGAGTCACGCAGAGAAGAATGGAGCGGTAGATGTTAGGAATAACTCTGCGAGACAGAATAACCAACGAAGATATCAGGAGAAGAACCGGAGTGACTGACAACTTCATCCTAGGATTAGAAGTCAACCAGGCCTGCCAGGAAGTCTTGCAGAAGTTTAAATTCTTTCCAAATTTTCGCTTTCAAATCGTATGCAAACATTTACTGATGTTTTAGGGTATAATATCCAATATTAGACAATTTTGTTCAAGTTTACTCGTAATTTTTATTGTTTGTAATTTGTTTCGATATATTGTTCTGAAGCTATTTTTTTGTGTCATTTTAAAGTAATTGCCATTTTAATGGGAATATGCCACAATTGAAGGTTAAAGTAAGTTTATTGACGTTTCAATTTCTACTTCGAAAATCGTTCTTAAAATACAAACCAATTTCCACTTTAACACCCTGTATCTTTTTTAATATCAACATTTTATTAAAACAATTTGGCTTAAATCGTAATATTTTAAAGTGTAGAATCTGCTGTTTCTTTTTTTACACTTACTGAAGGACCACCCTGTGGATTTAATATATTTCATTAATGTTTATATTAGCACTACTGTTTATATTTTTAAACGTTATAAAACTATTCACATGTTTAATAATAATAAATTAATTTTAGGACGGTCACGCCATTGGCAGAAATTTCGGTAAGCGCACACCCTTTTGTAAATCCTGCTGGTGCTGATCCTCCTCTAGGTTTCGGCAATATGATATTGGGAATGATTTTTATATTTGCTCCAATAATACTTGCGGCTGATATGGTGTATGACAGGGAAGTAAGTGTCACTTTTTCTATAGAATAATAAAATGAATGTGTATCCAGTCTTACTTACTGTTTTACTTCAAATTGTTTGTTTAAAAATATGTGAGATATGTGTGGTAAGTATTAAGGAACAATTAACAAAGAAATAATCTAACCATCGTATATTGACAGAAGACATAATAAAAACATCTGCCTTAAAGAGATCCAAGATTTTAGGTATGATATTAACCAGCGGTCGCGGCCTTTGTACCAACAAGAATGGTCGCGCGTATTTCCTAGATACGCTAAATGCTAATTAGTTATTTTAAGTTAAAATTCGACACTGAAAAATAAAATTACCTGTTTCTGCATACATGATTTGGACGCTGGGTGTAATTTAAATGTAAATAAGGTTTATTTGTCACTTTGAAATAAATACGACATACATTTTACAAAATGGAATCGATCGATACAGTTAGTTTGTAACTCATGTATCCTATTTCTAACGAACATAATATTTTTTCTACTCTTTGGATCTTTAAGTCTATTACTTTCACTATTACAGACACTATTAATTTTAATGTAAGTTTCAGTTTGAAAATTTTTTACAACATCAATAAAATGGAAAATATTTGGATGAGCATGGTAAAAATTATCATTAAAACGCGAGTGGAACGATTCACAAGCATTAGATGTTAATTGTAAACTCTTACTCATCGCAGCCCACATCTCCGACGGAAATTTTGCGTGATCGCCAATGTAGTTGTCTAATAAGTAGTCGGAAAACTTTTCAATTTTTGAATCCTTTGGTTGTGTTTGGAAAAGTATGCATTTTTACATTTAATATTTTTTCTGGTACGGTTCTCTAATATGATCTAACTTAGGGTTGTATTCTAAAGAACTTTTAAAATATATTATTTCCTTTTCACTCATAAATCTTAAACTGGATATCTCAATTATGATGTTGTAAATACGGAGAATTTGGCTTCTCTTTTTATGGTTCAAAAACATACACACAAGTTTAAAGTGTCGTGTTACCGTCACAATTAGCTAAGATTATCGGGAAGGTCGCCATACAATGGAAAGATTTATGGGTAGACCCTTCCGGACCACACCGCTTCGAGGGTCCTTAACTCTGACCATATTAACGCATTCTCAATCTGAATTGGCACTTCTTCGTCACGAGTGAACGAAAACACATTGACCGGTCTTGTGCTGTCTCGGAGACGCGACGTCCCGCGTCCTGGGCGTCGGTACCACCGGCCAACTCTACAGCTTGGTACGAATTCATCAATAGAACCAAAGGGTAAGTCTATTCTTGTATAAAACATTGATAATGAGTAAACCAGTTTATTTCTAATTTATTTCTACTTTTACGATTTATAGTTGCTATTTTCACCAATTTTATGTATCAACAATATCACATTTTTTTCGTTATAATTATTTATTCAATATAATTTAAACCAGCGACTTCTCAAGTTTAATCACTAAACAGGTTGAATAGCCATAAAATTATATATGAAAGATTCTTCGACTTCTGAGGGAGATAAAAATGGCAGCCCAAAAATATATTTCAGCCATTTAGATATTTCACTGTCTGCCAATTTATATTCCCGAATTAAGCCACAACCACCGATATTACGATACCAAGCTTGCATAAGATGAAAACGGCATCCTTTAATGTGCACCTTTAGAAATTCAAAACGCGCAGCATTGTGGATAGCAATTTCAAAATGATTTTTGGATTGAATTTTAAACCAATTACTTTACATTTGCGTTTCAAAACATTAAATAGTTTTATATAGGTTTGTTCCGATTTGTCGGGAAGTAAACAATAACATTGTGGTATAACATATCCACTGATAAATACATGTATGATAAAAAATTGCTTGAAATATTGAGCACAGTAACTAAATGTACTGTCCATATAAATCGTTTCACTGCCGCACAGAAAACGCATGTTAGTGTTACACGAGAAGATGATAATGTTAGAACTTAGTTCAACCGCAAATATAAAATTCTCGTCTTTAAGTGTTTTGATATTTATAATATTTACCGCAGCAACAGTTTTCTTCTTTACTTTTGGGCAGTTTCGGTTGAGCCATTCGCCGTTCACTGTATATTTGATTTCGTATTAAATTAACGTCTTTAACAGACATGTGGCTCAAGCAATCTATCTTAGCCTTCTTTTTGGCACTGCTACGTACAATCTGTCTATTAAGCGTCTTGATATCATACTCGTGATTATGTTCTAGATTACTTCGGATCACTAACTTTTCTGGCTCTTTCGTAAACATCTTCGCTTTACACGACCGTTTTACGCACCTCCAATACGTTCCTCCCGATTTTAGTACTTTATCTTGAGAAAAAGTAAAACTGTTCACTTTAAGCAAAATTTTACCACGATTACTTACTAATGTTGAAATTTCCATGTTCACTTTTCACTATTCTCTGACACACTAATAACTATAAAAAGTAAATTTCCCTGTATATTTTTGCCTCCCTTTGCCCTGTTATATAATGTTATAATATCAGATTTCTTTTGGTCACATGTTTCTGATCCGATTGCTGCGTCATCATGTAGGCTTGAAACTAATTTTACGTTTTTATAGCGCTTAGGTACGTAGAAAACAAGACTTATGTCCTTCCAAAACCCAAAAATACTGGTATTTTTGGCTCACGCTTTTTTGTAACTTTAAATTCATTGGGAATTTGGGCCTTATTGTTTTTCATCGTTCCTACAAAGGCAATGTTTTTCTCAACAAGATCTTTTATCAAATAAAAATCAGAAATCCAGTTGTCAGTGGTCAGTGTTCTCCCCGTATTAAATATAGGTGTTGCCAACCTTTTTACCACGTCTTGTGGTTTGTTACTTATGGAGAATGGGCCATCTGGTTGAGTCCCTGCATAAATTTCCATGTGACAAGTGTAAAAGATGCGAGCGTCAACCATGGCATAAATTTTGATCCCATATTCATTGGGTTTTTTTGGGGATGTATTAAATAAAGGAGCATCTCTCACGAAATGCCTCTAGTTTCTCGTCACTTGTAACATTTTTTCCAAGCGAGTAGGAATTTTGGCAATTAGACACAAACTTCTCGAAAAATATTCCTTATTGGTACAAAGCGATCCATTTTTTTTACGTTCTACTCTCGTAGCTATGTCATTAAAACATAATGCTATATATATATATATATATATATATATATATATATATATATATATATATATATATATATATATATATATATTTGGTTTTATAACGTCTTACGACGTTGTTCGACTCCCAAACGCCACTGTATTCTTTCTTGAGTTAGGTCTTCGTCCAGATTTCAAGCGCTAATCTCTTTCCTAACTCCCAGGCTCCAGCTCTGTGGTGGTCTTCCTCGTTTCCTCTTTTCTGGGGGTTGCCACATCATCGTTTTTTTAGGCAATCTTTCGTCCCCCATTCCGCTCACATGCCCATACCATATGAGCTGTTTTATCTCAATATCCTCAACTATAGTGCCCTCTATACCCATTTGTTGTTTTATCACTTCATTCCGTATTCTGTCGGCTCTTGATATTCTCATCGATCTTCTGATAGCATCCATTTCCGTGGCTTCGACCGTTTTCTTATCCTCATCCAGCCCCTATTTATCACGTCCACTGCTGGACATAGGTCTCCCTTAAACTCCTCCAGTCCTCACGATTTTGTGCTCTTTGTTGCCAATTTTTAGTGATACGCCTGATGTCGTCGGCCCAATGTGTAGGTGGTCTTCCTCTACTGCGTTTGTCTGCTCTTAGCCTCCAATTTGTAATTTTGCTCGTCCATCGTGAATCGTGCATTCTCGCTACATGGCCTGCCCAGTTCCATTTTAGTTCCGCTATGCGTTCCACAACATCAGTAATACTCGTCCTTCTTCGCAGATCTTCGTTTCTTATTCGGTCCCTCAACGTCACTCCCAGCATAGACCGTTCCATTCGTCTCTGTGCCACTCTCAGTTTCGAAGCCGTGGTCTTGGTTAAAGTCATAGTTTCCGCCCCATAGGTCATGACCGGTAATACGCATTGGTCAAACACTTTTCTTTTGAGGCTGATTGGTATGTTGGCCCTAAGTGTGTCTCGCAGTTTTCCAAAGGCTGCCGATGTTAAAGTAATTCGTCTTTGGATCTCATATGTTTGGTTATCCCTGCTGATTCTTATTTCATGCCCCAAATACGTATATTTCTCCACCAGTTCTACCACTTTTTCTTGAATAGTCAAATGGTTATTGGGGACCAAATTTGTCATAAACTTAGTTTTGGTCAAGTTTCTTCTCAGGCCCACCTTCGAACATGCAAAATCCAATTCGTTTAACATATCTGTAGCTTCTTTTTCTTATATTTCTCGGTTATTTTCCATGTCTCAGCTCCATAAAGTAGGCTAGTTTTAACCATTGTCTCATATATGTTCCATTTTCTTTTCTTTGATATTTCTTTATTTCATAGAACTCCGTTCAAACATGCTATAGCTCTTCGTGCTTGTACAATTCGATGTTCTATTTCTCGTTTGTCTTTTTCACTACGGTCGAAGATGACGCCCAGGTATTTATATTCGTCACATGAATTTATTTTTTGGTTGTCATCGATATCGAGTTGTTCTGCTTCAGCTCCAATTGAGAGGTATTTGTTCTTTTCTAAATTGATATTTAATCCCCATTTCTGGTATTCTTCAATTAGTTTTCTAAGCACGTATTCCATGTCGTCTTTATCATTTGAGATCACCACCTGATCATCTGCAACGTAATGCTCTCATTATAAATAGAAATAGAACTATAAATAGAAATCTTCTGCAACTCATCACTGTTTTGAAATCATCATTCTCTATAGTTCTTTAAGGTTCTACCCATTCTATCATGTTATCTCTCATTTTATTTCTAAGCCGTTGTATTTTCCCTAGATATAACTCACAAACTTTTGTTCGAATTTATGTCAATTGTCAAATTCTTCTTCTTTGCTGTCAAACCATAAACTCGCCTCATCTTTAAGATGGTTCCTTATCGTTTCTTTTGCTGTTTCCAAGTCACCGATGTATGCTATGATTGTGTGTAACTTTTTTACGTCTCTGTCAAACTGTATTTTTATGTCACTGGAACTTTGGATGAGTATTTTTCTCATGTCTCCCGTTTCTCGTTGTTTTCTGATATCATCAATTAGTTTTTCATTATTTCGGTATCTGTCTTCTATCTCTTTCTTGTCTTCTTGAAGAGAATTTTCAAATTTTGTTTCTAATTTATTTTCTAAATTTTCTAATTCCTTCATTTGAATTTTGACTTCTTTAATCTCTATCTCTTGTTTCTCGCTATTTTCTTCAAATTTTCTCAACTATCTGTACCATTTCCTTCATAATACTCTCTATATTTCTATTGTTTTCTTCTAAGGCTTGCATTGTCTCCTTTTGATTTTCTTTCATTATTTGTTTTGTTTTATCCATTTTTTTCTGCTTGTATTTGCATTAGCTGTAATACTTAATCTATTTCTGATAACTCCCTGTTTTTCGGTCTCCATGGGTGTTGTTTCTATGTTTGCGTTTTGTGTTTTACTGCCCACTTTTTTGCTTCTCATCGTAGACATTTGTTTTTCTCTTAAAATATTATTTCCGCCAAATACGAAACTTTTAATTTTCTCTATTTGTTGCAAAAAGAAAAAATTTTCCGTTCACCCAAATATAAATAATTGTCAAAATTCAAATCAATCAAAAATAAAATAAATATGTAAAAATTTTACCTAGAGAAAAATAAATTAAAAACAAATATATTTCATAAACTTTCAAACCAAATTTGTGAATGGAGTAACCGTCAACAATATTAGATATGCCGACGATACCTTAGTCCTTGCCAATTGCGGAGAAGACCTTCAAAATCTAATGAACAAAATAAAACAGACTTGTGATCAGTATGGATTAAAACTCAACGTTAAGAAAACTAAATATATGATAGTTAGCAAACAAAATTTTATACATGATGACGGTATAAAAGTCGGAGATGCCACACTGGACAGAGTAGAGAAACTCGTGTATCTCGGCAGTAATATCAATGAGAGCTGGGATCCAACCGCAGAAATTAAAAGCCGAATAGAACAAGCCCGAGCTGCCTTTGTAAAAATGAGAAACGTACTTTGCAGTCATGATCTTAGCATTTACCTTAGAGTTCGTATGATATCTTGCTACATCTTTCCTGTCCTGCTGTATGGAGTAGAAGCGTGGACCCTAACTGAAGCTATCCTTAAACGCTTGACAGCCTTTGAGATGTGGGTATACAGACGACTACTGAAAATAAGCTGGGTCGACAGAGTTAGAAATGAGGAGGTCCTTAGACGGCTGAACGAAACAACACAACTGGTCAATATAATAAAGAAACGCAAGCTGGAATACTTCGGTCATATTATGAGACACCCTGAAAAATATGATCTTTTACATCTGATCATTCAGGGAAAGATCCAAGGTAATCGTGGTCCTGGTAGAAGAAGAACATCATGGCTAAAAAATCTAAGGCAACTAAGGCAATGGTATGGAAAATCAACTACATCGTTATTTAGAGCTGCTGTCAATAAAGTCACGATAGCGAATATGGTAGCCAACATGATATCCAACGATCGATAACGGTCATGGAACTAGAAGAAGAAGAAACTTTCAAATATATCAACTTTTTCCGATGGGCAAATAAATTTTCAACTAGAGATACTTTCATGCCACACATTGGTTCACCATTTGACTATGATCTGCTTTCTCTTACTTTTATATTAATTTTTTTATTTATTTAATTACTTTAATTAATTATCTAAGTGTCGCAAATTATACATGAAAAGACAATCGCAGGGTGCCATTTTATTATAAAAAAAGTAAATCAGCTTAGGTTATACTTCTCATTTATTTGAAACATAAAAAAAAATTATGTCACAAAAATTATTGAGTAACCTTTAAATTCACAAACGACGATGTCTCCTTTCGACCTCAACAGCTTTCCTTGTTGATTATGTTAGACTACCAATTAAAACCTTCTCCGTTATAAGTATCCACCTACCAGCATACCAGCAACTCTTCCTCCAAAAACCCGAGCACGCCTCTTTTACCAGTACTCGTTCAACAAACTCCAAAATTCTCTCCTATCTTTCATATACCAACAATCTCCTGAGACCCAGGTAATTTTTTTTTTACTTAGTGTCGCAAATATTTTTAATAGTTATAGTTCTTGTGACTTACTCACTTGGACTTTATAGAATCCAGGAGGTATTCGCCTTCTCAACTTTGACCTATCTCTCGTTCCACCTTTCATCCACCCACTTCTAACCATTAACACCACTGGCACTTGCTTCTTATCTGACTACACAAAACTTCAACTGCTTCTTTTGGATGATCATCACATATTAACCTTTTCTACTCCAAACTTTCAAAACATTTACTCTCTTTCATCCCCGGTCCAAACTCGCTAACCAATCAGAAAATTGTTATATTCCTCTTCTTATTTTACATCAGAAAAACCCAAGCATCACTTCTAATGAACTTTCTTTGAAAATGATGACGGTTTTATTTTATATTTTCTAAATACAATAACTACCTGGTGGCTTTGGTCTTTCGAGCGAAACAAAACCAAATGCTTTTAAAATATAATATCTACAAATACCGGGAAACAAATTATCTATTCACATATAAGTATTTACTAATTTTTTCAGTCCTTCAGGGTAAAACTCATTAGGGATAAACCCACTGCTTAAAACTAACTTATAACAAATATTTAGAAATCGATGTACAGAGCGCCCGAGTTTTATTACAAAATAATTAATTGATAAAAATGAGACACAACAATATACATTATATATATATATATATATATATATATATATATATATATATATATATATATATATATATTAAAAAAGCGATAAACGCTTGTAATCAACGCTGATCAGTTAAAGTACAAACACAACTCTTTGGGTATGCAGCGGAAAATAAGACAAAGAGGTACTCTTTTTAGTCTACCAAGCTTTCGCAACTCTTTATTTGCATCATCAGGGTGCTACGATAAACAAAATTAGTACAAATTACAGAGTAAAAAAGTATTTTATATCCTACACTAATTGAGGTTAGTTGTCATGGTGTTTATAAATTAAAATGGACAACTTATCTGAATGCCACAAATAATAGCGAAAACTATCCAAAAAATTTTTTGTTTAAAAACTTTATTTTACAAAACACACATTTAAAAATACTAAATAGGTATACACATTTAAATAAAATTACGTTACAAAATAATTACAGAACATGTAGTCATAATATAAGATTTTGGTTATAAATATTCTTATCAGAAACAAAACAAATGGTTGTAAATTCATTAATACCAACTTTAAGATCTAACGTTCTGTCGTTTTAACTTGGTATGAATGAATTTACAACCATTTGTTTTGTTTCTGATAAGAATATTTACAACCAAAATCTTATTATGACTACATGTTCTGTAATTGTTTTGTAACGTAATTTTATTTAAATGTTTATACATATGTGTTTTTAAGTATTTTTAAATGTGTGTTTTGTTAAAGAACGTTTGTAAAACAAAAACAAAATTTTGGATAGTTTTCGCTATCATTTGTGGGATTCAGATGAGTTGTCCATTTTAATTTATAAATACCATGACCACTAACCTCAAATAGTGTAGGATCCAAAATACTTTTTTATATCTATTTATTTTTTCTATAATTTGTACTAATTTTGTTTATTGTAGCACCCTGATGATGCAAATAAAGATTTGCGAATGCTTGGTTAACTAAAAAGAGTACCTCTTTGTCTTATTTTTCGCTGCATACCCAAAGAGTTGTGTTTGTAGTATATATATATATATATGTATATATATATATATATATATATATATATATATATATATATATATACAAACAACACAGTTTATTAGGGTTGCAGTCAGAATATTGGCCGGGATGTTAAATAAAAAACACTCTTTTGACTTTTTGTCGAGCTTTCGGAATGATTTTATTCCTTTTTCAAGACACTGTAAAAGACAATTATGTAAATATTTAAAAAATATCACAATTCTTCAGTGTAACTTATATATATATATATATATATTATATATATATATATATATATATATATATATATTATATTTATATAATATTCAACTTTATTCTTAATCTATTGCATAGATGGGCAAGAATTGCAATAAGTAACCTACCTATAAGAGTTTTACCCATGGAATAAAGAACTAGTATAGATGTAAATTATATATCTTAATACTAGGTGACTAAAGATTACGTACCAAAATTAAAAAGATGGAAAAACAAAATCTAAAAAGCGATTGTTTCATTAAATTTTTATTTTTCAGATAAAAGCAAGAAATCAGCTAAGAGTCAACGGACTTTCTTTTAGTGTTTATTTTATAAGCTTCTTCGTGGTTCAAGTCGCACTGATGGCAATAATAACAGCAGTTTTAATAATTCTTATTTACGTTCTCAAACCACCATCATTATCGTCAGGTTCATCAATCATAGTATTAACACTGTTGGTTATTGCTTATTGTCCCGCCTCTGTGTTGATTTGCACTTGCATCAGCTACATATTTGATAAGGCGGATACTGCGATGTCAGTTATGCCTAACTTAGCATTGCTTTTTGGGATTGTACCGTATATTCCTGTAATGTATTCAGGTAAGTAGGTATATATTTATTTATCACTTGTAAAATACACTTTGTGCATCAAACCAATTTTTAAAAATTCACAATTTCTATTAATGCTACTTTCCTTTTTCTAGTAATCATTTTAAAAGGTTATAATATTGTTACGAACGTGCATTTAACGAGGCACGTACAACGGTTGCATCTCAAAACAGCACCTCATGCTTCCATGCGGCGTGGCGGCATCTCGAAAGCGACTCGATATTTCGAGAAAGATCTGTCGCGTTCGCCTAGAGGTGGGAACTTTCTAGAAAATAGTAACTTTAGTATATATATGTAACGATCTTAGGAATAAGTAGAGTTGATAAGAGAATACCGAACTGTAAAGTTATAAATAAATATATTTATAAATTCGAACTGCTCGTTTTATTTAAAAACGGTACAGTTGGTGTCACCGTGTGAGGACAATTGATTTATTTAAAAATAAAGTCAACAGTGAAAAAAAAAAAGAGACTTTTGAACTTTTGAAGAGTATTGTTCGTAGGGAACATCCGCGTAGTTCGGTAGTGATCGTTGTACGAAAGAACCAAAAGTACGTGTGTGCCCGACCAAAGATGCTGCTAGTACAACTTTCCGTAAAACAGTTGCGTGAGCAACTAGAAGAACGCGATGAAGATTGCAGCGGGTCCAAGAAGATCCTCCAAGAACGACTAAAGAATGTTCTTAATAAGAATGGAGATGACCCAGAGACATTCCAGTTTCAATCAGCAGAAGAAACAGTTTTAACAAAAATGAATGAGAAATTTGAAAACGTGTCGCAAATGATTATTGAAGAAACTTCTCAAATTATTAAAGAAACAGCTAGACAAAACGACGAGAAATTCGAAAATATGTCTAGAAGATTCGACGAAGTATGTAACCAAAACAATGAGAAATTTAAAGAAGTCTAAAGAACATTCGATAAGATACAGAAAAATGTAAACGACAAGATAGAAGACGTAGAAGAGAAGATCAAACAATTAGAGATCATGATAACTAACACAAAAGTGCTACCTCCTGTTAATAAAGTAGCCTTAGATCCGGTAGTAAAAGAAGAATCGCCGAGAGACGAAACGACACATCATATGAGATTCAAATTGCCACCGTTTGATGGAAAGTCCTCTTGGTCCATATACCTTAGACAATTTGAAGCTATTGCGACAGCCAATCATTGGACAGAACAAGAAAAAGCTGTTTCCTTGACTGCTGCTTTACGAGGTGATGCTGCAGATATCCTAAGATCGATTCCTAAGGGTCAAGAAAAATGTTACCAGACCTTGTTCACTCGACTAGACAAACGTTACGGAGATGCCCATCTACAACAAGTCTACAAGGCGCAACTAAGAAGTAGAACTCAACGAGCAAGTGAGAATTTGCAAGAGTTTGAAGCAGATGTTGCTCGTATAGTACGGTTGGCTTATCCGGAGGTACCAGACAACATTTGGAAGAAATTGCCGTAGATACCTTCGTCAATGGGTTAAAAGAAAGTGAATTACAGAAAGCTTTACGACTAGCAAGACCGAAAGTTCTAGATGAAGCGCTCGCTATTGCCTTAGAACATGAAACAGCTAGTCAAACTTCACGGAGCCATCGAGTAAGAGCCATTGAGGAAGGCGACGAACCAAACAATGAACGTCTAGAAGAAATGGTACGAAAAATAGTTCATAACACGCTGCCGAAGAGACGCGAGCCCAGATGTTGGAATTGTGGTGACGTAGGTCAGATTCGCCGTAATTGCAAGAAAATGATACAACAGTCGGAAAACTAGAACGGGTCGACACTAAGGGGCAACTGCCGACCTCGAGAAACACAGCCCCCATAGTAACTGTTAACATTACGTCCTCCGGTGGAATTCATAGCTTGTACATCGAAGGTCGTATTAATAATAAATGTATATCGTTTTTGGTAGATACAGGTGCAACAAGAACTATAGCATGGCCAGAAGTAGTACGAGACTATCTTAAATTATTGCCTGCAACAGTAAAGCTTAGAACAGCAACTGGTGAGATAATTAATACATATGGCGAGGCTAATATGTCAGTATCCATTGGCCAGACCACAGTGAAACATCGAGTATTAATTGCAGAGATCTCTGACGAGTTCATATTGGGGATGGATTTACTACGGAAAGTTGGGGCTGTATTGAATGTCAAAGATGGAGTTCTCGAGATCGGTGGTGAAGAGTTGCCGTTTCATGAAGACAAAGAAAATGTTATCAGCTTAATAACTACTTGTGACGTAACAATACCCGGTAATAGTGAGAAAATTTTGATGGCCAAACCTGATGGTTACTGCCGAGAGGGAAGTTTAAGGATGGTCGAAGATGTGAACAATGCCGAAATCCTAACGGCAAAAGCTTTGGTGAAAATTCGAGATGTCGTTCCTGTAAGAGTTATGAATTTAAAGGGAACTGCTATTAAGTTAAGTTAAAGAACTTTGATCGGACAGTGTGTTCCCGTGGCTTCGATTTGTTCCATGAGTACTAATGAGAAACCGTCGAAATCTAAGTATTCAAAAGAGCTTGTTGAGACGATGATTAAAACGTGCCAAGATCTTGATGATGAACGAACTAAAAAAGTGAAGTCTATGCTGATGGAATTTCAAGATGTTTTTGCCATTGATAAGAAGGATAATGGCAAAACAAGCATAGTAAAGCATAAAATTAATACCGGAGACGCTCAGCCAATCAGACAACAACCTAGACGACTTCCATTTGCGAAAAGAGATGAAGCCGAAGACATCATCAAAGATATGAACAAACAAGGGGTAATTGAACCATCAAACAGTCCATGGACATCACCAGTAGTGCTAGTAAAGAAGAAAGATGGTTCAATACGTTTTTGTATTGACTACCGACAGCTCAATACGGTAACTAAAAAAGATAGTTATCCTTTGCCCAGAATAGACGATACTTTGGATACACTTTCTGGTTCTCGGTGGTTCTCCACACTCGATCTGAAAAGTGGATATTGGCAAGTAGACATGGAGCCTGCTGATCGTGAGAAAACCGCATTCTCGATAGGATCAGGGCTTTGGCAGTTCACAGTTATGCCCTTTGGTTTATGTAATGCCCCGGCCACATTTGAAAGATTAATGGAGGCAGTTTTAAGAGGCCTAACATGGAAAACATGCCTGGTTTATTTGGATGATGTAATTGTAGTAGGAAGATCCTTCGATGAACATGCCAATAATTTGACAGAAGTCTTTCAATGATTGCGGGCAGCAAATTTGAAGTTGAGTCCGAAGAAATGTCACTTGTTTCGACGAGAAGTGAAGTACTTGGGACATATTGTAGCAAGTAATGGTGTAACAGCTGATCCTGAAAAACTTGCAGCAATTAAGGATTGGCCGGTACCAAGAGACAAACACGAAATTATAAGTTTTCTTGGCCTTTGTACATATTACCGACGTTTTGTCAAAGGATTTGCCAACATCTCCAAGCCATTAACAAAGTTGACAGAAGAAGGCAAAGAATATAGATGGAGCGAAGAGTGCCAAAGAGCTTTCGAACACTTACAAATGGCTCTGATCAGCGCACCGATTTTAAGCTACCCTAGACAGGCAGGAAAATTTGTGTTGGACACCGATGCAAGCAACAGTGCAATAGGAGCTGTTCTATCCCAAATCCAAGATGGGCAGGAGAAAGTCATCGCTTACTTTAGCAAAGTCTTGTCGAAACCAGAAAGAAACTATTGCGTTAACAGGAGAGAATTGCTAGGCGTAGTAAAGGCTTGCGAGCATTTTCATAAATACTTATATGGCAGAAAGTTTGTTCTTCGCACGGATCACGCTGCTCTAAAATGGCTCCTACAATTCCGTAATCCAGAGGGCCAGATGGTAAGATGGTTAGAACGATTACAAGAATATGATTACGAGATCGAACACAGGGCTGGAAGAGTTCATTTAAATGCTGATGCGCTTTCGAGAAGGCCGTGCAGTGAACATTGTAATCACTGTCTTAAATTAGAAGAAAGACTTTGCCCCGTGAGACAAACCACCGTCATTAATGATCAATGGCAGCCTCAACAGCTACAAGACGCTCAAGCAGATGATTCATGTATAAAAACAGTATTGGATTGGATGCGTCGAAGTGAAAGGCCCTCTTGGCAAGACATTAGTGCATGTAGTCCTGAAGTCAAGTGTTACTGGAGCCAATGGAATTGCATAGTGCTAAAAGATGATCTTCTTTATAAAACCTTTGAGAACGATGATGGTACAGAAACTAAGTTTCAGTTGATTGTATCTAAAAGTAAAGTGTCAGAAGTATTACGTCAGTTGCACGACGGTGCATCAGGTGGACACTTGGGTATTACGAAGACTCTGCAAAAGGTTCGAGAACGGTTCTATTGGGTGAACTGTAAAGATGATGTAAGAAGATGGTGCCGGAAATGTGAACTGTGTGCAACCAGTAATGGTCCAGTTGGTAAAAAGAGGGCACCCATGAAACAGTACAATGTTGGTAGTCCTATGGAACGAGTAGCAATCGATATTGCAGGTCCACTTCCAGAGACAAATGATGGAAATAAATATATCCTGGTAGCCATGGATTATTTTACGAAATGGACTGAGGCCTATGCGCTACCAAATCAAGAAGCTGCTACCGTTGCAGAGGTACTGGTTAAAGAATTCTTTAGCCGATTTGGTGTTCCCTTGGAGATCCACTCCGACCAAGGGCGAAACTTCGAGTCAAACCTTTTCCAAAACGTTTGTAAATTGATTGGTGTCAATAAGACCAGAACGACACCCCTGCATCCTCAATCAGATGGAATGGTCGAGAGAATGAACCGAACGATGGGTAAACACCTGTCCAAAGTTGTATCAGAACATCAAAGAGATTGGGACCAGCACATTCATTTATTCCTAATGGCATACCGCTCGGCCGTGAATGAAACTACGGGCCAGACTCCAACCTGCCTGATGTTAGGTCGTGAAGTTCGTTTGCCCTGCGACCTAGAGTTTGGCTGCAGACCTTCTGAAGAATATGTTGCAAGCGAAGATTATGTCGACCGCCTAAAGTTAAGAATGAACAACATTCATGAACTTGCCCGACAACACATCCAGTTAGCCAGTGACAGAATGAAAGATCAATACGATTCTCGATGCAAGAATGAAAGCTATGAAGTAGGTGATCTTGTTTGGCTTTATAATCCCCAACGTCGTCGTGGCTTGTCTCCTAAACTGCAAAGACAATGGGAGGGTCCGTATAAAATTAAAAAGAGAATAAATGACGTAATATACCGAATTAAGAAGTTGCCGAAAGGTAAACCAAAAGTAGTTCATATAAATCGTCTTGCCCCTTATGCTGGCTCAAATGAAACCGAAGAAGTCCGAACCCTTCAACATGAGATCAAAGATAAACGGCGACCAAGCTTTAAGGAGTTTATGTCAAATTACGCAGAGAGAAAGAATGCTAGATTCGGCGTGACGACAGAAGTTCAGCAGGATCTTTTAGTGTTCCGCATAACGTCACTCTAGCCCACTGTGTTGCCCAAGATCTTGAGATGACTAAAGGAATCTCATCCGTATTTTATAAGAAGTTCGGTCGTTTGGACGAGTTAAAAAACCAGCAGCCTAAAGTTGGAAGAGTACTGAGATTAGAAGATGGTTCTCGATCTTTGCTGTATATAGTGACCAGGAAGTCGTTTACAGACAGGGCAACCTACGAGGATATATGGTGTGCTCTAACTAATTTGAAGAAAATCGTCTGCAATTACGACATTAAGAATTTTGCCTTACTTAAGATAGGCCATGCACTAGATAATCTGGATTGGAAGATTGTCAGAAGCATGCTAGAAGTGATCTTCCGGGAAACCGGTGTAAGAATTACCGTGTGTTGCACTAATCCAAAGAGATTGTGTCCTTCAAAGACAGTAGACTGTTATTTCTTTCTGAGGGGTTCATGCAGAGCTGGAGAGTCCTGTAGATTCCGCCATCCTGGGCCTACATATAGAGTTGCTGATCGGAACGCTCAGATCTAAGAGGGGAGCAGTGTTACGAACGTGCATTTAACGAGGCACGTATAACGGTTGTATCTCGAAACAGCACCTCATGCTTCCATGCGGCGTGGCGGCATCTCGAAAGCGACTCGATATTTCGAGAAAGATCTGTCGCGTTCGCCTAGAGGTGGGAACTTTCTAGAAAATAGTAACTTTAGTATATATATATATGTAACGATCTTAGGAATAAGTAGAGTTGATAAGAGAATACCGAACTGTAAAGTTATAAATAAATATATTTATAAATTCGAACCGCTCGTTTTATTTAAAAACGCTACAATATATTTATATTTATTTTCCAATTTGGTTGTAAGGAACCTTTTGATATTAAATTTGGCGTTTTTTGTTCGTATTGACTAATTATTTTTAATTTTAAGTCAAGAGTACTTCATTTTAGTTCTTTATGATTCTTTTAACTTTATTAAGAAGCATTTTTAAAAAATGCACATAAAATACAAATTTTCAAAAAATTACAAAAAAATTTCAATATATTTCTAGACTTCATTTTAGTAAAGAATTGAGCAATTTCGTTTTAAAAACTAGTTACTAATAGGTGCCATTGTAACAAAGCCGGGTACATACATGCCAGTAAATTGGAAAAGTACCTAACATGCCAGTTACTGCCATGCCATGAAAGCCCAGAACAACATCATGTTGCAATGCGGCATGAATTTTTGAAATTGTTGGAATTTTCTTAGTAAAATAAAAGCAATAAACTTTTCTTCGAATTACACTTTTAACATTTTCAATAATTTCCAGAAGTCGTCTCCCCGATTTTACAAAAAGATTCATGATGACCTCTTCCTTGTCCTCCTTTCTTAAATTATAAATTAACCCCTTAGAAAATCCTGTGTACTTTACGCACATCTCAACAACACTGTCTACACAGCACGTTAGATTATCGTGTCGTAATGCTTTGAAAACATTTAATACGATGATCTTTAGATCAGTGATCTTTAGCCGTTTCCTTCTTCTTCATGTACTATGTCCTTTCAGAACGTTGGTTACCATCATAGCTATCTTAATTTTATTCGCTGCCACCCTGCAGCGTATGGTGTTGATACAAGCAATAGCATGCTTGTATCAACACCATACCAATATCGCAAGTTCTTTAACCATGAGGTTCTTCTTCGTCCTGAACTGCGTTTGCCTGCTATTTTTCCTTGCAAGACATTTTGTAGCAACCTATATTTGGGACCTCTCATTACATGTCGAAATACTCCAGCTTTCTCTGCCCTTGCTGAGACGTTCTAGTAATGTGAAGTTTAGAATTTTCTACACCCAGGAAACTTTTAAAATTCTTCTATAGCACCACATTTCGAAAGGCTCAAGGTGATTTAGATCGATTTTATTTACAGTCTAGGACTCAACACCATAAAGTAAGACCAAGAACACGTAGCAGTGAAATAGGCGGATCCTCAATGCCAATTTTAGGTCTCTGTTACATAACACCTTGGACATCCTTTTAAAAGCAGCTGTAGCCTACCCTATACTAGATTTAATTTCGCCGTGACTTTCTGCGTTACAATTTAATTGATGTCCAAGGTAAACAATTTTATCAACTTGCTCAACTTTGATAATATTTACATATATAAATGGTTTTATATGCTGTTGTTTACTTATTACGGGTATTTTGGTTTTCCGTATGTTCAGATTTAGACCTGTTTCCCTGCAACTCTTAACGACACTATCAAGTAGTGTTAGCGGATCTTCTTGACTAGAAGCTAAGAGTACTGTGTCGTCCGCATATCGCAAATTATTGATGACTTCACCGTTCACAAGTATTCCTTCTTGTTGTTCAGAAAGTGCTTTCTGAAAATTCTTTAGAAGTAAACGTTGAAAAGCACGGGGACAAGAGGCATCCTTGCCGTACTCCTCTTTTAATATTGAGAGCCTGTGTTTACACACCATCTACTAAAACTGATGTTATTTAGTTCCAATATAAATTTGTAATTATTCGAACATCTCTGCCGCCCAAGCCAATGTCTTTTAGAGTTTCGATCAATAAAGAGTGCTTAACACGATCAAATGCCTTTTGGAAATTAATAAAACAACAGTATATGTCTAGAGATATATCTCGACAAGTTATAGAGCGACGCCTATGGGTTTATTCGTGCCATGGACTAAAGAGTGCTGACATGGTCAAAGCATTGAACTCTAGAGTGCTGACGCTATATATTTTCATAATATTCGCATAAGTTATAGAGCGACGCCTATGGGTTTATTTGTGCCATGGACTTAAGAGTGCTGACATGGTCAAAGCATTGAACTCTAGAGTGCTGACGCTATATTTTCATAATATTGTGAATTGTATAATTGCAATTGTATATGTGTTATTTTAATTAATATTTTATTCAGTTTAGAATCTGATTTTATTGTAATTAGTCGTTTTAGCTCTAATAAATTCTTTTTAAAAAAGGACTTTTGGCATTCCCAAATTTGAGTGGCGCAGTCAGAAGCTAGGTCAAACGGGTTTAGCGAATATAAATTCGGTTCGTTTCAACGCTTTATTGACCTTAATTCGGAAGTGGTGTATTCCTGTGGTTGGATTGAGTAGCCCTTTATAACAGGAATCGTGTTAAGTGGACTTTTCAAGTGAATATCGAAGATACCTGCCTAGTCAAACCTTCTGAGTGAACCAGCTTACATGGAGTGGACAATTCTTCTCTGGTAAGTGCTTATGTCGTATATAGAGCCTAAAATTCTAATAAATTCTGATTCAGTTTGTGACTCATAACTTCCTATTAAAGATAATTTTTGTTATAATTCATCCTTAATAAATAATCGTACTTTTAATTTAAATTTTTACTCAAAAAATAAAAGAAAAATGACAATCCCACAATTAAAAAAGGAATATCTTGACATGATTCCAGATTTTCACGGAGAAAATACATTACTTCCTAGATTCGTGGAAATCTGTGAAAAATTGATTAATAAATTTTATAATACAGTTGATTCAGATGGTTTTCAGAATGAATACTTAATGTCTAGCATATTAGCAAAAGTAAGAACAGAACAAAGGGAAGCGGGGATAGAGCTGATCCTTGGTGGACACCAACATTGATAGTGGTGGATATTGGTGTAAAGAAGTTTCATCCGAGACACGTTTTGCGGCACACTATTGAAGAATTTTCCTAGATCAAGAAAATCCAACATGGTTAGGGTTGATGCGAGTGATGATTTTGATTTGGGTTTCTATCACCCTTTCAAATATTTGTAAATCATGGCATAAAAGCCGGTAGGGCAATAGTTGCGACGTCAAATATGCCCTACTAGATGGGCACAGTCGTTCTGGTCGGACAGGATTTGGGAATTTCACTTTCGTTGATGATATGGTTAAATAACTAGGCGAGGGGTACAGCACCCTAGTGGGCAAGTAGCTTTCAAACTTCTGATGGAATGTCCTTCGGCGTTACTAATGGGTGGTACTGGTCCGAAGATAGGTTTTGAAATTATGATCGGTGAGTGTGGAAATGCGGTTTATTCTTGATGTACTTCACCTGACCGATGTCCTAGGTTGCTCGCTGTCTTGACTTTGTGGGACGGTATATTTTTTTTTACCTTAAGCTGTTTCCAAGTCGGTGTAGAGCTAATTATATTATTTCTTCTTTATCTTACTACGCGGCTAATTTCTTTTTACGGTAAAATTCGTACTCAGTTATCTATATTTATATATAGATGACCTCAAAATTGTAAGCGCACAAATATAAAATAATAGTTCAATAAATATATCATATAATATCATAGATAATTAAGTTCAAAAAATGCAACAAAATATTAACAAAACAATGTAAGAGCTATAATTTTACTAAGGTAATTGTTTTATATTTTTAGACAAAAAACTGGCATCTATTCTACATTATGTATTTACCTGTATTGATATTATGTATGTTCCCTTTGGCATGCTTCATTATATACAAAAGGTTACTTTAAAGTGTGAAATTGACGATCATTGCGAAGAACCTTCATTCTCCAACTTCCTGATACCGGAAATTATCATAATATTTATTGCACTGCTTGTTCAAATACCTCTTTGGTTTCTCTTTCTCCTTATGGTCGATGTTAGTAAAAGTGGAGGACAAGTTTTAAGCATATTTAGATCAAAGGTAAGAAATCAACTTTTGTTAGATTTAGGTTTTATTTTATAATTTTCAGAAACCTCGTACAAATATTGAAGATGCTAGTGAAACAGTAGGACTACATGAAGATCAAGATGTGAAGAACGAGAAACAGCGAGTCAAACAATTAATTAGAGATCCACGAAGTAACCGTACGGTTGTAACAGTTGACGTAAGCTACCTAATATTGCTTTTTTTATTATTTAATTTTTTTATTTAAAGAAAGTCACATTCACCTAATCGTTATTAGCGACGTATCTGTACAATTTTACAAGGAGTATAGGTCTATTATATCGTTACAAAAAGAGATATCTACAAAATAGTACTATAGTTTATCTTTATGAACCAGAGAGTAATTAGCATAATTTTAACTGGTACCTTCGACCACTCCATAGGCGTGCTCAAGATTAATTGGAAAATTACTTTGAATAATTGTAAAAAATAAATGAATTATTTCAGTGTTATAAAGTGTTATGTGTATGTAAACAAAAGTGACCTCTTTTATCACACACTATATTAGAACTGACTGGCCTACATTAAAAAGGGTTTTAAACAATTCACATTTTTTTTAATTTTTAAAAATTACAAAAGAGAAAAAGAGTTTTTAAAACCGTCTAGGGTATGTTAAATAGATAAATAAAAATATTAATATAAAACTTACAGCTACTTGTTACAAATTCAAATCAGATTCAGAAGATGAACTTTCAGAACCAAGATTTATAATAACTGGCTCGATCATTTTATCAGTAATATTGTCCAGCTTCCACATTTTTTTCTCTTCTTTAATAGTGTGATTTACTGCCTTTTCCCAGTTTTCAGGTTTTACATTATTTACGGTCTCCAAAAACAACTGTTTAACATCATGAATTTTAAAAGTGGTATTTTTTCTTGAAACTTCACTCTTTATCTGTGCCCATACCAGTTCAATCGGGTTTAATTCACAATGATATGGTGGGATCTAAGTACTGTCATTCCACGATTTTTGGCAATTTCATCAATTTCGTATTTTTTAAATTTTTCTTTATGAAGGGCACACAACGAATAAAGTTCCTTTCTTATAGATCCGGGATGGTACGTAATATTTTTTGAACTCAGCCAATTCTACAAGTCTTTTTTTAACCACTTGGTTGTGGGCAGTCCTTCTATAAGTCTGGAGTGATAACTTGCATTATCCATTACTATTACACAGTTCTTAGGAAGAAGATCTATCATTTGTTCGAACCATTCTTGAAAGACATCAGCGTTCATGTTTTCATGGTAGTCACCGGTACGAGTTCATTCAAAAGTTAATAAACCACCTTCAACAAAACCGTCTGAACTGTCAATGTGTACTATTATCAGCCTGCGTCCCTTTCCTGATGGTGGGTTTAAACCAGTAGATAAGTTATTTACAAAAGCGTGCCTTTGACTTGTAACAGTTTCATCCTGCCAAAATTTATTTGGTCTATGACCCTCGTTGATCCATGTTTCATCAAGATAAAATATTTTTCTTTTTTGGTTTCTCATTTCCTTTACGGTTCTTAGAAAATGTCTTCTTCATATGACAATATCGCTTCTTTCTAATAAAATAGACTTTCTGGGATTCTTTTTCCAGCGGAAGCCTATTTCTTTTAAAAGTTTCCATAACGTACTTCGACTCATTACTGGGTAATCCTTATCATCTCGAACTGAGACAAGAACTTTATCCGATGTTGAAAATTCTTGTCTAAAGAAGAATTCATGCACTTTCCGTCGAAGTCCTCCTTTAAAATGATATTCTATTTAAAATTTTGGTTTCCCTGGAGCATTACGTGGTATTTGAAAACTACCACATTTCTCTTCTTTAATAACTCTGTGAATCGTAGATTTCCCAACACCAAGTGTACTGCTAACTAACTCAACGGTCTCATCAACACTTTCACATAAACGTTTGTCTGTAAATGATTTAAAACAATTAAATATTAATGTTTTTTCATTAACTGTTAAAGGACCAATTTTTCGGCGTTTACACGGCACTTCCAAATTTTCTATAACACTAGTATACACAATAAACTGCACCTTGCAACTGAAGTACCTACTTTTAGTGAACTGTTAAGAATTTTGAATACGCCACTTGGACCTTCCTACAAAATGGAAAAACCCACTATCACATTTTCTGTGGAATAAGTTTAGAAGGTAATTATCTAGTCAATTACTGTCGTAGATTCCTGGAATTAAAGAATTAAATGTTTGATTGTTGAAACCCTTACTTCGTGGAATGCACTCATTTCAGATAAAATAAAACGTTTTATTTTATCTAAAGAATTAAACTTTATTTTGCAAATAGGTAGGTACTTATTAAACTTTTTGGTTATATATATAACCAATAAAATAAACATCTTACATTTCTTGCAAATTCATTAGTACCTGTTAACCTCCATCACTCCGACACTGGCAACCTGATTTAGGGATTAATAACCCTCACAACTATTGTATTCTATTCTGCTCCAACCTTTATACCTGGTGGTCATACTCAATTTAAAATTGTTTTCCTTTATACTTCTGTAAACTTGTTGACAAATATCTGTTTTTCATTGAGTCACCCGTATCAACAGTTTAGGGATTTGCATACATAACTTATTGTTTTATTACTCTCTCATACATAAAAATACACTATGAAATGTAACCATTTTTATACAAGGAATGATTCAAACTTTTAGCGAGGTTGGATGCATTTAATTACCAGTCTAATCGCACCTATTTTTTATATCCACTTAATAATTAAAGTGTTGTGTTATTATAAAAAAATGAACTTATTGGAGAAAATCTGTAAGTAATTTTAATCTAATTAGATACTTACTTCAAAACAAGTTCATATAATTTATATTACCTGGTGTCATTTAACAACGAAAATGGATGATGTTAAGATTCCAGGGGCGTCGAGGCCCCTAACTTTATTGACATCGTATAAAACTTCTTTATATTCTGCAGCTTTAATCAATTTAACTCCAAAATTCCCATCCAAGAAACAATCTATTTTATATAATGCTATGGAAAATGATTAACTTGGGGAATAGCTACTTGCACTAAAAAAAATTATAGAACCAAGATATATTAGTTAATCGTCCCGAATTTCAAATCACCGTATTTTTATTTACCTAGCTAGTGAAGAATTAGTAGAAACTGTCATTTATTTATTTATTTTTCGTATGGCAATAATCAATATAAAACGTTACATGAAGTATTACAAACGAACACCTAATGTATTATTAATCTAATGTAAAACATTTTCGGTCGCATTCAGGAACTCATCGAAAACTCCAGGGAATCGCCTTCGGGGAGATTCTTCAACAATGTGACGGACGGTCTGTCGTTGCTCACCACAGTCTCACTCAGGAGTAAGGGCTTTTTCCCATCTACATAAGCTGTCAGCATATCTACCGCTGCTTGTTCTTATTCTGTTTAGCGTTGTCCATGTATTGCGGGTCAGTTAAAATCTATACAGGCCATTTGATGTGCTTCCTGTGGTGAGTCTCTCTTCCATTGTGTTCTCCAAGCTTTGGTCAGGTTGAAATGTTCCTGATGTAAGGAGTTGGCTCTTAGCAATGGAGGATATCTGGAGCGCAGTCTGTTTATTTCGATATCAAGCTTATCTTGGTGGATGGGTAGTTGATGGTTAGCCTCAATTTTTCGATATTCTCTGAGAAGAGAATGTCTTCTTCGCAGTTTCGGCGGTATAATGTGACTCAGAATGGGAAGCCAATAGTTCGGTGTGGGTCTAATTGTACCTGAGATCATTCGCATTGTCTGGTTTAATTGAGTGTTAATAATCTTTGTGTGTTTGCCATTGAGCCATACCGGAGAAGCATATTCAGCCGCCGAGTATGCAAGTCCGAGAGCGGATGATCTGAGTACGGAGGCTGAGGACCCCCATGTAGTGCCACATAGCTTTTGGACTATATTATTTCTCGTTTTCAGCTTTGCTGTCGTTCTTTGAAGATGTTCTTTAAAACTCAATGTTCTATCCAGAGTCACTCCAAGATATTTTGGTGTTGAGTTATGAGTGAGCAGTCTGTTTTCGAAGTGGACGGAGAGTTTTTTGTTGGCTTGGGCATTATTCAGATGGAAACAGCACACTTTGGTTTTCGTTGCATTAGGCCGTAGCCTCTATTTGCGAAAGTATTCTCCCATAATGGCAAGGTCATCCGCTAATATTGTTTCTGTAATATCCATGTTATTATGTCTTGCTGGAATGGCCCAATCGTCAGCGTAGCCAAATTTCTGCGAAGTTGTCCTAGGTAGGTCCGCGATATATAAATTGAACAGTAAGGGTGCCAAAACAGATCCCTGTGGCAGTCCATTGCTGAGCTTCATTTGAAAACTTTTAGAATTGTCTATTGTGACTTGAAAAGGTCTGTCGGTAAGCATGTTATCAATGAGTTTAATTACCTTTTGACACGGGACGGCACGGATTAGTTTGCAGATTAGTCCTTGTCTCCAGACAGTATCGTATGCAGCTGATAGGTCAACGAAAGCAACGGATGTTGCTGAATAATACAGAAATAATACTGTCATGAATGCTGACAACGGAAAAATAATTATTATTCAAAAAATAATGTATGGTCAACGCTCAGTTACACCAAATGATAGATTACTGATCTTTAATGTTTGCCCCAGTACACACTTTCATAGAATCTAAACTTAAAAAGTTAGGCCTTAATTTATTAACTCCAATTAAGTTTTTACGAATTGATACAACAAACCCAGAATTTAGACATATTATTATACTGAGCTTTCGATGACATACATTTATCTCTCCTTTTAAAGCTACTTTAATTCCTCCTTCAATTGTCATAAACCATGATCAAACATCTTATCGTATATTTTTATCTTTAGAAAAACAGATGTTGGATTGTTCCTTGGGTTGTTCTCTCTCCGCTTTGTAACCTTAAACTTATATGCTAAACCTATATGCTAACAGCATATAACAGAAATAACGTAATTACCAATTTTTTTAAACTCACTTTCTCCATGTTCTCAAACAGTACAAAAATTACCATTTTATATACACGGACGCATCTAAGACTATAAATGAACTAGGAGCATGCTTTGTGATATCACATGAACATTTCATCTATAAATTGTCTCCTAAGAGAAGTATTTTTACAGCAGCACCATTTGCCATCAATAAAGCTCTAAACTTTATTCTAAAAA